AAAGAACGAAAAAGGGGCACTAGTCAATAAAGTACACTAATTGAGAAAATAAGAATGCTTTTTTTAAAACACTTACTACACTTGTATCATTTTTAAATTACTTTTTACTTCCTAATTTATATTTTTGGTTTAGGGACATTATTTTTGTTAGTGTAACACAAAACGATAACAAACTACCTTACATGTGTTTTTACATAATTTGTAAAACTTATCTAAAATCCTCTAACATTTGTGTAGAGTGCAAAGTTGACATATAAATGTATAATCTTCTTACACTTTTGAGATAATAATATACTAAATAAAATGAATTAACAACTGTGTTTTTGTTTTGTATCACATGGTACAACCTTTGACCTAATAATAGCGTACATGTACGCGATTGCTAAAATACAGTATCTTGTGTGAAATTTGATCGGATTGAATCTGGTGTGGTCCTTCGAGGACGTAAAATTTTGGGTGAAAATGTGGCACGGAAATGGTCTTTTTCGTTATCCAGCAAAGCGTGGTTAACAGTAAAAGTGTCCGACCGCGTCGGTGTCGGCGTCGCCTGGTAGTCCTGGAGTGCGGAGCACCCCTGATCGGGGTTGCTTCCCTAATATATGCGCTTTCAGTGCTGTGCCGGATACATGTACCCTGTCTCACGGGGGATTTATTGCGCCCGTTTTACTGGCTTTTTGTTAAAATTCCCACTGCTGCTGTTATGTCTGACAAAAGCTGCATTTGCAGGATCGTATCGATGCTCCTGATTTGACCATGTCTTAGTCAAACGTGTTGTTTATCAGTAGTCACCCTTTGAGCGACGTAATTTCGATAATGAATTCGTTGTCACTTATTTTCCCTAATAATTATAACCAAGCGTTTTTAAACGTCATCCTATATCACTTTGCAAAAACTCTACCCTCATTTATCATATCGAGGATCTTGTAATTATTTTTACTCAAGCTTTCCACTATCGCCACCCTTAAACCAAAAACCAATTCTCTCTAACCGTACCACTCTAACTTGTTTCCAACTTGATGCATGCCTTAATTGGCTCTGCGCCCCAACTTCTGAATAAATAAAGTGCCAAAATAAAATAACAACCGCAACACAAATTAAATTCATGCTTACTACCCCTAACATTCTTTTATCATCAAGACGCAACTCTTTACAACAAGATAAAACTTTCAAGGCAATTTGAATGAACACAGCCACAACAGACTATGACATCAATAGATGTACCCACATTCATCAACCCCTGATGGCTCAAACAATCCCAAATCATTTTATTCCTCCCCCTTCTTCCGGATATTCTTACGCAACAAAATATTTACCACTCTTACACAAACAAATGCTTCAACTCTAATTAAGTCACTCGAGCTTAAATTGGTTTCTTCAATCTCTGCCGGTATTACGTGCTAATTTTTAAATTACTTGAAGTTATTTAAGTAAAGATTTATTTGGTATTTAAATACAAGACATTTTTAAACTTAAATTGTAAACTTAAATTGACTTTAAAATACTTAGAACATTTAAAAAGTAAATGAGGACATTTTCTACATTATGCTAATATATTCGGGTCTTCTCATTTTTTATTTTAGCGAAAAATTTATACAAAACATTTTTAGCAATATTAAATTAATTTTAGTTCAAATAAAATTTGCCCGGCGCATCCACCATTTTGTACAATTTTTTTTTTTTTTAATGGGATAACTAGTAAAATGGTGCTTAAACTTTCAAATTAGGAAGTATGTATAGTTAGGAATTTTGTGGTATGCTTTAAATGGAGCGTAAAATTTTGTATTTGCGTTCACAAATTTGGACGAAAAGTTTTGTGACATGCTGTCAGATAGAGGGTTTTCGAAAAGTTCAAAACAATGTTGATAATGGCGTTATCTCGTTTGTGATATACACTGTATTGAAGGAACATATCGAATACACTAATCTGGATTATTGTCGACTTTTTCTATAATTTAAAAACTGTTTTTCTGGTTGAACTTAAACTTTAGACGCGATAAGTTTGTGATTGAGAGTGTGATTAATGGATGCTATAAAACTGCTGTCGTGCAATTTAAACTGCTGACTAATCATTCAGATTGTCAAAAAGACATACGAAATTCTTAATTGAAAAACTGGATTATACTTCGTCTACATATTTGATTAGGTTCGTGGTGATTCAATTAATTTTCTATAAAGTTCTTTTAAAAGTATTAAGGATTCCGGGTAGTGCGTTATTAAATTAAAATCAGAAACATTTGGAATTAAAAGTATAATGTGATATGTACAATAAAAATTGAAACTTATCTTACTTGCAGTGAGACACGATATTAACATTTATACGCACATCTGCAACACAAAACGAGCGCAAGGTGATTTATGCAGAATTGCAAAGCATAATAATTTTAAGCTTCTAATAACTGTACTAACTTGGGATTTTCTCTTTTCTTTCTGGTGGTGGTGTATTGGGTACGGTGTTCGTCTGGTCTTCATGGGTACAGCTTTGTTATCAGGAACTCTGAGGACGTACCAGCGAGCCGGTTGTGATGATGAAGTTGTGACTCTTCGATGTCCCCCCGGAACAAGTATTTCGATCGAAATTGCCCAATATGGAAAATCAGCTCCGTCCAAATCATTATGTGGCCCTAAAACAACCCAATCTTCGATTTCCAAAACATCATACAATTACAACGTTTCCTGCCTTTGGCCCAATTCATTACAGGTCAGTATTCAAAAATGTTCCAAAACTAATGCAAATTTGTACTAATTATGTAACATAATTAACATCTTCTAGGTATTACTTGTACAGTTGAGAAACTAATACATATTTGATTGCAGACTTTGCTTCAATAACCAACAGATTAATTAATACCGAAGGTTATTTATTTGTATTTAATTGAAAATTTTGGTGTTTTTTTTTTCTATTTTTTTCTATTTACGTGAAAATGATAAACAGCGGGATAATCCGCTTACAAAGTCTTGTTGAATATGAGCTTTATGTATAATAGAGCAGTAGAGATACAAGTAAACATTTGAAAAGCTTAGCTTGTGCTTATTTACAGACCAAATGGGAGGAAGTAGCTCAAGGAACATGGGGGAGAGTAAGTGATCATTATGTATAATAATAACAGAGGCGGCTCGTGGCCTGATCATGTAAGGAGCACCAAAAAAATGGCAATTTGACACGAGCCGACTCTGTGAATATGATTTTATAGGCTGAAGGCACTGTGGGTTAAGGCAATCGAAAGAACACTGCTCTTGGCTGTTTTTATTCTTCCGCTTTGCTGCATTATTTTTTACATCATCATTTCACCACACAATTGGACTCTTAAAGGGATTTATTTTAAATGTTCTGTCACTCATGGTTTATTTTTATTATAGATTTAGTACTCGTATTAGCATGAGCTATTTTTGTGGAATAAGTTTGCTGCAATTTTAGCTAGATTTTCGCCGACGTGCTATTGAGTGAGAAGAGCGTGAGTTTTGGCAAAACCATCCGGAAGTGGTTAGAAATAGTGTAAATAACAGTGTAAATAACGTAATGTTTGTAACGTACTAACATAAAGCATGCAGGTATGTGTGATGTTTTCGCAACCGCTTTGGCAGTGATTTACTTAATCATCTGAAGGGTTATACAGCCGATCTGACTGACGGTACCTAGTACTCGTTGTTGCAGACTGTCGTGGAGGCATGCCAGAAGAAGCGTCAGTGCAAGTTTAAAACGTCCCCGAAGACATTTGGTGGAGATCCCTGTCCGGGTGTTCGCAAATATGTCGAAGTAGCTTATAAGTGTAGACCGTGTAAGTATGAAAAATGCATTGAAAATTTATAGAAATCGACGGCAGAGGATTTTTCAGATGAGTTTCGAAGTAAAGTGGCCTGCGAGAATGAACGAATTCAATTGAAGTGCAATCCCAACTCAAGGGTTGCCGTATACAGCGCCAGCTACGGGAGGACGGAATACGAAAGCATTCAATGTCCCCAGCCTCAAGGCGTGCGCGAAGAGAGTAAGTTGATTATGCGATTCTTATATAAATTGCAACCAGTTGCGATTAACCAAACATCACGCTATTTTATTGCCATATCGTACATCATTAGTGATCAATATCCGCATTTTATCGCCTTACAATATGGTATTTTGTTTTGAAACGCGCAAAATAAAAGAACATTCTGTGAAAGCTGTAACTCTGCCAATAAACACCAATACAAAAATAATGTTTTCACCGACGAGCCAAAAGTTTAGCGGCCTTGGACCAAACTTAATTAGCCACCTTCAACTTTTTCATTAACTGTTATTGAACCAGCACCGACAAGTAACCTATCACAATAGTTTCTAAATCTTTTTAAAGACATTATATTCAATTATGCAAGTAAAATGTTGGATGCATTTGATTCCCTAAAATCTAAATTCGGTGTAATTGAAGACTCATCTGCAGACAGTAGTATCAGGTTTAGTCGAAAATAGTCGCGCGTTTTGACGTGTTTACTGCATTTAAAGTGACAAGCGTGAAGGCTCACTTTAAACCCTTTGTGCACTTGCAGCGTGCTTGGTGAGTTACGCTACCGAAACTGTGATGCAGCTTTGCCATGGCAAGCGGAGTTGTGAATTATCAGCCGACATAAGTACTTTTGGCAGCCCCTGTCGACCGGAGTCCCGCATGTATCTAAAAGTGATCTACACCTGCGGTAAGTAATTTAAATGAAATTATTGGATTGGTTGACATTCTCGTGCAGTTCCCCGAAAAGTACTAAAGGAGCAGTACGAGGGGCGTCTCGAACCTGACGAAATCGAATCCGATCAAGAGTTTTCAACCGATGAGGACGACGATTTTGAGCCGTACGATGCCGGGAATAACGAGTATATTAGAGAGTCAGCTGCTTCTCCTCCTGCTTCCAACATCGACGGTGGCGGAAAAGGGGATAATTTAACTAAGGACTCGCCCAACGTTAACGCTAAGAGTCCTGCCCACAAGTCAAACGGACTTGATCTTGGTGAGTTTGCATGTTTACTTGGGGTAGTGGTGCAAATACCTCGACTTGTGTAGAAACATAAATATAAACCCAATATTTCGCTGAGAAGCTTACTACTTTTTACTCTCATGTGGTTATGCTTTCAACGCCAAAAGTGTAAATAATGTTGTTCACGACTTTGACGTGGGAAAGGGTTAAATGAGTAAAACTAAACTGTCGTTTATTTAATTTCTTGTATTTTCATACAGGGTGGAACGAACACAATTGCTTAATTCTAATTTATTAAAAAACTACGCACTCTAGAAGTGCGTAATAATTTAATAAAATCTACTTACAAAAAGAGCTGTTTTGTAGCCTGAATTTAAGAGTTTTACGATCAGTTTGACATTTTTCTGTTTCACCTTGTACAATGTGCATTAAATATACCGTAACGTTATCGCGTAGCAACGTAACATGCTAAAATTTTTGTCCCGGTGCCAAATTTGAGTGTTCCTTAATATCAGTGCACAAAGGCACCTTGTAAATAAAATTCGCGTTCCTCGCATTCCCGCTTTGTATAAATTACGTGATCAATTATCTTGATGTGAGTTTGTAGAATTACATTAAATGTCACACAAGTCGATGTTGTGTAGTTGTAGAAGTTTGTAAATGCATGTCGGCTGTAATATTGCTTGGTGTTTCGATGAGGCTGTTTGGCTTGGTGCAATGCAACCGACATAGGAGCTCCGCGGTATGGTCCGCGGTCGTGTATATAGCCGGACAAATTAGGGGTGGAGTCCATTAACAACAATCTCCACAGAGTGACCACCGCCGCATGCTTCACCACAAGACACAATCACATCGAAATAAATCGAATCGACTTGATCTGATATTTGGTTGCAGCGTCCTTTCAGCCTTACACAACTCCTCGTACTAACCTGTTCCGCCCATCCCGAGTTCCCGCCGTGCAGAAAACTACTAAAGACATGCAAGCCGACGATTTCCCAGATCCCAACTGCACGATCACGATCTATGCAGAGAAAACTAGAGTCGTCGGATTCATTTCCGAATGGATAAATGCGTACACGTTCATTTCACGTAAGTATCGGTAAAAACTTTGGCTGCTACCGCCCGTGGCCTCCGCTCTGCTGTGCACCCTTAGCGCCGCATGCAAAAGCAAGAGCTTTTTCGGCGTTTTCTGACTCAGGGCCGGTTTCTAGAGAACCAAGAGCGGTTTTACCTGTACCTGATTGTGAGCATCGCCGCCGCCATCCTCCTTTGTCTAACAGTCCTCGTGGGCCGTCTTCTGGTGCAGCGGCACCGTGCCCGTCGCGAGGCCAAGTTCCACGCCACCAACGTCGACCATTCGCTACCCAATGGGTTCACGGATGATATCAGCGAAGTGGACGCGGACATAGATTTGACGACACCGTTGCCGACGGTAGCCATCCACTCGGTAGTGCCTGTGGGCAGCATCGCCGAGGTGGTGCGATATCCCCACGTCCACTCGCACACGCTACGGAGGCCTCCCCAGGACACAGATGTTCCCAGGAGTCTCAGCGGCGGCTCCAATAGCCACTATTACTACGGGTGACCAGAATGCCCGGGGCGCGGATCGGCGGTGCCGACCTCCCCCACGACATCTGCGTGCCCGGGCCAACGTACCTATTGCTTTTAGTGACGCTCAGTGCCGCGATCAGTGACCCAGACCAAAGATACTCATCCTCTCCTCAAGACTTTGTGAATTATTTCGTTATACCGGTCGAATGAATTATAATTACAAGCGCCATCTCGTCATCTTGCGGCAATAGGCAGGAAAATTTGCCCATGCCATAATTCCCGCGATTAAATAAATGCTCCTCCTGTGGAACCTTATCCCCAATAGATATGTTGTTCTTAATTGTTATAGTGTATTGTTCAAAGGTGGATTGCAAAATAACTGCAGCTTGTAATTATAATTTACACAAACACTTTGTTAATATCTTAAATGACTAATTGATATCAAAAAATTGTTTATATACTAAACTGGATCTTTATATAAAAAAGAAAACAGAGTACGTATATACATTAAATACGTGTACACATGTCTTTATGTTGTTTCTATAAAATATTGTGTTTGTATAATAAAAGGAAATTAACTAAAGACTGATAAAACGCTTTTCAACATTAAAATAGTTACAACAAGGAAATTTCCTGCTACGATATCACTTGAAGAACATTTGTTTTCGCTCAATGTATAACCAGTAGGACACTGACATTTCCGATTACGACACTGAATGGAATCCCCGAAGGTTTTATTTAATGAAAGTTTACATTCCAAATCACTGTTACAATAACCACCATATTCTAAAATAAATCACGTCAATACCTCTATACTAATCAATTTAAATACCAACCTGTCTTTTGATAACATATGTTATTATAGGGAATACGATCACTTTGACAGTTGCAAATACCGTCAACACATTCCGAATATGTGATTCCTGTTGAACACTGAACATCTAACGTACACTCACCTCCCAGATTGTGAATTACTGAAATTTTTACTGAATTATGTACAACTGTGTAACAGTGTCTTACTGGAATAGCATGCATTTTCCTGCTGGATGTACTCTTCCAAGCATTGACACACATTGTTAATGCAAGAAGAATGCTTTACTCCACAAGGAAATTTCTCGTCACATGAGTCACCAAGACCTGGAAGACATTGGTCATCTACTACAACAGCTGCACCACGACACTGACACGTCTCGTCAACACAAAAACTGTTTTTTGGATTGTTACATTGATAATCAGCCGAACATTCCGGTTCTAAATAAAAGAAAACAGTCAAATCAGTATAACCAACTCATGACTTACTACCATCACTCCCATTCCAAATACACAAGGCATTGTCTAGACCAAATTTTGCAGTTTTACTACAACTGCATGTTTCATTTGACGTGCAGTAGACACGCGAACCCCACGCGTAGCACCACTCTTTGGAAAGACAGTTGGTGTTAGTCTGACTTATGGCTAAAAATTTTGATTAATTGAAGAACACTTGGTAGAATATAGTCAGTCATACTTTTGACACACTTTTGATTGCCATCGGCAACGAAATAATAATCGCGACAATAGCAAACACCATCTTGGCATTTTCCTGGTTTTAGGGGACAGTCACTATCTTTTGTACATTCAGCTTTGACTCCTAATTCTGCTATACAAGCTGTTGCATCTGCATTGAAAAAATATTGTTTTTTGCAAATACAAGTGCCGGTTTTTTCGTAACATTCAGAGTTTGGAATATTATTACAATCGTCATTTGTTGTGCACGTGATGACATCTGTGGCCTTCTTCGCGATTTCTTCTTCGATTTCTTCCTCGTTTTCATCCAGCGTTAAATATGATTTTCGCTCTTTGCATTTTCCAAGTATACAGGCTGTATTTTCAGCTTTGCAGTCGATATCCAAGGCGCAAAGGTCGCCCTTTTCTACATTTAATTGAATTAGGAAGGGTTAAGAAAAATTGTAACTTACTTGAAGCAATTTTTCTACAATCAGTATTGTCTCTTTGATAATACCCTTCGCTACAGGCGCATTTACCACTTAAACAACTAAGAGATTGGAGATTGTAGCCATCGAAACAATCGATATTTTCAGAGCAGTCTTCCCCAAGTCCCACGTATTTTCTGCAGACTCCAAGGTACCACCGGTATCCTTTTTTACATCTACAAACATTAGCACACTCGCTATTTTCTCCTAACCACTCGCATTGAGTATTTTCTGAGCATTCTCCATTATATTCAGTTACATCTTAAACACCACTTTGAGAATAAAATTAAATATTAGAAGAGCACTGCATACAAGGTAAGCATTCTTTCTCTTCCGAGTCTAGTATGTATCCTAATGGACACTCACAAGTGCCTTTATTGCAAGTAGTGTTAAATACTTGACAGTCATCATCCGTAGAACAGCAATTTGCAATTTCTGAAATCCGTTTTAATTATTATTACTTTATAAGTTATGATTCACAGCAACAGATTATCTTATCATAACAAACACCTGAAGTAACACCTGGTATTGTGGCTCACTAATTTACTTATTGATCCGATTTCACATAGATTTATTGATTTTACAATAGCAGGTGTTCTATCTTGTTATCTACAATGTAATTTATATGTTAATTCACCCATAATGAGGGGTTAATTGGCCGTTAAACAGTAATTCCCGATTGAAAACTTTTGCTCCGATATTTAATTAGCAAACATCCAAAATGCTAATTTGAAGTCAGATCACGGATAATTAATTTGCATTAGCTTTTATAAATTTTCTACCTCTGAATTATTTATTTTCATATATAAAATTTTATTTGGTTTTAATGTCAATAGGTGCTAAAATTTAAAAAACTGTTTTCTATGAATTTCATTACAATATTATTACATATAAAAATATTTTAATGAGCACATACCTGTGAACGTTAGAATTAACATAATATAATTAATAAAGTAATTCATTTCACTATTACTAGGCACAATCACATTGACAGTTAGATCGATAATGTGGCGGTTAATCAACCTAGATTCAAGTGGAGGAGTTAAGTACTTCTCCCACTGCGAACAATTTAGATAAAAATCAAAAATTAAGAAACTGATAACTTTATTCCGAAAAATTACAATTTTTGTACATAATTATATTGTTTGTTTCCCAAATGAACAAAAAGGGTCTTTAAACGTTGCTGCACCTTTATCATATCAGGACACGGAGGTCTTGAATATTTATACAGTATGTCTAAAGATTGCATAAAAAGCTTCATAGCTTCACGTGTTTCACCAGCACTGTACATATCTTCAGCTTTTGGTAACATTACGGCCAGTTGCTACAAATAAACAATAAAATTTGAGCTATAATTTGTAGCCTACTTACTGAAAGTCCTTTCAAGGAAGGAAAAATTTTAGTAACACTATCGCAGTAGTCACACTGGAAATAAGGGCACATGTCGTCTTTATATAATGTGAATTCGAAAGGGCAGTTTTCAGTTTGACACCCAATTTTGATTTGATTGGGGTCCAAATACTCGAAAAGGGGCCATTCCTGTTGACAGGGGGTACAATAACATTCAAACCAATAGCGGCTTTGGAGAGTTACTCTTCTTTCTTCGGCTTCCATGGAACTATACAAGGGACCATAATTTTCGTAAATTATTTCTCCAGCTTTAATTGGTTTTATTGTTCGTACTATCATTCGATTTCCTATGTTATACCTGACTATACTAGGGTCACAGGAGTGATTAAAAAGTGCCAAAGTTGGGTACAGACCAGCTCCTATATATTCACTTTTGTAGTAACACTGTATCCCGTTAGTCACCATTTCTTGATTTATATTTCTAAGTTCGGATATTTCATGCGAGTTAAATTGAAGAATTTGCAAGTGTCGCAGAATTAAACTCGCAATAAAAACCTCTTCTTCTGTCACAACATCATCCTTAATATTTTCCCCAATAAAATATCCCGCAAATTTCAAAAGCCGCAACAAATAAATCGCCATTACGGAATAATGCACCAATTCCCCTTTTTTTCTCAAATGTTCATTTCGACAGAGGAAAAAAGCGGCATTATAATCATCAGATCGATAAATCTGACTCTTAATTGGCACTTTCTTGCAATTGTCTTTCAAAAAATCTTTCAACAATTTTTTCTTCTGTAGGAAAAACCCGTGCGGCTTTTGCGAGATCATCCTCAGAGCCATTGCACAATTGATTGAAGCTCCAGAGTGAAACAACACCGGTTGAGCTTTACATTCATATTTATGAAAAGTTAAATGTGCTTGTCTTTCACAGTTGAGGCTGCAAAAAACCACATGACCGCAATTACGACACGCAACGGGTTGTTGCGTGGAGGTACAACAAAACTGGCAATTCATTAAAACATTTTCCTGGGATATGACAGCACAGTGAGGAGTTTCCTCAACGATTATAGTACCAGTATCAAAACTTTCAACAGCGCGGGCAAAACGGCCCAACAGTGGATCAAAATCGAAATAAACATTTTTGTGTGCGGCTACATACTCTTTATTGCCATTAGTGAAAAGGTCTGAATTTGAAATTGGTATAATTTGGTTTTTCTCTGAGCATGTTTTTTTCTTCTTGCGTGATTCTTGTATTTCTGATATTTTTTTCACTAGGTTTTTTTCATCAAACTCGGCATGTTTTAAGCTAGAGATTGCTAAATTATAAGCCTCTTCCGCGTATTTCTCATTCTGTAACGCGTCGTAACATTTGGCTTTCCTCAACCAAATTTTATAGTGCAATTTTAGGGGATAATTACCGACGGCAATAACATAATCAATATCGTCGAAGACTTTCCGGAATTGTTCTTGTTCGAAAAAAGCTGCGCTGCGATTTGAAATTAAAATTGTCAGCAACTCTCTACCATCGTCTAAAAATACAAATGAGGCCTAATAAGAGTTGATTCTTCATTTACCTGTGTCTTGCGGACAAACAATTATTCCCTCATTGTATGCGTGTAAGGCTTCTTCGTATTTTTTAGTAGCGAAAAAATTATTTCCGAGGATTTTTGCTTCTTGAGCTTGTTTGAAGTTTTTTCCGTGATTAATCGGTGTGATTGGAACTGTTTGGGCAATATTGTACAACATTTTAATCCGTTCATCGTCACGTGTCGTTGATTTAAATTTTTCAACATCTTCTTCCGATAAAGTGGCAATTGCTTTTTCACAATACTTTTGAAAAATACTACTTTTGGCCATGATGAAAAAGAACACGAGAACTAAATGAGATGACCTGCTACCGGTTCTGTGTTAGCCGGTTGTTTATTTTCAGACACCAAGCGTTCTATTTTTAAGTCAATTGAAATTGTTGCTTTGCTACGCTGTACGCATGCAACGAAATCGACTAACACTTTATTTAAAAAAAGGTATTTTATGTGTGATTTTTTTACCTTCCAAACAGGGTCATTACGGACCTGTCTTTGTGACGGTTTGCGTCCACACTAAATGTCAATGTCCATCTATCATATCTGCCCCAATTATTTCTTTATATAAATATTAAAAGAAAAAAATCAATATTTATTTAATGTTGTTTGTTTCATTCAAATTAAATTTGAATTTCATTAATGATTATAATCGTCTAGGGATATTGGATGAGCTGTGTTGGTCCTCCCGACTAAATCAAATATCCCGCTAGGTGTCAGTTTTGACGTTTTGTGTTAAAATGTTTTGGATTACTTACATTTTAATTTGTGTACGTGTTAATCTGATATTTAATCGTTTTCCTATACTTTTGCGTAACTTGTTTCTTTTATTGTGATTGAATAGTAAAAATGATGATACTTACAATGACGACTTTAAGGTTAGTTTTTTGTGTTACAAAATTGAAATAATAAGGGTTTTTACAGGGGCGGAAATAGTTTCTATTTAAAATGGACTTAAGACGTAATATAAAACATCGTAAACAAAGGCTGGCTGATAAATTAGATGGGTCGATCAACATGAATCCACGATATCAGGAACCTGTAAGTATTTTTTTTTTGTATATGTTGTGTAATTATTGAACCGGCTTATAGTGGGATGAAGAAGGGGCTTCAGACACTTGTACCTTACTAGAGAAAAACAATTTAATTCAACCCGAAGTTGTGACTTTACAAAAAGAGTCATTATGGGCCACTTCTATCCAAATGTTCATTCCATTCCTGCTTGCTGGTTTTGGAATGGTCGCTGCGAGTCTTCTTCTCGATAAAGTTCAACACTGGACCGTATACCAAGAAGTGTCTGAAGTATACATCCTCGTACCCGCCTTATTAGGCCTTAAAGGCAATTTAGAAATGACTTTGGCGTCTAGACTGTCAACACATGCAAACTTGGGTCATCTAGACACCCGTCAACAAATGTTAAGTCTGATAGTTGGTAACTTGGCTCTTATTTTATGTCAAGCCATCGTCGTGGGGTTTCTAGCATCACTAGCTGCCGTTATTTTCGGTTGGGTGCCATCTGGTGTGATAAACGTAAACCACGCACTTGTTCTATGTGCCAGTAGTATTGTTACAGCTTTTGGTGCTAGTTTTATCCTAGGTTTAGTAATGGTCGGGGTAATACTATTTTCGCGATATTTTAATATCAATCCTGATAATGTAGCGACTCCTATCGCCGCTAGTTTAGGTGATCTCACAACTTTGGCATGTCTATCGTGGCTCGCCTCGGTATTTTATCATAGTATGGACAGCCATCCGTGGCTGACTTCTGTTATTATTTTTCTAGGACTGATTCTAGTGCCAGTTTGGGCTTGGATTGCGAGCCGAAACGAGTATACTTGTACTGTATTGTTTAGTGGTTGGTCTCCTGTCATTGCTGCGATGATTATAAGCAGCGTCGGGGGTTTGATTTTAGATTTTACTGTTTCGCAGTATAAAGGTGTAGCTGTTTTTCAACTAGTCATTAATGGAGTTGGTGGAAACTTAGTCGCTGTACAAGCAAGTCGCATTTCAACTGAACTTCACAGCAAAGCGAAACCTGGAAAATTACCAAATCATATGCAAGTCTGCATTACTCCTTGCTCAGCATTCTGTGATAGTCGTGAGACAAGTCATGCCGGGACTGCGCGCATGCTCATGCTTATGGTCATTCCGGGACATCTTATTTTCTCATACACTATTAGTTATCTTCAAGCCGGTCATACTTCTTTCACCTTAATTTTTATGGTTGTTTATCTAATTGCGGCACTTCTTCAAGTCCTTTTGTTACTCTACATCGCACAAGTGATGACTTTAAGTATGTGGAAACATAACATCGATCCTGACAATTCTGCCATTCCTTATCTAACAGCATTAGGAGATCTTCTCGGGACTTTACTTCTTGGCATAGCTTTCCAATTTTTGTTCCTTATCGGTGACCGAGATAGCGACGTTGGTGATTAATCTAAAAAACTAATATGAATTCTAAAAGGCCACTTGTGATGATTAAATAACTACTTTCAATGTACGTTTATAATAAATTTCCACTTGCTTCATTGGTGCTATTCTTATGTACATACGATATATATCAATATTATTATATACAGTACCGAGATAAATAAATTTTCTATTTCATTGTAACGCTTGGTTTTTTATTTTTGGGAATTACACAGGGTGTTCGTAAAATTGTTACTCTAGTTGGGCAGTGGTTGCGGAAGGAAACTGCTACAAGATTAGTGGATCCGTACACCAGTTGCAAATAGTAACTCAAGGCTCTTGCTCATAGCAAATTCATGGACCATTTTCACGCATTTAAACGACGCTATGAGGGCGTAATAGCATAATGACCATAATAACTTGGGGCCATTGCTGGACAATTGCGCAGAAAGCAGTTTGGAGTAAGACTCACAATTGTAAGGTGCAATAAAATTCAAAACATAGCAAAGTTTGAAATAAAAAACCACGTCTTATTCCAACTCACAACAAACTTAATGATCAACTGGACAAAATTCTATCGTCATCAAATTTAAGTGTATTGTGATTATAAATGTATTCCCACGAGAAGGATGGATTTTGAGCAAAATAACAAACTAATTTGCACTAGTAGAAACAAAAAGCGTTGCAGATGACCACGGGGTAAGTGTTTTTGTTTTTTTTTTATAAGAGTCTTTCTTTAAATTTCTCGTGCTTTAAGTGCCACATTGCTTCCAAGTTAGATTTAGTTTCAGGTCTGTGTCAGAAGTTGACTTACTTTTTACTAGAGCACAGGAAATTTGCTATTATATTCAATAAGATTAACCTAGGCAATAGGCGCTTTCAAATTATGTAAGTCATAGCACCGTTTCCCGCCAATCTATTCTCGATTTAAACATTTCCCTAATCAAAGCATTTTTCCCCTTCAATAAAAATAACTGTGTTATCCACTTACCACAAAGTCTTTGAACGTTTCCGAAATTTCGGCTTGTTTGATGACCAGGTAATTATTTCATAAAAACAGGCAAATTTAATGTACCACGTAAAATTGTAATGTCAAGGCGATTTTAATGAAATTGTCGCTCGGAAAATTATTTTATCATTTAGATATTAGCACACTTTACTCAAATTTGCTTTGACTACAAATTGCTTCCGCTTGAAATTTTTGTAACCGAAAAAAAATGTAATTTTTACGTAACATTGCCATGATAGTGCATGCGTCTGAATAGTATGGAGTGCCAAACAAACCCACGCGTCGCAAAGGGCACCAGGTCAATGTAAAAAATTTCATATCATCTCATCACTAAAAAAATCGTGTCAGTATTTAAAAAAGTTGCGTAATATTTGCGACAATTATTCAACATTACACTTGACTCGTTTTGAATGAACGTCCGTTGTCGGTGTCCTTAGCCCTTTTTTTAATCAAAAACTGGTTGCTCTCCGTCTGGTCCCACCCTTTCCCGCCAAATAATTTTGCTTTTGACCTTTGAATGGACCTCATCATTGCCCTTTGCGCAGCCGTGTCGCCTGTAACAACCGGCGTCGAGACGTTTTTCATGATTTCCAGACGTAGACAAAATCGATAGAATCAGTTCATCACATGATGTAGTCGCGTGTATGTTAGACGGGCTCTTGAGCCTAAAAAATTACCAGAACGCAACATAATCCAAGAACTCATTATCATCCTAGGTACTAGTGTTGCATGGTAGCGACTTTTGCAAAAATCCAGCCGATTTTCGTGTTTTAGTGAAGAAAACTATGGATCTAAAGCCATGGGCAGTATCAATCATGTTCAGCTTTCGCGAAGATCCTCAGATACACCGAGCCCATCAAGTGCCTTCGATACCGGTCCTCCAATTGATACGGAAATAACCCTCGTCAAGTCTCCACAGGATAATAGTGATAATGATAATGGAAGACTTCCAGATGTTGTTGTTGAAGCAAAGATTTATGATGATGAAGATCAGATCCAGGAGACGTATTTTTCGATTGCAATACAAGTCTTTATTCCATTTCTCATAGCAGGATTTGGAATGGTCTTTGCTGGGTTAGTTTTAGACAAAATACAGGTACTGTAACCGCCACGTCGCAAAAACAAATTTTCAAATTTTCTTTCTCCAGCATTGGCCAGTATTTGAAGAAATCACAGAACTAGTAATATTGGTACCTGCACTTTTGGGCTTAAAAGGCAACTTAGAAATGACGCTAGCGTCACGATTATCAACACAAGCTAATCTTGGTCATATGGATACAACTAAACAAAAAATAAGCATTATTGTTGGCAATCTAATACTTATCCAGGTATTAAATTTGCGACAATATTGTGAAAAAAACATTACATTGTTATTTTTCAGTGTCAGGCCATAGTTGTAGGATTTTTGGGGGCTGTAGTCGCCGTTGTAATGGGAGCCATAAAAAGTTACGACGTCGAATTAGATCGTGCTTACTTGTTATGTGCCAGTAGTCTAGTAACAGTGTCAATAGCCAGTTTCGTCTTAGGTTTAATAACAGCTGGCGTTATTGTTTTCTCAAGACATTGTCATATCAATCCTGATAATGTCGCTACTCCAATAGCGGCAAGTTTAGGAGACATCACATCATTAACGTTACTTTCCTGGGTTTCAACCGTACTATATGACTCTCTTGGTAAGACAGTGACCTTTTTCGCGTCACTCCATACTTAGATTTGTATCGATCAGGCACCCAAGACTGGTTAGCACCGTTAATAATCGCTGGCTACATCTTGGCTATCCCCCTTTGGGTCTGGATCGCCAAGAAAAACGTGTATACGAAAGACGTCCTGTACCATGGTTGGACCCCTGTTGTGGTCGCAATGTTGATAAGTTCAATGGGAGGCTTAATCTTGGACTTCATGGTGTCCAGATTCGAAGGCATTGCAGTTTTCCAACCAGTCATCAACGGTGTCGGAGGCAACCTTGTAGCAGTTCAAGCTAGTAGGATTTCAACAGCGTTACATAAACAAGCCGAGTTAGGTATCCTCACATCTGAGTCAATGGTAGATGAAGATAACGTCATTTTCATATCACCTGTAACTAGTTTTTGCGGTAAAGGAGTGCACGCTAGAACAACACGCGTTTTGATGTCAATGGTGATTCCTGGCCACGTCATATTTATCTATACAATTGATTACATGAAAGGTGGAGACACTTCCCTTAGCTCTTTATTTGTAGTGGTATATTTATGTGCAGCTGTGATGCAAGTAGCCACTTTATTGTATGTTGCATACATCATGATACACTGGATGTGGAAGAAGAAAATAGATCCTGACAACTCCGCTATTCCGTATTTAACGTCGATGGGTGATTTGTTAGGAATCTCGTTGTTGGCTATTGCTTTTCAGTTCTTGTATCTTGTTGCCGATCACGATACACCAGGGGATCGTTGAAACGAGGGTGAACAAGCAGATGCCGCGCACTGTGCGACACCTTCTTTGAATACCTCTTTCAGAACTTCTTTGTTGTGATAAAAACACAAAATGACAATAGTTTTTTTAGTATTATTGTTCTCGAAGCTACGGAAGAGTATGTCTTAGATATATTATTTTAATATAGAAGAGTTCAACTATTATAAATGTATTTTTCTTTCATAGAATAAATGATGGCAGACAACTCATTTGTAGTATTAGTCGACAACCCTCTCCTCCTACTGTTCTCAATTCATACAAACTCGTGCGGGGACATCAAGTAGTCACCCTTCAAAGCTATCAACTGACCTCGCATTATTTAATTTAATCAAAATGAGCATATTAATTACATTTCTTACGCAACACATTAGGAACAGGAGTTTATTTATTTAAGGATGACAATTATGTAAATGAAGCGACAATAACAATGGTACGCCCCTCGAGAAAATTTGCTAGGTGTATTGTTGGTTGCATACTATCTGACTTTTTTTGGAAATTTTAATAAAATAATTCATTTTCTATTTTTTTACACAATTTGGTTAAAGAATTGTTTAACTTTGTGAGTACCTAATTGTTTTCCTTACAATTGGTTTAAATTTGACGTTTCTAAAAATGCAACGTTGGCAATAGAGATTCCACTCCCCCCACCGTAAGAGTCGTGTAATCAAATCAGTTAATTAGTGTAGAGATATGTCACTCCGCCCGTTTAGAGAGCATTTCAAGTTATTTATTAAGTAGACAGTGTTATAACTTGTGTCAAAATGTTTAGTTGGTTAACTAGAGACAATAATAAAACCGAAGTGTACGAAAATGTCGTCGAAGGACTTAAAACCATTTACAAAAATAAGCTTCTGCCTTTGGAGCAGCATTATCAGTTCCACGACTTTCACTCGCCCCAACTTGAAGATTCCGACTTCGATGCAAAACCGATGATACTATTAGTTGGTCAGTATTCAACCGGAAAAACTACATTTATCAAATACCTCCTGGAACGAGACTTCCCGGGGATCCGAATCGGTCCTGAACCGACCACAGACAGGTTTATAGCTGTAATGTACGATGATAAAGAGGGAATAATCCCAGGGAATGCCCTCGTCGTTGATCCCAAAAGACAGTTCCGGCCGCTTGGCAAATTTGGGAATGCCTTTTTGAACCGTTTACAATGCTCCCTGGTTAACTCGCCTGTTCTACAGAACATTTCAATCATAGACACCCCTGGCATCCTCTCTGGAGAAAAACAACGAGTTGATCGGGGCTACGACTTCACTGGGGTCCTAGAATGGTTCGCCGAGAGGGTCGACAGAATAATCCTCTTGTTTGACGCTCACAAATTGGACATATCTGATGAATTCAGGCGTTCAATTGAAGCCTTGCGTGGGCATGATGATAAAATCCGGATTGTTCTTAACAAGGCTGACATGATTGACCACCAGCAGCTCATGCGGGTCTATGGAGCGCTGATGTGGTCCCTAGGGAAAGTCCTCCAAACCCCTGAAGTCGCCAGAGTCTACATTGGCTCTTTCTGGGACCAACCACTTCGCTACGATGTCAATCGGCGACTTTTCGAAGACGAGGAACAAGATTTATTTAAAGACTTACAATCTCTTCCCAGAAATGCCGCTCTGCGAAAACTAAACGACTTAATCAAGCGGGCAAGACTAGCCAAAGTTCATGCTTATATTATTTCCGAGCTTCGGAAAGAAATGCCGTCTGTCTTTGGCAAGGATTCGAAAAAGAAAGACCTCATCAAGGGTCTAGGAACGATTTACGAAAGATTGCAAAAGGAGCATCAGATTTCGCCGGGAGATTTCCCCGAAATAAAAAAAATGCAAGAGATTTTGGCCAATCAAGATTTTACAAAGTTTCATCCACTAAAGCCTAAATTGTTGGAAATTGTCGATCGGATGCTGGCCGACGATATTGCTCATTTAATGGCAAAAATTCCATTGGAGGAAGTCAATAATACCGAAACAACGGGTAATGTTAAAGGTGGGGCCTTTGTTAACGTCGAGGACACTGTGTCACCATTTGGGTATAAAAAGGGAGAAGGAATTGATGCCGGAGCTGGCGAAATTGATTGGATCGTCAATAGAGAAAAAGCAAAATACGATCAAATTTTTGATCAAATTGCCACCCCCGATGGCAAAGTCACAGGAATGGGTAAGATATCTTATCAGATAATGTTATATAAGTAATACTTGGTAATCATGAAAACACAAATTTAATCGATTTGTAAACTTAACGATTCTTCGAATTTTATCATATCACTGAGGCGTGACACTTCACGCCAATAAAAAATTAATATTTTCGATTTCGCCTAATTGACACTCTTCCAGTGTCTAATTAGCTTTGCCATTTAGGGTTTTAAAATTTAACGAGAATCACTTTCACATGTGCGACTTACCACCTGAAATATACAAATAAAAGTCTCTTGTGTTTACTAGTTCTGGCCGTAAAATTTCAATTAAAAACTCATAAAATTTTCAGATGTGCTAAAAACTTAAAATTCCTCAATCCGCTCGGTGGTGTCATGCTTATACATATATGTGACATTATCAGTGACTAACTGATACAGAATTTCCTTATTACAAATTTGGTAAAAGTTTTCCGCCGAATTGAGGTAATTAGAACAATAAAAACGGCCTTGTTATAACGGTTATGAAACATTATGCAGAAAAAATTTGCAATTTGGTTTAATATATACGGTCGAAGCGAATTGGAGCTTGATTTTTAATTCATTTTTGTAATCTAAAATCGCTAAGTTGGAATTTTACTGATACAACAACCTGTAAGTTTGTTTGCTCTAAAGATAAGAAATAAGATAAATATACTAATTAAAAAAAGTATTTATTAATACGGTAACACAAACTTAATATTTATTGAATGAATCTGTAATAAAATTTTTGTTTTAGCTGCCAAATCGGAAATGGTTAAATCGAAGTTACCCAATTCTGTGTTGAGTAAAATATGGAAACTGGCCGATGTTGATAAAGACGGAATGCTGGATAATGAAGAATTCGCACTAGCAATGCACTTAATAAATATTAAAATCGACGGAAACGATTTACCATCAGAATTACCAAATCATCTATTACCACCATCAAAACGTTAAATAATACCATCATCCACAAGTGCTATATATTAATTGCATTATCTGTGTGCCTCTTAAGTCAAGAATGTACAAATTTTAGAAGAAACATTGATTTTCTTGATTCCAATACCAAAAAGTTAGTTTTATTAGTTTTCTATCTTTATATTGCAATAACGTAAAATTGTGGCCACAGTAACACTACTGCTGTCTAATATGAACATGTGATAAAAATGCTGTATATATTTGTATTATAAAATAGTGATAAATGACATTTATTTAAATCAACCTACTCATACGTCACCAATTCTGTTGTATTAACATCATTGTTACTTTTTTGTATAGGCACTTGAGGAATTTACACATTGTTGTACGAGTATTTAATTTAATAAAATATTTTAGTTGAATTTTTATTTCATCTAATTCAATTCAAATTGATAGTTCTAGGTGTGTATGCAACCAGTTACAGTTGTGGCATATTATGGGTTGATTGATAGTTTTTTAGGTGTATGCAGCCAGTTAACGTCGTGGCATATTATGGGTTGCCTACCCTAAACTACATAACTATTAAAATCTTTATTCAATCATTATTAACAAAACATGACATGCAAAAAAAAATTAGAAAGTCAAAAAAGGACAAACTGTACACATCCATTTTATTATCTTGTTATTCACGCATTTAATGAGAGTGAATTAACAATTACATTGAACACCTCATCATGTGACAATATTAGTTTGTATACTTGATTTTAGTGACGATGATGTTGATATTGATTTAGTCAGAGCATATTATGGTCTGTGTTGAAAAATAGCCGCAAAATTTTGATTAAATCATATTTCCAGTTTTTAGCACCCATGTGATTCTTCTAAATTAGTTTGAATAATATTCGAAGAAGGAGGAGGCATTATTTAATTACAAAAAATTCTAGTAATTAAAATTTTCTCTGGTGTTTATCGAAGCCAAAGTCTTTCCATATTTGTTTATTTAGCCGTTTCACTGATTTAGATGAAAGATATTTTCAGGGAATTACCATGCCGAAGCAGGATCTTTGAAAATTCCCTGTACATTATTTTTATCGACAAATAATTAACTAGTTATGAGTTAAACTTAATCTTTGATAAAATACAAAAAAAGCAGTATTAGTCACTATTTACTGTAGATTTTTACTTCAATAAGTGGGTGCTCAAAAACAGAATTTAGACATAATTCTTAAATTAGAGTATCAACCATGGTTCATATCATTTGTAACATCTATAGGTATTTGGGTCGATATTCTATTGTGAGCAAGTTAAGTGTTTTATTTTGGTCTTTTATGGTCATGTGTAAAATCAACAGAAGAAAAAATTCTAAAAAACTGCTTGACTTTGAGTACTGCTTGCTTATAATTGATATTATTTATTGTCGATGTTTACATTTAAAGTTAGAAGTTCCATGACGTTGGATTTACAAATAAATGAATCATAATCATAAACTCGAGTGTTACCGTGCCGATAAAAGTTCTGAATCGAAGTGATTTTCGAGGGGTTTTATTGAGAGAAATTTGAATCTTTTCGATAGACTGCTCCCCAAAGATGTCTTCTTTGGGGTGGTATTGTTGCGTGTTGCGTGATTGCTTAAAAGTTAAGTTTAATTTTCCGTTCGTCTGGTAATAATAATTTTGGATCAGTGATTTTGGCATTCGATAATAGCTTGTTTTTGTTTCAAGTTATCTCCCGCAGCCGATTGGCGATTGTGCTGGCGTGCTCGCCAGAGGCGTGCGGCTTGTCTCTTCACGGGGAGCAAATCTTGTTTTATTTTATTTTATGGTTTAGTTTTCCAAAATGTCGGCGTCTACGTCACTGTTTCCGGAAAATGAACAGGCTGTAGTACTTAGTAGTGTAAAGCTTATTGATTATGTTCTAACTATAGCTAATATAGTTGGAGCAAGAAACATCATTTTTGAGCCAAGCGAATTATTCTATCCAGGGTTTATCCAGCTATTCCTCACACTATAGTCGAAGACCTTATTAAAAGATTGGGTTTTTCATTAGCCTCTTCGATGTCGTTTCTTAGAGCAGGGTTTGGAAGTGAAGCTCAGAAATTTAGTCATATTTGTAGTTTTTGAAGACAAGTCTTTGTTCAGCCAGATGAGTCTATTGAATTACCTTCTTCTATGGTCTTAAAAGTCAAGGACACAAATTATAGGGTCTTTTTATCTTATGATGATGTATGTTTTAAGTGTAGAGAACCTGGTCATTTTGCAAGCGATTGTCCAACTACCGCTGAAAATACAGGTGCGCCAGAACTCGCGCCCCAGAGAAAAATTTCAAGTAAGATAAAATACCAAAAACATGAAAAAAAATGACATTTATTTTTTGACATTTGACATTTTTTATGTCTATTTAATGATACTGATGTTCCTGTATATGATTTTTTCATGTCATATATTTTTGAAATGTCTTCTTTTATATCGTGTCGGTACATCCATAAAGCATATATTACAAGTAAATTTATCATTTTGTCTTTACAGTCATAACACATATGTATCCAATTCCATATTTATGATTTTTACTTTTAACAAAATTTGAATGAGATTTAATTGATTTACAAATAGAACATTTGACAGCTTTTTAAAATCTATTAAAACTTTATATATCTCCAAATCTTCCTCTAAACGCTTCAAATTCAGCAAATGCAACTTCATTCGGTCCTTGTACATTTTCTTCAAATTCTGTATTTGTTTTTCTTGATGAACATTAACGTTTCTTACGCTTATTTTTTTCAACCGTTGTTGCACTGTTTTGAATTATTTGAATATGGTTATTATTGTGACGTTGAATCTTGAATCTACTTATTTCTGCTGTTGTGGTTGCACTGTTGTTTTGAAATTCTTTAACATCATTCATAAACTATATTCACACAACCACTAAACTGAAAGAAGAATGAATAATCCCCATAGCTGAGTTCACAGCACCTTTAGGAAATCTAAGGGGTCTGAGGTGTTAGGGACTTTCTTAATGAGTCACAATCTAAAAATAGCTGTGACTCATCAATCTAAAAATAGCAATGACTCAACGAATGTTGACTCATCGATCTAAAAATAACCGTGACATCATGATCTAAAAATAGTCATTACATCAGGGTAGAATTTGTGGTAGGGGATTCCCGAAGATTACCTGCTTTTCTAATTTATTAAAAACTGCACTCTGAATGAAATAAATATGCCAACTATTTATACTTTATTCACTAACAATTTAACCACGATAGCATAGCAATAAGCAACAGCTTTCTCATCCTCAACATAATGCCCATTCCAGTGAAATTTGTGTGCCCCAAATGTAAAGTGGAAACGAAGATTGAAGGAAGCAATTGTCTGAAATGTGAAGTAGATTATTTTAAAATTTTAGGACATAATATAAATATTAAATATAAATAAACGTTTATTTCAAGTTTATTTGTTTTATTTTATTAATTCATATGTTTTAGTATCCAAAATATAAAATAAAATACTTAAAGAGTCACAAGCTAAAAATAGCGGTAACTCATCAAATCTATAAATAACTATGATTCATGGATCTAAAAATAATCATGATATCATAATTCTCAGAAGTTGCAGTGGGGGATTCCCGGAATCCAAGAGTGGGATTCGCATTCCCGGAACCAGGATCCAGAAGTGGGATCCAAATTCCCGGAAATGGCGCATGCGCAGATACTTCGGGATTATGTTCGTTAGCCCTACCTCTACAAGTTTCTCTTGGTGCGGGGATAATAAAAATCTTAGATAAGAGATTAAAAATATTAGAAAAAAAAATCTTATAGACAGTTATTGACCAATTTTCTGTCGGCCTCGGGCGGCGAAAACCCACGTTACGCCACTGGATCAATGGTGTCTGTTTCAATTTTAAAGTTGGCGAATATCTCACGAACGGTTGGTTTTAGGCATATGGTATAAAAACTTTTTAAAAGACAATTTAACAAGGAATCCAAAAGTGGTAAAATATACAGGTTGTTTCATTTAAAAACGTAAAGTTGATGTCATTTTCTGTGAAACAGAAAACAGCATTAATTTAGCATCTATCTCAAACGATACATGACAAAAAATGTTCAACTTTATTCTAAGAACTATTGTCATAAGTAGTCATAACTTATAATGGACTTATGGCTTGGGGCGTTTTTCATAATACAGCCTGTATAATGTCAAAACACAAATTAAAAATAGTAACTGAAGACTATAAATTTGAAAAGGTGTATTTTGTAAGTGCCAAAATCAGATAACTATACATATATTTTTATAACTGCCTATACAATTTGTATGGCGGAACGATAATTGGGCTGCCTATCACGGAAAACCGAAAATAATTTTCCCGTTTATTACGAGTCTCGTGTGCGTATGCGCAAAATATCTGGGATTGTTGACTGATACACACCTGTGATACACACTACACACAGTGTTGACAATTAAAGTTGATATTAATTCTTGTTTTTCGGTTTCGTCCTGTGATTCCATTATTCATCAGTTTGAGGTAAGTAATACAATATGTAAAATTCATCGAATTTGATATTTATAATATGTAACTATAAATTTTGTATGCGTAAACATAGCAATCTGCAACGTTTCTATATTTACAGATAAAAATGGGAAAAAAACGGATAACTGATAAACTCTTTGGAGTAAAAATTATCTCATTGAAGACTTTCGACGATTTCAGTTAACTTTGAACTAACAACGAAAAAAAGGGATTTTGTCGGATATGTGAACATGACTGAATACGACTCGTGTAAGAGTTGAATACAAGGAGAAAAGAATTTCAATTACACCGTCCGCTTTTCGAGACGGATTTCACCTCCCAAGACGATAGAAGAGTAAGACTGCAAATGTCCGATGGAGTCCAGATCGAACTCGAGTTTGATTCATTTGATGACAAAGAGCACTTTAAAACATCTTTAGGGGATCTAAATCGTAAGAACAACCAAATGGAAGTTTTATTTGAACTATGTTAGTTGTTTTACTCTTGCAGATCATCGGAGGAGAGCAACCCAGCAGAAGATTAAATTAATTAAATTAAATTTTGTTTTGCGTGTTGTAATAATAAATAATTGAAAATGTTTATGAAATTTCATTTATGTGGGCATGAAAGTTGATTTTTAATGTTGTTATCACAATTTCGAATTGCCAGTAGGAGAACAAAACCTTTTAGTCAATTTATGGTATGAATTAGAGATTTTCATAACTTATCAACATAAAAAATGGTAAATGGTAAATATAAATACCTTAAAACAAAGAATTTTTGAAATATTTGCTTTTTGAATAATGTACCTTAAAAAAACAGTGTTGTATGTTGAAGGGGCGTTACTATATTGATTTTCAACGATTTATGTGCTGACCGTTGATATTATTTTATCTTAGTGGTATAAAATATGTTTTTTAATTTCATAACCTGTTTGGACGAAACCGTATTCATTTTTTGTGCTGAAGTGGCGAAAAACAGAGGCGAAGAGGCAAATTATAAGTGTTTTCAAAGGTGAATTTGTTTGGCCGAAATCGTATTCATATGTGTTCTGAAATGGCCCAATAGATAAACGGAGCAAAAAGTCGAATTTTATCTTTTAACAAAGATACCTTGAAAAACGGGGTAGATTTGATAAAAAAAATGATATGTGCTGAAAAGCCCATATAATTTTGCTTTTTTAAATATACTTTTGAAAACAAGGTCAAAATCCTTAAAATGTGTTATGTGCTGAACAAGCCCATACAGTTTTGCTTTTTTAAATATACCTTTGAAAACAAGGTCAAAATCCTTAAAAAACAAAGTGTTCTGAAGAGGCCTTACTAGTAGTTTCGTTCAAATCGGAATGTTGATTATTGAATAGCAGTGAGTCATATTTCGAAAATATCCTGGTTTCTGCGGCAGATACCCGCAAGGTTGGCAAATAAAAATGCCTTATCTAATGTCTATATGTAATATCTCTAATAGTGCTATGTCTAAACAAGAGATAGATAGGTCGACATTATATCGAATTGGAATAAGTTATCGACTACAATCACAATGGAATGAATCATTTTCGAAAGATTGGACTAGAATCATGAGTATTAGTCATCGGTGTTGAATGCGCATGCGTGATTGTCACATTCTGGCCAATGGCAAACAAGGAATTGCAATGCGGGCATGAACTGAATGGTTTGTATGGTGCATGACTCATTGACTCATATTCATCCGTCATCGACGACTATACGCATACGAGGTTATTTTAGTTAGTATCGCAAATTTCGCGCCTTTAAGGATGTTCCATATTGAACGTGTCTATCATTTAATCGGCGAACTCTAGTGGAAATTTCTGTGCCCGAATATGTTAATATTTGTGAAATGTGTTCCTATTTGTAAATAATGTTTTAAACACCTTGGGTCAAAACTGTCGGATTTAACGGCCCTTACGGACCAACTTCGGTAAGTTTACGTTTTTGCGACCTTTAAATGAAACGCGTCAGTCAATTTGACAACTTTATAAACAATCGATAAATGGGAAATTCTTCCTGTTTTTCCTCGATACGCTTTTGTTGACATTTCCCTGTTCTATATTTAGAAGTACGTTTAGCCTTTCAAATCCAAAATTCTACGGAACTGTTAAAATTCGATCAAAATTTTACAACTCGACCACAATTTCCTAACTGATTAGATAATTGTGTTGAACTTTTGCATTTACTTCCGCAAGATTGATAACGTGTTTATTCAAACATTAATTTTTAATTTGGAAAAAAATCAAAAATCCTACAAGAGAAATTGAGCTATTGTTATCTTGTCAAATATAATAATAATAATAATCGACTGATATAACAATTGCGATTTGCTCCTGATTAAAACGATATTAATTGTGATAGATAAGGAATTAATCAAATTTCATCAGTTGTCAACTTGTTGCTTTCGCCCCTCCGTAAGTCGATCATGTGGCCGAAAGCAACCTAATCGGCATTAGGATTACCCCTAATTAAATTACATAAATTGTTCTTCTCGTACAACATCATGCAACAGGAAGGAGTAATTATCACTCAGTCATTCACCCAGTTTCATTGATAAGTAAAGCTCTGAGTCAGGTTTGCGTGGAGGGGTGTATAGACCGTTCAAGGGGGTGTTGTTGCATTTATAACCGAGAACAACAGCACATGTTGGCACTAACGTGAGTTTTCCTCAACTCTTCCAGATATAGCGCGTGACGTGCGTAACCAGCGTCATGTCAGTGTGTCTCGAAAGCAGTCGGCCGCGGGACGGTCTAAAGCTTCCTCTAAACCGAAGTTTTAGTGAACCTGGACCCCCAACTCCGGGCCATCTCACTCTAAGTCCCCCCAAACGTTGCAAACTGGATACTCCGAGTGTGAGCTTGCCGACGAGTCCTTGCGCCGAAAGCGCGACTCTCCAGAGGGCCCTCATCCTGAAAAAGGTCAAAACGGTGGATCCTGACGGACTCAAGATCAAACTCGAGGCGGCCAGGCATGGCCCCAAATCCTTCATCGTTTTGGACTGTCGCCCGTTCATATCATACAACGTTAATCATATCAACGGCGCTATCAACATCAACTGCTCGGATAGATTCAACCGACGAAGGCTGCAACAAGGGAAGGCCACTTTGGCCGATTTGGCCACGACGAGGGAGGGAAAAGACGTGCTCAAACGGAGGGCCTTCAAGGAGGTCATCGTCTATGACGATAACACGTGTGATAAAGAAAGGATTACAACAGCGCAGCCTCTTCTGCTCGTACTGTCCTCCCTCGTCGAAGATAACAAGGAACCTTCGCTCCTCATCGGTAAGTCACACTTTCATACTGAGCTTTTGAAGCGAAACTGCGTAGTAGAAAAATTGCAAGGCACTTGCGAGTTTTGCTTGAGAAAAACCGTTTTATAAAAAGATATGACACTATCAAATATTTGATTTAAAACTGAGCAATAGTGTTGTAACTGTTAAGTAATATTTAAATATTTATTCATATCTATTAATTGCGTTGTAAATTTGTTTTGCCACATTAGCTCTATTGTGTACAAATAAAACAAAAAGAAAGCTACGTCAGTTTTTGCGATAGTTTTTCCCCTAAAATTGTCAGCTGAGTCACGAAGTGTTATCCACCTTGTAGAGAAGCTGTGACGTTACTGGACAAAAATATCGACAATTCTGTATTTTGCACACGGCTCGTTTTCCCGATGAGTGCTATTTTGACAATAACATCCATAATTATACAGATAGCAACAATCAAAAGTGGATAATTTCATTTCTATCAACCGTCACACAAGACTTTTTACTCTACCGAAAAAACTAAATACTGATTTTGTTGACCAACAAGAACAACATAGTGAATCATATTTTGTTACTTATTTAGATTATCTTCTAAATTAACATAAATAAATGAATTATTCTATTACACCTACTAGATGACTCGATTTTGGTTATCATAAGGTGGAAGTCTCACGTCACAAGGGAAAAATTCCCTATTTTTTGTTATTTCCCTATCAAAGTCTGTGAAGATATTTCGGATCAGATATAATCAAAAACAGAGATGATTTTATAAATTGATACCTGAGTTGTTTATTGACATTGTACTTTCACTTAAAGAAATTTATTGCCACCCACATGGCTAACTATGAAATAATTAACTGTTTACGTCTTGTCTCGAATAAATTAATCTATTTGTAAATTTCTTCGATAAATATGTTTTTAAATAATAATGTTTAACACACAGTTATGAGAGAACTGACGTCAGTTTTCTTTCCTAATCTATTGTACTGATATGAAGTACTTATCCTTGATAAATTTGTTTCATGCTTGTAAAATAAATTTAAAAGTCCGTTTCGTGCGTGTTTTTTTACTTATTTTTATTTAATCAAACATTATAAGAAATAAAGGCCCTTGAAATTTGCACGATCAATAAAAAGATTAATTGATAAATAAATACAAATCTAAAAATATGTGTCGGTAACACTTTTAAAAGTGATTGTTAAAATCGTTATGTCGTACCACTCGGTGAAAATAGGAAAAACGAATCCTGATATTGATTTTAGTCTCTTTATCTTAATTAACTCTAATTATAAATTTAAAATCTCAATTAAACTGCTGGATTTTTCCATAAGCTTTTATGGATTATGATTTAAATAAGTTGTAAATTGTGGAAACAATACCGAGTGGTTTATGATAGTTGCTGTTTGTTTTATTTATGGTCTATAAGAATTTTGTGGCGAAAAATTGCAATTACATTTTATGATTATGACTTGTAGAACAGAAGAACAAACTTTAACTTTCTTAAAATTATTTTTAAAATTTCAGTTTGTGGCGCATTTGTCATTTTAAAAACAAAAGTTGATGTCATTTGACTCAAGCGGTTAAATATGTGACTGTATTTATGTACCATTAGTCCTTGCCAAAAGACATGACTAATACAGCACAATGTAAATACAAATCAGTACGGCAATATCATCGTCTACTTATTTCAAGAATTCGGAGGAAAATGTCACTTTTATGGAAAAAAAGAAGACGAATTGTTTTTGTGAAATTCCAAATGTTGTAGAAAAATACCGATTATTATAAACACTTCTTGGGATTTCACAGTCATATTTCTTTTGAAATTTTGTAATACTGGAAGCCGGTGTATCATCCAATTTGTCAATTAGGCGAATTGTGTAGTCAATTGTAATCAAATTTGCATTTTTCAATATTTAGAAAGTGGGATTAAAATTAAATTAAAACAGAGATTAAAACACAACAAATGCTTATATACTCATACGCATTATCATTTTATTAACATTATAAAAATATAATTTTGCCAAATAACAAAGAGGTATTTTTATTCAAATATATTGAGACACTATTCTACAACTTGTGTGTGTAAAAGTCTGTTATGACTTATGTTATTATCACTATATCGTAGCGTAATTTTGTCAGGAGCGATTAAATAATAAAGGTCGTTATGAAATACAATATATCAAAGTTGTATGACTAAGCCTTGTGCCGCTTAGGTTGAGAAATATCAAAATATAGTGGAAACTGATAAAATCTCGTATGGGAAATGGAAAATGATTGTGAAAAATCGCATCCATCATAATGGTGTGCATGAAAGCATCGATGATTATTTAGTACATTATTTCAAAGGTTAAATTGATAATGCAAATTCTTGCTGATTTAAATATTTTTCCAGTTGGTCATATCGGAAGGAGTTCCTCTTTAGTAACTCTTAAATGTTTTTTTAATTTTAATCGGCGTGACTAAAGGCAGGTGCTGCACACTAAACGCTTGACTCAGTGCGTTATCAAAGTTACGCACCCTAAAATGTAAACCGTATTTCGGACTGAAGACTCAATACCGCAAGTTGAATAATTTTTCCACTGAAATGTCATTGTTTAAACAAGTGTAAATCATCGTCGAATTTGCATTCCTATTATTCATGTTGCTTTTCCATCGATCCGACAGGAAAATGTCTTGTTTTGTTCATATGTGATTAATAAATAATTTATTAAAATGAAATTTTACCGACCCCGAATGATTCACTGTTCATTTCATCCGAATCAAAAGTCAGTTCGAAAAATCCTAATCACCTTTATGATTAATTTTTCTAATCTATGATCCTGATTTTGACATTTTGCTTAGTGAATCATGGACAATTAAACTTATCTGTTAAGAGCAGATTTTGCTGGGTGATAACGTTATGAGAGGGTTTAGTGAAATTTTCGCAGGTAATAAACAATAACAGGATTAGTCAGTGCTTTTCTTCACTTTTCTTAATTATTATTACTCATGGAAGGGGAATATGGTAAACAAAAAAAACTGTGGTGATTTCTGGAAGTACAAGGGGATTTCAATTTCGGCCTTGAGTGTTTAAAATGACGCAGAACATAAACATTAATGGACAGTGAATGACGCATAGTCCCCTCTCCATTTCACATCACTTTAGTGATCGTTTCGGTACGGAATCACTTGCATAGTATCTGACAGTCTGTATAATTGAAGTGATTTTTTTTTAAGTGTAATTGTGTATAGTGCAAACAAAAATGAGGATTAAAAGGCCCAGCAATTGTCTAGTTTTGAGGTTTAGGCCTATACCTCAACAAAGTAAGTGTTTTCATTCACAATTTCCATATTCATAATTGACTGATTTGAAATTGAAATTAAAAAAAAAAAACAATTGGATGTGCTTGAATTTATAAATTTTCAAAAATGAGTCATGCTTTATTTCCAAAAAAGTCGAAGATCTGAATAATGAATGAAATATCTAAACGATAACCCGATACATTTTCCATAAATTAGAATTGTGTTAAATTGTGGCATATCAGTGGCCGGAAAGTGTCACACTTAGCCATTTCCGTGTTTTGGTAACGTTGACAGGGGGAATCCCCTCAGAATTAGCCCACTATCTTGATTTGTTTGATCATTCACTGACTAAATCATTTCGATTTGAGTCATACGTATTGTCATCTGTCATTACGCACCCTTCTACAGGGTGATTCACCGTAAATGCAACTTGTGAAATCTACCTGAGTCCAAAAATGATCCTTGTGACTCGTGTCCGGGGTTTTTTAACTGGAAATTTATTAAATAATCGTCAGACCATTTTATTATGAAAACATCTCGCACTTAGTCATTTTAAATTTGTTTATGTTATTTGTTTGTTATTTGCATTAGTGCGGTTGGATGACGTCAGTGTGGCAAATTAGGGGTGTATAAATCTGCAATTTCGGGGTGTTGATTGTAAACAATTACCCCCGGCTAGTGCGATAAGGGTAGAGCATTTAAATAAAAAAGGCGGGGGGCCAACATCTGGTCCTGGAAGAGCTTTCGAGCAAAGATTCGTTATTGTTCCCATCTTAGTGAGTCACCAACCAACAAATAACACCACGGTTTCAATGATCCCTCCACTATTAGAGGGTTGAAGATATGAATCATGAGCCAGTGTTTAAATAATTTTTATTCAATTATTAATACCCCCAATATGCACCAGATTTTATGAAATGACTCACTTACTTCGTTTGTTATGCTAATTACGATTATTATTCATTATTTCAAATTCCTCTACCCTTCTTGTCTCACTCATGAATAAAATGAACTAATTTAAATGCTGTGTGAATATTTCTGTTTGTCCTGACCTAATAATGAGCTAATTAATATCGTCACGTGGCCAATTACTGAAAATCACGCACGCCGCCATTATGTAACACCCGAATTTGGAAAAATTAATACGTAATGAAAGCCTATTCACAGCCGATAATTCATTCCATTCTATTTTATCAATCCAAAAACAAATTAGGGTCAGTTTGACTCCAAGCCAAAACAGGACACGCTCAAACTATGATTAAAATTAGAAAAACCGACTTACGCAGGCCAAACTAGCCCCGTTATTACGCAAAAAATTACTAGCAAAACTCTTGTCCACAATAATATCTAAGTTATTCTTTCCACAATTAAGTCAATGAGGACACTTCCGGAATTTTTTTGTCAAAATTTAATTTTACAAAAAAAAGACTCATTCAGCTGCCGAGGACGCTTCTTAAAAATTTGTGTAAAAAAACTAGAAACACAATTGCATAATTAGAGTCTGGTAAATTCAAGGTATACATCGATATAATAATATGTCCCGTTATATCTATATCTTGGATTTATCAAGCCTTAAAAAACAGACTTTATTGCATAGTAAGTCATTTATTTCTATTAAAGAAAAATAAAAAATATAGCAACTTCTATCATCCCAGGTGGCCTCTCCCCCTTTTAGGCGCCCATAATTTTGCTTAATAATAAATTATAAAATTCTCTGTATGTTCGAAAAATTTTTTGTTTATACATATCCCAAGTTTTAATGCCGTCTTATAAGGATTATAAAGACTTCATAGTGCTTTGATATTATTCAAAATTTTTAGCGTATGGCAGTGAGATGATAAAAACCAAATTTGGAAACAAAAGTTTCACTTAAATAATATAATTTCTACATGAAAAAATTCCTTAATTTTTTAATAATAATTGTAAAAATAGAATAATGCAAAAGTTGATAAGTTTAATATTGAAAATCTGAAAGTTTCAATAATTTATGGTTGGGTTTGTGGTAATTGGTCATCAGGCCAAAATTTCTTGACATTTATGACGTACCCGAGCTCTATTGTGAAGCCTCCGCTCTATTGTCAATGCATTAGTAGCACATCATCCCAAACTTTGCCATAAATTACCAAAATTCCCAATGTTCAATATTAAAATCAAAATATATCACCTTTTACATTATCCAATTTTCACAGTTACCATTAGAAAAAAATCAAGGAATTTTATCATGTAGAAAATATTCCAATTAATTAAAAAAAAAAATGTTTCCAAATTTGGTTTTTAAGGTCTCGCTGACATACGCTAAATATTTTGAACAATATCAAAGTACTAAATTAAAGTCTATATAATCCTCTATAGTTTGCAATAGCAAAAAATTTTTTTAATCAATTAGAATTATTTGTTTTTGGGCCGCCCTAAAACTTAGGACACGCTGTACAATAAAGTAATTGTCTCACACAAGGAAGTACAAAATAAATTACTGCATGTTTATATAATTTATTCTGTACAAATATTTGAATTTTTAAACATTACAAATTTCCCATTTAAATCATAAATAATGCAATAATAAATTGGCGCGAAATTTGAATTATCTATGTTCTACGCGAAAAATAACTTGTTTGCCTTTTACTAGTATTTGCGGCTTTGATTGGAATTTATTTGAATAGAAAGTTTCAAAAGTAGATTCCGAAATCTGCGAGGTCAGTCGACGTAAACCGGCCGGAGTCTGGAGTATTTATTATAATTTAGTTGAGGTCATTTCCGGTAAAACCGAAAGTTGGTTTCCACCCGTCCTCATTGTTCTTATTAAATGAAGAATTGTAAAGGTAAATTTGTTGAAAGTGCAGGAATTACGTCAGTATCGGGTCCGCCACGGGTAATTGTCGTAAACGCTTCAACTATGAGTCATTCTGTTTCTTTTCAGGAGGTCACACCGAATTCCATCGTAAACACAAGGATTTGTGCGAAGACACTCTGGTCACCGGTCTAACATCTCGGGGTTTGCCTTCATCGGCCTCCTGTCCGGCCCTCGCCGATATAGATTCGCATCCTGCCTCTCGAGTTCTGCCCTTCTTGTATCTGGGCAACAGCAAGAATGCAGCTGACTTGTCTTGTCTACAAGATCTCGGCACCACCTGCGTTCTTAATGTTACACCACAGCTGGCCGGGTACCACGAAACCTGCGGGATCACGTACAAGCAAATACCTGCCACCGACAACGGACATCAAAACCTCAAACAGTATTTTGAAGAGGCTTTCGAATTTATCGGTGAGTTACGAGACCCAACTCCAAATTACATTTCATTTTCGATGTAATTCCTGTGTTGAACTTGGGGTGACCTCAAGCATGCAGGAAGAGCGGAACATGTCTGCCTTCCTCTCTTGATGTTAATTCGATTGAAAGGCCTAGAACGGTGATTATTTAGCAAGAACCTCCGTTCCATTCCATGCATTCATTGTCCCAGAGTGAAAGCATGGGTGCAAGTTCTTATGAATGGCGCACATTCGGCTGGGTAACGGCCTTGTCGAAGTTTTGAGTCACAGCAATCATTACTCATCCTACTCATTGTTCAAGGGCCGTTGGCCGACGTTCCCGTGACTCATACGCGGTATCCCGTAACCATATGCACAAGACATTAATTGTGTTAGTGCCCTAAAGCCCTACCTCTGGTAGTAAACACCGATTAGCGACTATAACGGAATAGTCACTGCGGCAATAGGCCTATGTTTTTCCAAATCCACCATTACGAAATCGTCCAGGTCAATACTCTTATAAATATTATTGTTAATTAAATTTCTCGAAATGTCAGCATTGGTGAAATTTGCTTACATAATTCGAAACCATGCTATAATTCATAAAAACGGCACGTGCTTATCAATCGAAACAAACCAATAAAATGCAACAATTTCCTTTTTATGGTATTTCATATTTTAAGTCTGTTCGAAAATAAATTTAGACTCTAATAAAGAGAATGACTCATAAATACTTCTGTCCCACTCGCGGTTCATTCTATTTAAATCGGCCCCAAATACTTTCGGAAATAAAAATAAATTATTTCATTAATTACACACGTTATCCTTCAACGTTGGCGTATTGAAGGTTGCATACTTGCCGGAAGATAAAGATTTCCGGAAGCAATGCACTAGGAAATCAAACCAAGTAGAATAAAATTAATTTATTTGTCACGATTTTGCTAAATAAATATTTTTTTTGTTGCAGAGGAAGCGAGGAACAACGGACTACGGGTGTTGGTACATTGCCAGGCCGGAATTTCCCGCAGCGCCACAATAGCGATCGCTTATATAATGAAATATAAACAAATGTCGATGGTTGAAGCGTACAAATTGGTGAAAGCTTGCCGGCCTATAATATCCCCCAATTTAAATTTCATGGGACAACTGTTAGAATTAGAACAAAGTTTACGTAGTGGTAGCAATAACAACAATCATCAATGTCGCTGGAGCCAGCAGTCCAGTGATGAAGTGACACAAGGCTGTAGTGTTTGAATGCATTATAAACATTAGGGGTTTGGAGTGGAGCCTCACATTAAATAAATTTTAGTCATTCAACTCGCCATTTAATTTGCATTCTAGTCTATGATTGGTGAAGCATTGATTTTAGGAAGAGAAAAGCTTTAATAGTCACGGATTTATAGCAGCCTTTGCAGATTTGGGTAGCTTTAAATTACTAATTTAATGACATGATCAATGCTTTACTGTTTGAGAAAATGGCTGTGTACCAATAAAGATATTCACTATAAGATAGTATGCAGTAGAAATTATGATTTTGCGTATTTTTTTTTTTACTTCTATGCAGCTGGTTTAAAGTGTGGCTAGTGGTAAAGGAATATTTAAGTCATGGAATGAAGTCAGTGATTTTGAAGTAGGTCTTGAATTAAGTCGTCGCAAAATGAATTAATTTCATAAGCAGACTTCAGTTCTTAGTGTATTTTATTTATTACTTATATATGAATTTATATATCAAAAACCTAACTATATAAAGTTCTACGGGTTAAACTCCCACTATTATATTATGTCATAAAATGTTGCCATAGTTTATCATGAAATTAAGTCAGTGTTTTAGTTTTTAGTTAGTAATGATTAATCGTATGTTTTTTATGTTGATCTATATTTAAAGGACGTTTATTTGGAATATTATTTTAGTTTTCAATTAATAAGGAAGTATTTTTTGTGACTAGAGAATCAACATATTTATTGAAATTGTCGTTGTGATTTTTCTCATAGTATCTTAAGCCCTGGCATGAACGATTAGGTAGAAAAAGGTGCGAAATGATTGATGGATGGTGAAGTACCAGGTCACTAATTACCAAATAGGTGCACATTGTATATTTAGCGACACCATCGCATTAACAAAATTGTGCCTTCACTATTGTTTTGTAAGGAACTTATTTATAAAAATTCAGACTGTCCACATAGTTGTTTTGTAGTTTTGTTGAAGTCCATAACTTATACATAATTACAAAAAATCTTCAAAAAATTGTGTTTCATTTCAATACAAAAAAAAAACCTTTAATAACAGTACAAATATACAAAATAGTAATTAATTACAAACATTTCAAAGTTCTTCGTGATGTGAAGGAAATTTCTTCAGAATAGCATGATACAGATTATAAAATGCATACACACTAACTGTTATTATTACTACTAATGCTACGCCAAAAACAACGCTTAAAAAACTCCCGTCAATGATTCCCACAGCATTGGACCTCCTCCCTTCATCGATATCCCCAGTTCTTTGCCTTTCGGCCATCAACCTCTTCATATTGTTCAATCTTTGCCTCAGTTCATCCACAGTGTCACCGGTTGGCTCTGAAACAGTCGCCTGGAGTGTAAGCAACCCACTATACAGCGTTACCACGATAATATCCAAAAAGTTCAAATTTTTACTTAGGACCAAATAAAGAAATCATAAATAAAAAGTTAAGCCAGTTATGCGACAAAAAATAATTGTCTCGTGACTCATGCTTTTCTAAATAAATATTCTTTACCTAACTGCCATTTATAGCAGTGACGATTTTGTTTTCACCTTCATTATTCCCAGAAAGCACTAAAGTTTGGAAAAAACCTGCATAGCCAATCATAAAAAATCACCTCCGTGTGTGAAAAAAATATTGCAAGCAATGTTTATTTTTGGATTTTAGGTGACTGATACCTGAATACCGATTTAATCTTTTAAACTCGACCCACTTCGGGGCTATTTTTAAGACCCAATTTTTCAAAGTGGTGCATCATTGAACCATTATCTGGGTACTCAACAACAATTAATAATACACATGAGTCACACAAACAAATCACCTTTAAATTTTTTACTAATAAATAGTGAGTTTCTTGAACTCTGACTAGCAGATGATTCAATTTTCTATAAAAGTATCTCGAGGGAATTAATCACGTGTGATGTATCAACAAATGTGCTAGACAAATAAATAAGGTGGCATTACATAGTTGCTTTATTTTGACCTAAAATTAATCAAGCCAATTTCTAGAGTTGATTTCTTCCTGGTTGAAGAATTGAACTAGATTTTTTTTGTTTCATTATAAAAGTATAGAAAGAATTAATCACATGCAATTAATTGGTGGAAGACTTTTTCTCTAATTAAATAATTTCTGCAATTACTTGATTGTACCCTTGTTAATTAAAGTCGTGCGATCACAAATGACAAGAAATCAATAACTCTTCCGTAAATAGAACAAGTTTCCTATTTTTTACATTATGTGTTTTCTATAATGTTTTTAAAAATAGGAACGATTTAATTTAAATACTGGAGATGCTGCAGCATCCGATAGGAGTGGAAAGGGATGGAAAAAAATTAAGATTTATGATGTGTTCGTGTTCTTCTTACCTGTGTCCATTATAATGCGTCTGTCAACAGGACGATGTCATTATTGATTGTGAGACTGTAAAAATCAGAAGTGGACCAAATAGGAGCAAGCCGCGGGAAACTGGGGAAACTGGATGATGAAACGGATCGAAAAGATGAAAGACCCACCCTCGTCTCAAAGTTGCGCACGCTTGCAGCATATCCCTTGATGATTTCAGTGTTTACCGGAGAATTTTGCTTAAAATTTCCCCCTTAACACACGTTGTTTTTGCGCAAATTTAGTGCTAGTATTCTTATTCTCGATTTTAGTGCGAAAAACTGAACAAAATTATTCGTGAATTTATAAATAAATTTTGGTGTAAGTTGCCCGAAAGGCTGACTAGTTGTTTTTCTTTGATTTTGCACTAATCGTTGTCGAAATTTGTGTGACACCTTTTCTCTTCTTCTATGAAAAATTGTTGTGGTCAATATTTGCTTAACAATGGCAGGTTGTATATAAGCTGAACAGCCATGACCGTTCATTGGTTTTTGATGTAATTTTTGTTTTGCCACTTGAGAACAAGTGGATCTGTACATTGCAAAGGGGAGGTAGAAGAAGTGTTTTTTTTGGGTTTAGTTCATTTAAATGTTCAAAGGTGTAGTTATACAAAGTGCTAGATTGTATGTGTTGTCGACAGGTTTTGGTTTTAGTTTTAAGTAAATACGTGTTTTAAAGTAGATTTCGAATAGTGCCCGGATTCCGGTTAAAAGCGCAACTCTGGAAAGAACCTATTGATGAAGATATATCGATTGGTTGCGAACTAAGGCAGCTGATGTTCAGTGCTTCTGCTCAATTTTAGACTGATGTTCACGACAGATCTATTAAATATGCGCTCTTATATTAATATGCGATGTAAGTGCTAATTGTAAGTAGCAATCGTATTTTTAGCGCGCGCGAGTGTCGGGTGGCAGGATGCTATCGATCTCCTATAGGAGAGGATGCTGGGATTGCTGGGGCCTAGCCACGTGTCTATGTCCCTCTGTTCTTGTAGAATCCTTCAGTTGTCCCTTATTTTCTACCACTATTGATTTGTAATGGGATAACGAAGCTGCCCCCATGTTGAAGATTCCCGCACGTTTTAAACAATGTGACCTCAGTGTTTCCCTTGCGTTTGATTATTGTGACTGCATTGTCAACATGGGTACTCGTGCTGCTGCATGTAAGCAACTTTATACCTTCTATGTCGTTCTTCACACTCTCTTTGTATACATCGATGTGCTCATTCCTCACCAATGGCACTGACCAGAACATTCTACTACATCCATCAATCAAAACTTTCCAAAACTTGAATCAACAACTGAACACACTTTCCAAATCACTTCTACTATTCTTTCTCAGACTTACTAAAAATCGCAAGTTCATGTTCTGGAAAGACTCAAAATTCTAGTCGGTGCCAAAAACACGTCAAAATTTTTTCTCAAATCCTTTCATTAGTTACAGCCAAAATACGCAGCTTATATGACTACCAACTGCGGCTTATGCAGGGGGTTATGCCTCCTCCTTCGGGGGTTGACATAGCAAACACTATCAAATACTTCACACAAACACTCCTAAGTAAGTCACAATAACGTGGAAACGCGTCTTCCAAAATCTTTTTTAGCCGTTCTCAAAGATGTACCCAATTCACCTCTAGATCTTTTGAAAAATCCAGAAATGGATTCAGTACGCATGGGACTTTTTCCGAGCTTAGACTACAAAGGGCTTTACAATTCACTCGTTCCTTTAATCGAAGTCGCGCCACTCATCCAATACGGACTCAACTGTAAGACCTCGTTGAGTACTCTTCAAATTTCCAAAAATCGTGATTTCAGCTTTCGGACAAGCCACCCTTCAATGCCTCGGATGTCTTCTGCCTTTCCTAGAGCACGACCTCATTGACAATTTGCCTTATTTAACCGCATCCTCAATAGCAGTCCTTCCTAGCAGCCTTCACCAAGACATTGTCAACTCGTTATGTTTTTACATCCTCCCATTTACGATAAGTAATTAACACGAGTTTCATCACGTCCCCAATTTCACTTGATCGAAATTTTAGCACGACACAATGACCGAGAGCAAGAAATCTGTCAGTCAGTATCGGCCGTAATCATGATGGTGTTTCAATATTCAACAAACCCCGCTCATCACTGTCAACTTCTCGAATGTCTAATGACACTCAAGAAGAACATTCTTAAAGACATTCTGAGCGTAATCGCCTATGGTACGTCAACAGCACGATCCTCAGCAGCCAAGCTCTTATTTTATTACTGGCCTACATTCAACGCAAATTTATTTGACCGGAAAAATCTAATTTGCAAGTTCGCAGGTAAATCCCAAATAATAATTGTCATAAAGTAGTACAAATAAATTTTATGCAGATCCTACACCTTTTGTTTGCAAACGAGACATGTGTCCAAATGCCGGAAACGCTGAAGCCGCCAAAGTGTGTTACGATCATTGTATTTCAATCACTTTCGCTAGTGATACTCCGCCGCCCCTTTACTTGTGTATTGAATGCGCTAACGAGATCCACAGGGAGCACCCCAATCAAATGTTTTTCGATATTCTACACCCGATGCAACAAGTGTCTATGGTTTGTGAAAATAAAGTAAGTCCTAAATTGACGTTAAATAAATTCTGAGAGAGGAGTTGTAGAATTGTCGATCGACTGATAAGTCGGCAATTTCAATCTGTTTTTCGACCGAATGTGCGAGTTATAATGGCAATCACCCGATTAGATATTGTGAGCAGTGTCACAACAATCGACATAATAACAGAAGGGGAGGAGATCACATCGTTCACAAAAGCTTGCCACCAACTTGGAGTATGGATGCAGAAATGCAAACCTACATGGTGGAAGCTATTGTGAGGTATTGTGAGTTTACAGTTTTCAGCCCAAATGGTATTTTATTTGTTTTAGTTTGTTGAAAGAAGCAAAAATCCCCACGATTGAGACAAAGGAGAACGTGGAGGGTAAAGCTCCGATCCCTGCTGTTGATAATATAACAGTAGAGGAGCGACAGCTTCTAGGTAGATACGGTGTTTGGTTGTTGGTGGGGAGATGTACCCCAACAGACAATACACCAAATGAAGTATTAGGGCGGCTTTTAGCAATGCTTTTCCATTGGTTTCATATGACTGCGTATTCATATGATGGTAAAGCAACTTACTTTCAAAGTCTGTGTAACTATTATCTTGCGTTTTGTACAGGCCAGGAAGAAAGTACCTTAGAGAAATTAAAGACTGAAAATGTATGTGGTTGGCTGAGAGAAATCAGTAAAACCCATTATAAACTTTTTATTTCATGTCTTTTACCCCATCCTCCTGAATACGCCCGAATCGGAGGCCACTGGTACGAAAATCAAAAGCCGGGAAAAACTTTTGACTCGACTTATTCCAGGGATACTTTAGCTTCACGTACTTCTCATTTAAAAGATGGTCTTAACCGCCTGTTTTGCCTAGTACCATACGAGGTAATAACGCAAGAAATTTGGGACTATGTAATGCCGCACTGGATGGAAGCCATAGTTAACGACGTTCCTGAAAAAGAACTCTCAGAACTCCGAATCATCCTGAGCAAAATCCTTGATACCGAAATGAGCCCTTTGGGATTTGACGCCAAAAAGATGTACCAATTCGTCGCTGGAAGGTTCCAAAAAACCAACGCTAAAGTCCAAGAGCAGGCCCTTCACTGGCTCCAAGTAAGCACCCCGACAGCCTAAAATTTGCTCCCGTTCTAAAATCGCTGTTTCCAGACCTTGACCATGTTAGAAATCATTATTCCGCTACACCTCCTCTTCACGATATTCGGCGATGGTGTCACTTATATGAAAGGAGGAGTCGACGAAACCGCCGAAAAAGCAATCCAATACTACGACGCGGAAACAACTGAGGGACCAAAACGCAACTCAATTTGTAAGTACACTAAGTGTTTGCACCCACTTGCACCTCCACTTTTCGCTCTTGTAGCACCTGTAATCGAAGACTGCGATTCAGTCAAGACATCATTTTCAGATGACGAAAACCGGTTTTCCCAACGAACCGAATTCGAGTCAGACGCAGAGCATAATCTTTTTTGTTGTATACTTATGTTGGATATTTTACTCAAACAAATGGAGCTTCAAGATATTGACAAACACACCGGTCTTAATTCCTCGTTATCTAAAGATGTTTGCTGGCTTTTGAAATGTATGATCACAGCAGCTTGGATTGGAAATCACTCGTGTTCGTCAAAATCGGAATGTAGCTACTGCGAGAGTAGCATAATGTGGCACCAACTCTCCCTCCAACTCATCAAGTATCTCTCCCCCATTTACCCAGCACATCCGCCGGACGTAAGTCATGCTAGCAGTCGAGGAAATAGTCTAATGATGATTTACAGCCACCACTAGAAGAAAACTGGGACGAACACAGTCGGAAAAGCCCTCCCGAGAGCGATAAGAAAGAATCAAAATCAGACGTAGTCCTCAACATGCCCATTCCTGAAGTGCATTCTGTAGGAGGAGTTCTAGTTCATATGCCACACGTGTGTTCTGTACGAAGAGTAGTACTCTCAAGCGAAAATCACGAATTTTCGCTTGAGATTTCATTGATTTCGTCTCACCCCATCCAAATCCCGATCCAGCAAATAACAGTTTCGTCATTCCTAACTGTTCCAGATAATGACCGCAACGGTGGAAACCGTCTCCGAGCAATTAGACCTGGCTGCAATCATTCCAGCCGAAAAGGTAGTCTCCGCAGTGGCTCGAGCCATCACGCTCTCCGAGACTGACGTCGGTAAGTCCTCACTTTTACACCCCCAAAAGTCTAAAACCACCCCCAGCTGCGGCCACCGTTCAAGTAGCCAAACCCCAAGTCATTGGGGAGAACGATGAGCCGGTGGAACCGGAGCCTGGAGACGATTTAAACAATTTTTGGCAAACATCAGTCGGCAAGTTTAAATTTTGCGTCGACGATCTACCACAACCTTTGCAATATATACACCAACTGCTGCAAGAACTGTCAAAAGTTGACAAACCAGATATTTTGTATTACATGCTCCAGTGTCTCAATATTCTTATTTTGCACGGAGATGCATGTACTAAAGCTTCGAAAGAACATAGAGGGTTTTTTATTTGGTGTCAAGAAAATCTTCTCATCAAAAAGTATAAATCTGTGGTGCAACATTTTTTTTTCTGATGTATAAATTCTAGTTTATGGGAACTGTGCAATTCAGAGCATTCTCATATTTGCCAGGAAGTTGTTCCTTTGTTGCTTCACTGTATCACCCTGCCGGCAGGCTCAGATGTTTTTTGGCGTGTGATTCAAGAAGCCTTCCACAGCAACGATTGGTGTGTTAGATTCACAGCTGTTGAAAGAGTCACAGTTATGGCCAGATTTATGGATTCTAGTCCATTACGAAATATTTTACCCTTACAAGCAGCTTTAGCAAATGCTTTCTGTTATTTAATTTCAAGTATGGATGATAGTAACATCTATGTGGCCCAAAGAGCTACTCTATATCTTGGTACTATTCATGATTTTGCAGTCAAGGTATTACAAAAACACCAAATGCGAAACATAATCCTAAAATCTGTTTCAGTCTTTAATAATGTGTCTAGAGACTCAGTTTGATACAGTCATTGTTGATAGACCAATGGTACTCCAGTGCTTATACCAACTACACAACTCTCTCAGTGAGCGAAAAATTTTAACTTGGGAATTTTTTCTGAACCGTTTTGATACCCTATTTCTTGAAGCCCAAATTACGTTAGAAAAAACCGGTGATATCACATGTCTACGAGGTAAAAACATCTCAAGCTTGTCACATCTCATTTGGAAATTTATAGATTTGCGCAATACTGACCTAAACAGTGAAACCTTTTTACGCAAATTGCATCGAGCACATGAAGCTCTTTCCCAGTCAGACGGTAGTGGTGCAAGTTCAGTTAAAACACTAAGTGCCAGTTTTGGCACGAAATGGCCTTACAAACGTACAATGTCAGCACCAGCGTCAATTATACCTCGACATGAGAACAAAGGTATAGCGAATTCGCGAAAATAACCATTAACTGTGGTATTAGTAATTACAGAAACTAAAGAAAAAGTGTACAGCCGGCAATATTCCGCACCAATACTAAAGAGGAAAAGTTCGCGATTTGGAATCGGTCAGTTTTTAGGCACTAGTAACAGCATTCCAGGTAGAAAATAGATGTAGTGTCTTGCTGTAGTGGCCGCATGAATGTAAGTTTTTTACTACTAGAATGCATGGCATGCTTGACGCTCACAACTGGGGAGAAAAATGGTCATTTTGCGATCGTTACAGATGGGCACATGCATTCACTCAATATGGCTGATGATCAAAATATCATGAATTTTTTACAAAGAGTTATTGATTTGGAAGAAGCTGACAAGGAAACGATGCATTTACTTGTTTTCCTTCTTTTGCAATTTCTGTCACGATCGGATCAAGCATATCCCGCAGAAGAGAAAAATTTAGCAAAAATACAAGGAATTGTTTTGAGGCATCTTTATTTACTTCTCGGGTACAGTCAAAATGACCGTGGGCTTTATTTGCCGCCTCATAGACTAAGATCTTCACCGGCATTTAGCGTTTTCTTATCAAACCTTCCGCAATTGTTAGACCAAAATAATCTAATGGGGCGACTTCTTCTCCCAACTTGTCTCATCATCCTCCAATACGCACCCTCACCTTATTACATTTCAAACACACTGGATTTTCAACAACCGACGTACAGTTTATGGACATTAGAACCTCATTTTAGAAGAAACTGGTTAATGGCACTTGTAGTACTCTTGTATAAAGTAATTTCGAACAATTTGCCAAACTGAGAATCACATTCAGTTGTTTCAGTATCAATACAACCAACAACCACATTGTATGCAATTGACATCGTTGATAAGAATAGTTTTAAATACACTAGATTCGCAACATCACCACTGCCGAAGAATTCCAGCGACGATTATCATGGGGGCTCCTCCATCCCGTTCACGTGACGTAAGTCAACCATCTTTAGGTACAGAAAATGAACATGCTGAGCGGACTACACCTCCATTATCTCCGATGTTTTCTTCCGATGGTCAGTCAGTCCAAGTCTCGATTAGTTCAAAGGGTGGCAAAGCCCAAGTGGTTTACGCTAAGCCCTCATCCACCACCAGCATGGAGACACACTGGGAGGAAGCAATCCAGTGTATCCAACCGGAGAAAGTTTGGGACAAAAATGTAAAAAAACTAATCGATTTCAGTGCAGACGCAGACGATACGGAATCTGAACTAATCGCAATCCCGGAAAGTGATATGTCAGATAGTACCCTTCATGGAAGCATACAAGATTCATTTGATGAAGGTATGGAAGAAAGTTGTAATTTACAAAGCAAACAAGTTTGTACAATGATAAAAACCCAAGAAACTTTAGATACCGCCGTTATCAAATCACCAAAAGAAGGCTACATCAGTCAGTTAGTTAGGACTTCAAGCAATAAAAGACCAACATGGATCATAGGAAGTGAAGATGAATCCGTTAAAACATACGACAATAAGAAACTAGAAGGGCCAAAATCACCATGTGAATATACGAAAAACTGTGCCAAAATGAACTCGACCACATCGCTGAATCTTATCAATGGGTCCCAATTTTCTAAAAACGATTTTCACAAAGTTGCCAATGTTGACACTCATGCTAAACCAACACCCTTGGGGAAACACAAGAAGGTTATAGAACCGAGTATAACACCTGTGTGTACCCCAGTTTCAGACTGTGATGACTGTTTCAAAAGCAACCAATCAATGATTCCGGCACCATCTTTAGAACGTCTACTACCAATCGGAGCCATACGTCCGTCAGGTACCATCGCAACTAATTTAAGAATGTTTCTAGAAACCTTTTCAGAGTCATCTCGCGATAACGTCTTCTCGCCAACTCTCGAATCCCAACTGGAAATCCCAAGCCAAGAACGTCTCCTTCCCATCGGCCAACACACCAAAGACATTTCCCAGTTAGTGGACAAAGTCCGACAAGCTCTAGGCATCAATGCCCAACTGAGCAAACCCGAGAATAAGAAACCCGACAAAATCTACAACACGAAAGAGGAACCAGTTCAGTCCCACAGCCCTCGCCGCCTAATCAAGCAAGTGGCCTTAGAAAGTCCCCCGAATCAAGGCGATTTCGACGATAACGGACACTTCTTCAAAACAATCAAATCTGATAATCAACGTAACCAGTCAATCCTGTAGATATCCTTTACAATAAATTGTAATTCCAGGCGAGACTATGGTCAATCAAAGACAACGTATGCGTAAAATGGGGCCTTTTACCATGGGTTCATATTCGATTCATGACCCACGGCGACCCGGAGCTTGGTTTAGCCCTCAGCTATCCCCAAAGATTGAAGGAAGTGATATGAAGCAAAGCTCGTTTCGAATTGGAGATGAATGTGTGAATGAGAGGTGTTCCGAATGTGGAACTGTCAAAGAAGAGTACAGCGATGAGGAAATTGGGCTTTGTATTGTGACTTTAGGAACGTTCATTCATAGAGAACCAGCCCTAGCTGCACCCTTACTACCCGACATACTAAGCATAGTGGCCAAGTAATGAGAAATTCTGAGATTTGATTGGATCTTAACATTGTTTTAGAGTTGCAACCAATGTGATGTATCCATGGCAAACTGAGAGTAATATACACCTACCAGGCGGGGCTATCAGTGTAGCACACCAGTTTTTACGATGTGTTTTACACCAATTGGCACCTAATGGGATTTTTACCCAAATGTTTCAAACAAACGCAAGCGGTACGTTAAAACATTGACCCCTAAAAATGCTTTCGTTGATTCTCATTTTAGAAACCGTAAGAGTCCAGTTTTTCAAAAGTGTGATTCAGGCTTTGATTGATTTCAATGAGTTAAACCCTGTAGCACCTCTGCAATTATTATTAGAGGTGAGGAAAAAAAAACAGTACTTGCCTTGATCATCGTTATTTTAGACTCTCAATTCGAAGAAAACTCTACCAGTTGAAATTCTACCAACAATTCTTCAAAATATGGCTTGTTATTTAAACTGTCTGCCTGTGGAAGCAGCTTTAGGTCCAAGTACGCCTCTATGGAGTACAGTTTTACAACAACTTGAAACTCTCTATAGACGAATGTTATTTTTGTTGAACACGTTTGATGATATTATGCCACTTCTAAAAATCATGATTTCGGTTTTTAAAATACCACTAATATCGCAGTTTAAGGTAAGGATTCAACTGTTTACGCTGACGATTTCAATTGAATTTTAGGGAATTTTGGAACCATTTTCGAAAGTACTGAGTTATGCGATACAGACCAACGTCTTAAAATACAGTTGTTTGGTTGAGATTTGTTATTTGTGTAACCGGGCGTTTACAAAAGTATGGCAATGCGGTGACTTGTTTTTTTTCTAATTTGTAAATTATAGGAAAGGGATAAATTAATTCTAAGCCGAATGGTAGTGTTTGAGCTAGTCCAAGCTTTAAAATTCAAAACAACAATTCCTGATTCAAATTTACTTATGTTGATAAATTTGATTTTGCAAGTATGTTTCGTCGTTGACTTGTCCACTAAATGATTTAATTCTTTAAGGATGTTGGAGGTTCAATTCCTGCAAATGTTGTTATCAAAGACGGTCCTTTATTATCAATGGAATATGGCCCTGCTGTCACTACCGGCATATCAGAATGTATGAAACTCCATCTTGGGGACATTTTAGAATTTCTAACTGACTTTCATACAATTTCAAAAATGAAAAGCTACTGTAAAGGGATTAACGTAGGCCTAAACGATGACACTCTAGGGGGAATTATCAAATGTAGTGTCGCCCAATATTTAGCGCTTGAAATAACGAAAGGTAACGGCCGAGACAATCGAGCAGTGATCAGGTATTTCCCATGGCTTTACAACACTTCAGTTATACAACAATCGTAAGTTGGTATTTTTTTTTCGTTTTTTTCCTTAATGTATTTTTCTAGCCCCAGAGAATTTATCGAATGTATAGGCCACATTCGACTATTATCATGGTTACTTTTAGGATCTTTAACTTACACAGCTTTACATGGAAATCAAGGTCAGAATATTAGTCAACCGATACCGCAAGAAGCGTCTTGCCAAATTGCAGACCATATTCAAACAATAATGGCAGGATTTGCTGAACAGCCTAAGACATCCGTCCTACACATGTCTTCCCTGTTTCACACTTTCATTTTATGCCAAGTAAATTCAAACAAAAAGTAGTTATTAAAAAAAAGCAATCGTTTCAGCTGTGGACTATCTACTTAGAACAAAGCCTAAACACTAATATGCCTACAACAGAGGCCTACAATGTGACTATGAACATTTTATTCGAATTTTGGGGCAAAGTAACACCTTGTATCCTTCAGTTAATACAACAATCAAAAATGGTAAGTTCTTAAGGCGCGAATGTCATAACTGATTGTAACTTTCAGTTGAGTGAAATTGTAAGTCTCCACTTCTTAAGCATGTTAGAAGCGTTATTAGAATGTCATTCAACATTCGTGTCAAAATTATTACCCTTATGGACACCGGTGCTTTGTTCGAATCAAATACAAGTAAGTTTTAATTCGTTTTTTCACTTAATAACTTTGTGTCGTAGCTACCTGGGCATTTACAAGTGCGTTTACAAAACTGTCGGAATTGTCCACCCACCATACACACAGAGACATTACCCGACAAAATAAAAATCAATTTACATAATCCAATACTATTGAAATGGTTACAAAGATTACAATTCAAAATGGGCCAAATTGAACTGCAATCATCAACAGCGACACAATTTTATTCATTGTAATCTAACATAAGTAGTGAATTGTTAAAACAGTTGATAAATTTATTTAAACATGTCAAACATTTATACATGACTCATTGTTGTAATAAATATGATTAACAAAACTTTTTTTATTTCGTAATTTTTACTTACTTCGGCAAAAAATCCTTACCCGTTTTATCTATTCTATCCCGCTCCAAATTTAACAAGTCTTACTTTTGAGATCATCCATACACTTCCGTGCCGAATCCATCGCCAGAGGGTAGAGCTAAAACGACTAATCAGCAAAAACGCAACTTGAATTCTGGAAACCTACTTTATCGACGAAATAACAAACATCTAACTTAATCTGTTCCCGTATTTTCATTTCATCAGACATTTTATCAGCTTCTGAAACGGCTTCAGACACTTGCGTATTTCTGTTTTTGAGCCGCCTTAGTGACTCTTCTGTTTTACAAACTGATCTCAAAACTTCTTCAACAAGAGTTAAATACCTAAAACTTGAAATAACTCATTTTGTTATTTTCCTGTTTTACTTACTGTTTCGTATTATTTGTAATTACTGTATTCAAAATAGTGTGTATCTCGCTTGTCATGTTTGATTTGAATTTATCATGGAACTTTAATATTGGCTGAATTGCTTCAACCATGTAATTACTAGCTTCTTTGGGGACACTTCTGTTGGTTCTTCTGTAAAGTCTTGGAATGGATGCAACATTTTGCAAATTTGTGAAACTTTCTCTGCTCTTTATGTTTATTAAATGATTTTGTAACTTTGAAATGACGTCGGTGATGGTATTTGAATTAACTTGGAAAACTTTGACTAGTACTGGTCTTATATTAACTGGCATAATGCAGTATATTGTATTATCAATCTGATCTAAATCATCTGGTTTGTGAGCAGTTAAACCCTTGACTATATTTAAATCACAAATTGAATTAATTATAAAGCCCTCCCATGCTTCAGGACCCTCGAAAAAAGAATCGGACTCCTGCAATACCGACGAGGTGGTTAATTAAATTAAATAATTTGTAGAAATTATTACCTGTAAAGCGACCTCAAACCATTTTAAATATCTCGCCAGAAGTAGCATAGATAACTTTAAAAACTGATCAGCAAGATTATTAATAAAAACCTCCGGGTTGAAAGTAGTTTTCAAAGCCGTCCACAACGCCAGTGTAATTTTTAAAAAACAATCAATTTCATTTGAGTCTGAATACATCATCGCTCCTGGTTTTACTATAGCGTCTGTTTCAAACTGTCCCGCAATTTGTTGAAACCGAATTTCAAAATAAACCGGCAAATTGAATCTTTTAATGTGATTTTGGAACGACTTATTTGTTTGAATTAAATCATCATCGCCGCACTTTGCCGCAATTTTTTTTAGAAAATTCCAAGTGCTCTTAAACCGTTTTTGGAAGAGTTCAGGATTCCCAGGTGCAGTAATATGAGGAAGACCTTCACGTGACAGTTTATCGACTTCTGCCCAAAAACTATTCAGGATAAAATTGAATGATTTCAATTCAGCGTTTCTAAAAAAATGTGTTTGAAAAGAAATTTGCAATATGGAAGAAAACCTTCTTAAAACGTTGAGTAATGTAATTAGTGTAGAGTCTATAAAATCCAAAGCTTCATCATATATTTTTTGAACATCTTGATTACAATTTTCTAAATATGTTTCGGTAAATAAATGTCCAAGGGCCGGTCTAACGATATGTACTTGGTACGTCTTTTCAGCTTCTTTTTGTTCACTCAGATTATCATACATTTGCAAACATCGCAAAATAATAACCTCGTCGTTATTCTTTACTGATTTTAGGAAAACCTTGTTGACCATATCAGTCAGTTTCTTTCCTACAAAACTGATTTCTTCCACATCTGACATTAAGTGAAAAGCTTCCAGATAATTATATTCAAACGAGTATTTATTCACAGCTCTTTCCAAAATAACTGAATCATCAAATAAATCATCCTCGTGAGTTTTAATCATGTTGTCAATGTATAACGCTGACGATATAATCCCAAATTTTAAATTTAAGTAATTGCGTCGTGTGTTGTTGTTTTTTATTGTTTCTAACGTTGTGAAGTAACTTTCTTCCGCATTTTTAATTAAGTCATAGAGCGCCTAAAAAGGCAGTTAAAACTGTGTAAGTATTTTTTACTATTTACCTTTATTTCCTCCCGCAACTGGCTTATTGGCAATGACAAGTCATCAATTTTTGAATTCAAATTTGTCAAATATTCCGCCAAATTCACAATTGCTTCAGTCTCAGTTTTCAAAATTTCGGCCATTTGTTGATGCAAATCGTTGCCATAATTTTTCAAATCGTTCCGCAGTGTCTCTAAATCCGATTTTAGAGTATACTTCGAGAGACACTGATCTACATTAAAATTCTCCTAAAATTTAAGTGACACTCTACTTTTATTAAAGCTAGATATTAAAATACCTTAAAGAATGATTCCTTCCAGACTAAATTTTCTGTAGGCTCCATGGTTGTCTATAGTTAGTTATATAGTTGTCTCCCTTGACACTTTGAGGTTAGGGCATGAGTTAAATGAAAGAAGCCAAACATTGGCAAGCATTTAATAATTTTTAGCAAATTACACACATTGCACAGTCATTTGTCGCAATTACTAAGCAATAAATAATTTGATTACAGATTATTATTATAGGTTTCGTAAAGTTGACGTGACAGCCAAGTAACCAACAAACTAAAGAAAAAATACTATTTTTTTCAATTTTTGCCGCCTCTCGTCTTGCAATTAAAAATTCAGGTTTGGGGTAAAACATAAATAAAACAAAAAAGATTCCCTAGTAAAATTATAATAAACTCTTTCAGTATATATCACACGTGTATAAATAAAATTCTGAGCCAAGTTTACATATAAATTTTTCTCAGATCTGTGGGTGAAGTAATCATGTTACACTGAGGGCATAGTTTTTTCGCTCCGAGTGTCTGTAACCAGCACTGTTCACAATGCACGTGCCAACAACACACAGAAATAACCGGCGTACGATATCTTTCCATACAAATCAGACATTTGTAAACCTCTTCTTTGTTTTTTTCTTTGCTTTCCAACTCCCTAATCCTGTTTTTCAAGACCTCGACCAGAGGGTCCCCTTTGGGTTGCGTGTTAACAGAATCGCTGTTTTCTTCAGGTTGCATCCTCTTAGGATCTTCCCCAGTCACTGCTTTCCGCAACGCGACATTTTCAGGATCACCAGGTAAAAGGATAACATCGCGTTCAGAGTATTGCGGCGAGCCGTACGTCTGTGCGTCATCGCCGTCAACGTTTAAGTCTTCATCCTCTTCAGTCATACTTATAGAAGTCCCTAAATTATTAATCACACCCCCTGGAAGAAGGGTGGTTATACGGACACGCGATTGTCCAGCCCATTCATACTCCTCAAAGGCTTCCACATCTATACTCTCGTCACTTTCACTTTCGTTCCGTTCAGTACGGCGCAAACACTTTTCCACATGCATGGTTATTTCTTCAGAGGTTTCTTTGTTACATATAGGACACAGAACTTCCTCAGCCTTGCGTTTTTTTGTTTTGGACCGGTGCCGATTTTGTCTGTTGAGTCGGACTTTCTGGAAGGTCTCCCATGTCTTGTCAGCATTGTTATCACTTGTGTTTGATGAACTGGGGACACTGCGTCCATTTGATTTATGCTTGTTTGTTGGGATTTTACCTAGCTTGTCTACTTCTAACATAAAGTGGGATTGAACTTCGGAAATCCGTAGAGTTACACTACAAACAGGACAACAAATCGGTTCTGATAATTTTCTCTTGTTGCGACAGCCGCGACCACCTTCTTCACTATTACAACTGCTACTTGCTACTTCTATTTCTTTTATGGATCCATCCATAATACCATTAAATAACACCTACGTTACGCGCTACGAGACACGTATATTGACTTTTTACCAAATTATTCAAATTTGAAAGTGTTTTTGTTTAGATGTTGGAAGATTTTGTTTATTAGTAGCATCTTAGGTTAGTTTTCTTGTTTACACATCTTTGTACGTCAAAAATACGACAATTTCTATTAAATACATGAAAAGCTTGATGTAAATTAATTAATTTTGCACGATAGAAAGTAGGATTATTAAAAGTAAAATTGATTTCTACACAATAAACATTCTTGGAAAAGAAGTACACAGTCAATAAACAACAGTTTGAAAGGCATGGTTGCCAACTGTCAAAATACTCAAAATTCTAACATGGCGAAGTGACGTAAATACACTAAAATTTAAATTTAATGCGCACTATTTAATCTGTTATGTAAAAATTTATGATTTTGCGTAAAACCACGTGTCATTCCATATGTTTGTACTAGACTAGCATAATCTATGAAGAGCCATAATTTTTTTCATTGGTTGATAAAACGTATTGGGAAGGGAAAATATTGAGGGACTTCAACACACTGATAAAAAAATGTATTTGTGATTATTCAAACACAAATTGTGTATTATTAAATCTAAAATCTATTATTAAAGTTACTCATAGTCCATTCTAGCTAAACCAGAGAACTGTATTTATAAATAATCGTTACACTGGTAGAGCCGAAAAATATACAAGTTATAAAAAATATCAAACATAACATGGCAAATTACACCCCACCAGGTCAACAAAGTTAAAATTGAGTAGAGTACAAATTTTTTGTCGATACTTTGGGTGTTTTACGAGTTTTTCAATGCCCTTGTCCAAACAATTAGTGCTCTACTAAATCTGTAACTGGTTGAATATAAAAATCTAAAACAGCGTCATTATTGTTCTATTTATTTTAGCATACAATACCACATTGTGGTGGTGTAACTTTTAGAGTGTGCTAAATAGAAATTTGGTCTGTGACATTTTTGTACTTTATTTATTGCTGAATAAAATATGCTGCGAGACTTCTAGAAGGGAGCAATAATGACACTGTACACGTCGAAATGATAAAAATCACAAGTGCTTTAAATTTCCTAACATGAGTTTTAGGAGACAAGCACAAACCAAGTAAAAATGAGAGTACAATATATTCAGTTGAAATAAATTTGACAATAAACTATAATATAAAGTAGCCTTAAATGTGAAGGCTTATATATGTAGTAGAAAAATTCCAGTCTCAATCACAAGGCAGCATTCACAAGCCACAATATAGAAAATAATCACATAGGCATATAAAATAGCATGTCAACCACCTGCCTGTGCCTAAAAAAGTCCGCTTAGCGAACTTTGACAGCTGGTACGAAAAAGCCATGTTTGCTAAGCCACAGTCCAACCCCAGTACCAAGAATGAGTGATACCAGATTGGTTAAAAACAGTGTGCACAATCCTTTGCGTGAAAAGACACTGGTGTTGCCAACCCGAGCATAGCGGATACTCAGCATGTCTCTCTTCGGCGGCCTAAAACACCAATTTTTAGGTGGCAGCTGATCAGGTCTACTGCTCCAATCATTGAAGAAGTCTCCATCCTGAAACAATCAAAAACAATTGAAAAATCGAGATACCGAGTTCGTCGACTCTGATAAAAAAATACAGGGTGCTAATTAGATAAATGTGGATTTGATATTTACATCTTTGGCTTCAGAGTTCATGTAGTATGATTGCCATTCTAGATTCAGAGGAGTGCCTTGGACGGGGCTGTTCGGCGGCGATTTGGGGCTGCTTCTAGGAGAATCCCGCCGCGAACCTGCCAGAGAGACTCTGGCCGAGGACTGGTTTGACTCTCGTTGAGCTTCGCGCAAAAGACGCAAATAATCTTCGACGTTTAACTGGTGGGTGATAGAGCCTGGGGTGCCGCCACCTTGAGAGCACGTTGATCCAGCACTTACGTCAACCCAAGATTCTGTCAAAAATTGCTTATTAATTAGGTAAAAATAATCTTTCGGAAACGTCAAATGCTAATTATAGCCAACTGGGATGAATTCCTTTCTTACGACTTTCGTCGCCAATTTGCGATGTTTTGGTATTAATCCCTGGATGACATTCCAGATGGAATGTAAACAACGCAACATACCTCCTAAAAGGTCATCTAAGCTTGATTTCGACGATGACATTTTCCACGCGCTTGATAAAATGCTCAGATATCAACTCCAGACACTTCACTTAACACGAATTACCAGTTCTCAAATAATTTTTTATTTAATTCTACATACAAGAGATGTACTAGAGGCGTACGTGACAGACACCAACACTCAGCAACAACCAGTTAGATTCTCTGCCTTTGTCTGTTTAGCATTGACGTCACGGGTCATGTGACGCCCACAAACCAATCAGAGCCAATCTCAGCACGCCATTGTGCTAACAACGCAAAAATAAACAGAAGTAAAAGCAAAAAAACAACGCATCATTTCTGTTAGTTAGACAGAGACACAAACAACACAAATACGGCGCTTATTTTAAACCAAGTGCACAACACACACGCATCCAAACAAATCAATTGCTTTGTTTGCTCATTTTTACTCAGAATAACATGTTGTTTCCTTTGTATCACTAAAAATAACTTAGACCTTCAGTGAACAAATTTTTATTTTAGCAAAATTATCACAATACCTCAGTCAGGTACAAAGTTAAACTCTTAAAAAAATCAATACAACGAACGAAAACAACATGAACGATACGAACTAATTTTCAAAATAGGGCCCCGGCGGCGGAACTATCTTTTTGGCTTTTTCGAAAGCTTCAATAATGCAGTTCCTGAAAAAACGAATAAACAATCATCTTATGGCAATGATGTGCCTTGAGCATGCGTTAGTCTGCGGACCTTGAACTTGATTTCTTGTTTGAAAATCCGTCTGAGTCAGTGACCTCCATACAAGGGCTAGACTAGACTTCTCGTTTTATTTATTGATCAAAGAGCAAAGACACAGACTAACACGCGCGGAAAAAAAATAGTTCAAGGTATTTATGTTGTGTTCGTGTGATACAAACCTAAATAATTTTCTATGCCAAATGTAGGCCCCTACATGTCCGGTATCGACATACTTAATAGTGGCTCCTGGCCAAATTTCATCCAGTTTCGAAATACCGACTCGAGGAACATATCCGTCAGATTCAGCACAAACGGCTATGATAAGAGACGGCTCATAGGGCACTGAGAAATTTTTCAAATGTGTAAACTCATCCATCATCCCTCTCATAAACCAAATCGCTTCTTTATCACGTTTCCTCATGTCGGTTATCTCGCGACTAAAGTTAAAAATCGGCAAATTTAAAACAGAGTATTCACCAGACTCTACTTTAACATTTTGACTAGAATGTTTGTAAGAAATGGCAGGACAATTCGTTGAATCCAACAGATTCATCATTTCGTATGGAGAAATGTATCCAACATCACATTTTTGTTTCAACAAGGACGTCAACCCATACTCTGCAATACCGCATTGGCAAACTTCAGTCAGTTTTTGAAGAGACAAACCTGGGATTCTACTTAAGGTGCATGCAAACGGACTATCAACAATTTTACACGACTTTGATAAAGTATCACAGTAAATTTTGTTTGAAAACAATTGCTTTTGCAGCATGTCCCAATCAATAGATTCACTCATAACTCCCTGTAAGGTTGGCGTAAGCGTTTTTTACGTCGTAATATAACATGATTACCTCTGTAAAAACCGAGGAGGCAGTCGACCATGACAAGCAAGGTACAAGCACTAAAGGTTTTGGCCAATTAGAAGCCGCCAAGGAAGCCATCTAATGCAAAAAATCCTAACAAAAATTCAAAAAAAAAAATTACAACACTCACATGTCCTCCCATAGAAATCCCTGAAACCCCCAAGGGGCCAAAACCGATCCGTTCGCACCAATTCAAAAGCGCGAGCGTCTCCAAAATCAAACATCCGCCCATTACAAAAATATCAGAGACGTAGTGGAGACTTGAACGAAGCTGATCTTGGGGTTTTCTAGTACCATAATAAGGGTTTTCTAGAATCAATGAACCAATCCCGGCTTGTAACAGCGGCTTTGCCATGAAATTCCGGCGGCGCCAAAAATACTAAAATTATAAAATGATTCTGCAGCGTTATAATTTTTGTGATTACATGATCGCCGGTCCCCGCGAGATGGATACACAAAGGTCTGTAATCTTTTGAGGGCCATTTTAAGGGCAAGATCATTTGAAAATAAACTTGCTGGATTTCCGGAACAAGCAACGACGGTAGAAACATGCGAAAGGGGGTCCATAATCTACCCTCGAGTATCTGGAACTCGCTGAATCTCTGCGCCTGCAGGAGCCGACTTTTAATAAAAATTATTTTACAAATTGTGCACTCACGTTGATTATTTCTACGGGGTAGTCTTTTGGCAACAATTCATAACAGGCATTGCGATTAGAGACGAGTTTACGAAAGTTAAACAATCTAAAAAGTTTTTGTATTCGAAAATAATGTCAACATAACCTCAAAATGTTAAATGATAACTTTAACTACTTACTCAATTAAATTTTCAGGATTGCCCCATCCCTTAGTGAAAAACTTCGTTAAAAGTATTTTTCTGTAAATAACATCAAGCCTACTAACCGGCATTTTTACTAAAAACTATTTTTTGGCCCCCTTTAGTTCAAAAATGAAAAACTACTGAAAGATCATGACGTGTTTGTTAACTGACTAAAAACAAAATTATCACTTTGTACCTAAATTTAGATTCTCAACAAATAATAAATAATGATTGTATGAATTTGTAACTTATTATTTTTTTCACAAGAACTGATAGTAAAAAATTATGAACACGGTCTTGCACATTAACATATTATTATTATCTAAACAGTGGCGGGTTAAGTAACAGCCACGAGGGATTATAAATAAATTTTTGTTTGTTCTAAAAAAATTAATAAAGTCACACATTATTACATAAACACTCTAAATGTACACAAAATGACGAAAAGGCTAATCAGTCATTAAAAAAATATTTTTATTTATTTGAAGAAGTCCCTTCGCCTGTAGACCCTAGAAATACAAATAATAGATAAATTTGCAAGAAATTTGTTTACATATTTTTAAACTTAAACATTACGTTGTAAAGAGGATTTTTCTTGATTGCTTTCAAACATTTCCTCTTCTTCAAAATCGGAAGAACTTGAATCTGAAGAATCATCTTCCTTGTCGTTATTCCCTTCCATATCAGGATCCGGGACAAGATAATAATGTAAAGAATTCACCCAAATATCGTCTTTGATTATTTCCGCGACGATATCACTTGCAGCGTCGTCATTGTTTGCAAACCAACCAAAAAAAGTTTGTTGGCTTGAGTGTGATCTCTTCCGAGCGCTTTTAGAAGTACCTTCTTTTGTTGATGGGGTTGCTGAATGGGGTTTTTTCCATTCAATTTTTGTACTAATTGATGATAATTGTCCTGTAATAACAATTAATGCCTTTTTGCTGCAATAAAAAATTAAGAAACCTTGTTTATAGAAAAATTCTTTGACTAAGACGTCATTTTTAAAATAGGGGTTTTCATTAAAGTATAATTTGATGCTGTATCCTGATTTAATATTGTCGGCAGTATCTACTTCCAATTTTTGGAGATGTCGTAAACAATCTTCTTCGTCTTCATACAAAATGTGGCAAATACCGGGATGACTAGTAAACTGTATTTAGTTAAGGTATAATAAAATACAATGCAAGTTTGTATTTTCTTCAAAAAAAGGATACAACTGTTGACCAAAAATCAGGAATAGTTTCAATAATTTCCGTCCTTTTATTATAATAATGTTGACGTAACTTTTTATACTTTTGTTCTATTGTTAAAATTTCGTCGTTTTCCTTCTCATTTAATTTATCCAATTCAATGTGAACCATTTCCAATTGGAAAATTGCAGAATCAATGTCAGAATCATGATTTTCAGAGTCCATTAAATCATTTGCAAGGGGAGTTTCAGACGACTTCATTTTTTTAACATTTATTCTTTCAGACATTTTTAATTTAATGCAAACCTACAAACTATTCAAATGTGGGCTTAGGTTATTTTATTTACACTCGCACCCCAGCACCCTCCATAACCACCCTTATCATACTGGACCGCGCGCGCGCGCACCATGAACTCCCATAATCATTTTTTGTTTTTAATTACAAGATTTAATAAAAAAAACGGAAATTCTATAAATTAACACAAGAAAAGTCAAAAATAAATGCCTTTATTTTACAAAAAACACAAAATTGATTTTTTTAATTCCTTATTTGAGTTGAAGATTTTGCTTAATTATTGAAAGTTATAGTCTAAATAATTATTATTTATTATACAAACTGTTATTTTATTAAGAATAAAATACGAAAAAAAGTTATGAAACAATCGATATAAAAAACATTCGGACGCGTGCACGCTTACACTTGTGTCTATTACGCAGGCGAAAATATAAACACTTGAGATTTACCTGTATCTCAAATTTTAAATTTTATTAAAAGTCGTTGCTTGAATTCAGTTTTTTTGCTAAAAGCTAGTCTAATAATGGAATTGAAATAAACGCCACTAACAGTACCGTTTTCTATAGTTGGGGAATTCAGGTCTATACATATTCTCGCAAACCTACAATCTCGATTGCGCATTAGACCCTATTGTAGCTTTCTTGCGCATTACGCAATCGATTGACGTTTATATATATTATTGTTGTTATGAGTGCTTTTGTTAACAAAAAAATGGATAATTAACAATACGATCCTAAAGGATTTTGAGAAAAAGCAGCAATAACAATGACGGTCACAAAAGGCAAACGAATTTATTCATTCCCTGTTGGTTCCGGAAATAATTCAGATGTTGAAACTCTCCAGTAAGTTATGAAACATTTTTTACTTAATTAATTATATGCTAAATTGGGACTTTTAGCTTGGGCAGTGCATCTGCTAGTGATACTGAGTCGTTGAACAATGAGCCAGTGTCCAGAAGCAGGCCTTTTATACCTCCTCTTTTCAAGGGTACTAGAGAAGAGTTAGGGAATCTTAAAAAAAATTCTGGTAGGAAGAAATTAAGAAGATACCAGAATCGTTCGTATGTTTTACTTAAAAGTCACAGTAAATGCATTGTTTAATGTAGGTTGCTTGTTGCAAACTCTTGCTGAAGAGGAGGGAGATGATGAGTCTTTTGTGGTGATAATGGAGCCTTATACAAGTCCTTTTGCAAAACTACTCCAAGACGATGATGCCTTACAATTCTGGAATGCTTTTGTTGACAAATCTGAGGAAGAACAAGCTCAAGTTGTTGCCGCTTTTTCTCAACAAAATTCGAAAAAAGATAAGGATGTGCAGAAGGGGAAGCCATCCGCTCGAATTTCGCCAAAAATCAAACGTACAATCAAAATTAAAAAGAACTTGTCGCTAGAACAAGTGAAGAAATCTGAAGATGATCTAATTGCCTTCTTTAAGTCGACACCAAGTCAGGTCTATGTCAAATGCCCACCTACTTACTTTGAAAGACTGCTTTTACATGCCATTGCTCAATATCATGATCTACAGTCACTAGGTACACTTGCAATAATTTGGAGAATAGTACAATAAAAATAGTTTTCAGGAATGAATGAGGATGGGAATAAAAGAGTTGAAATTTACAACACAAGGGAAAATTGGAATCCTGCTGATTGCTTCTTGACAGATTTTGTTGCTCAGTTAAGGAAATAATTTTCCTTCCTGTATTTTATATAAATAACGTGAGCATGATGTATTGTTTTTATTGCAGTGAATGTACTTTCACTATTATTCTTCATGAATATTTAATTTAAGATGTTTTAATTGTTGTTTTTGTTCAGAGTTTTATTTTGTAATGTACGAATTTTAAGTCGTATAAATCAATACATTTTTCTATTTGTTTAAAGTATTAATACATTGTGTAATAGATTTTAGGAGTTACTTAGAATGATAATAAGTGTGTTCTCTTATGAGGTTGTCTAAGAATAATGCGCAGGTGCCACCACATTGTCACTTTTTCATGTGATTTTTTGTTACATTCTCGGCAAATGAGCTACTTTTATCGTACCTATTTTTGTTATATGTGCAAATTGATTCTCAAAGAGATTCTCATTTGAATAAATAGTTTTTTAATCTTATTTTACATATTTTTCCTGGATAACTGAACTAAAAAAAATGATAATAAAATGCGGTTTCTACTTTAAACACTTTTCTTCCCAAATTTGATATAGATGAGCTTAAAGCAAGATTGGAGCGTTTCAGGATGTAATGATAAAAAGGTGATAATTTGATGATTTTATTGAGTAACTGTTATTTCAAATCACATATACAATATAAAAATATGTGTCAAGTCATGTATTTACAACAACAAATGTAAGAGTTTTGTTTCAAAACAATAATTATAAAAGAACATTCAATTTATTACAATACAGTATTTAATCAGCTATCACCAGTGTTACTTTGCAAATGATTGGGAGCATCTGCAAACATAACTTTCAATTTATACGCCTCTGCTACTAAAATACTAATTTGAGAACTTGTCCAAGACTGAGTAGGAAGATTTTGAAGTAATAATAGCAGTCCTTGAAAATCATTTTGTCGCATAAGATCGTCTTTCCAGTAAAGAAGAAAAGAAGCACAAACGTAAAGTTGAAACGAAGCGAAACAATCGTTTTCTGCTAAATATGTGTCCCACAACCTAATAGTACATCTTAAAGGAAGCTCTCTCGTGAGCAGATTATTCAACCAACGAAACGAGAATTGTAAATAACTAACATTGTGTTGTTTGAGATGGCGATGAAGCGTCTCATCAACTCTTTTAATTAATTCTTCTAACCGATGTACTTTGCGTTGTATACCAACTTGCGCAAAAACATAATTATCTTGAATACCATCTAGAAATTTGGATAAACACCAAAACGAGTCAGCCTCAATAATTCTAAGCTGTTCTTCCGTTAAAGTATCAACTTGAAACGTTTCAAAAGCTTGATTATTCAAAATAAACTCTTGAAGGAACACCACGTAAAAAGGAGTCACCAAATCATTGATCCCTTGAACGTAACCTGAGGCAGGATGTCTGATAGACCAAATAAACAAAATTCTCTCGAACATAATTTGTACAGTTTTTTGTTGAAACAAGGGAATTGAAGGGTTCATTCTTGGCACATCAATATTGATCTGGTGCTGAATATCACGATTAGTCTCATCATGGTCAGCATAGTAATACTTGTCCACTAAATTCCAATAATCTTGTCTTTTCCTCTCTAAGACGCCATTTCTCCGCTCCAGATTGATGGGCAAATACCCCGACAACAGCCTCCAGGTGATTGCGCGAACCTTAACGGGAATCCCAGACCAGCTCAATTTGCACAATTCCTGGTGACTGGGAGGATTGGCTAAAACACTCTCAAAACGTTCCAACTTAGATTCACTATCCTCATCCTGTGGCGGGTGTAGACAATGCAATTGTTGGGGCCTGCCCGGGATTCTACTGTTCCTAACGTGCTCCATCTCTCCACTTTCAGGCTTTTCATTCGAGTTTGGAGTATCTGTGCTGCTGCGGTGGCTGTTTAGTACGTTTAAAGCTGCGGATTGTGACACTTTTTTCGATATTTTCGTGTCTGAAATGGATTTAATCAAAAAGTGCCAGTTTTTTCTCAACAACTCACTCTCTAGTCCTGATATTATACAGAAATCGTCGTCGTCCATTGCCCAGGCGTCGCTAACAGAAGCTTGAAAGTCTTGAAACGACGTGGCACCTACCATTTTTGGTTTTGAGCTACTTTTCACATCTTTCTTGGGGCTTGGTCTACGGGAAATATATGACAAGAATTAGATTTTTTTGAAATGGATATTACCGTCCAGGTACTGTTTTGCTGTTTTTCTTCCAAAATGAGGTTTTGTCATGGTCCGGATTTCTGGATCCTTCCATTCTTACACGTTTTTCACACTTCCCGTCGTGTTATCCATAATTTTCCCTCTGACAAATCCTCAAGTTTTTGAGGTTATTTAACCCAAAACTCAACTGTCAACAAACATGGCAACGTCAAAATATATTACGTCACCAGTTTTAGAATAATTAACGTTAGTCTATATTTTATATTTTTCCAATGTTCCTAATCACGCTTATTACCAAAAAATACCCATTGACTGCGAAATTGTTTTCAAATAATATTTCTTTTTCTTAGTTAAGAAAAAAATACCCTAGGTTTTTGTCGCTTCACGTGTCGTAACCACCATGTTGTGAGACAGGTAGTTTCGCTTATTTACATCAATTGTATGTAATTAATTCACGTGTTTCTTTTTGTTTTATATCTGTTTTTGCTTTACAATTAACTGCTTACACTTAAAATTTTACTTTAATGTAATTTTACGTTATCTTTATAGCTGTAGATATGTGGCTTTATTTTATTAAAATAAACTAATCTTGATTTGTTGTGATTGTTTCAATGTTTGATATTATTTATTAAACATGTCTATTGCTAAATCAACGTTTCTATTTTAATCCGAGATTTGGAAAAATACCGTAAAATGACGTTCACCACCAGATGTAAATATGAAAGGTGAAGCCATTTGTATGTGTAATTACATACTATGAAATGTCCTGACGTCATAGTTACCAAAAAAGACCTAACATTAGAAACAGACAATTAATTAAATAGACATTAACTTATTATAATTCATGTAATAATAAAAGCATTAGTTAATATTGCAAGTCAGTTTTTATATGTATATATTAAGGAAAAAGATAGTTTCAAGCCCAGTTATAAACTAGCAAAAAACCTCAAAACATAAAATTAAAATTTGTGGGAACAAAATAGTTATTTAAAACCGGAAAACAAAACACTTAATTTTTCCTAAGTGAGGAAGATCAGTTATTAAAATTATTTTTGTATATTCTAATGTTTGTTGAGTGGTCAGAAGGTATATATTAAAATACTATCAGGCTAATCTTGAGTCAAGTAAAACAAGTTTTTATAGACTCCACGTAATATATTATGCATTTACGTTGTTGAATGTTACTGTTCTAAAATTTATCAACATGTGAGTATGTTTTGTTCCTTTTGTAATAGAAAATACTCGTATTTAATGTCATTTATTATTTCATTATCAATTCATTCCCACGTGCATTACTGCATTGCTTTTAATTAACTTTACAAATTAATGAATTAAATGAAGACTTGATCAAATTAGGGATAAATGCTGCCTACATATTTCCTCAGGATAAATTCTCAGCAGCCATTTATATAATACAATGTATTGCCTTTTATCAGTTGTGATAAAGACATATTGACTAATGCACCTACTTGAGTGAATTTATCCTTTTGTGTTTAGGCGTATAGGAGAGAGTGTTTATTATATCGAGGTTAGTCCCTACTTTCTTCAACTTTTACCAAAATCTTCGAAGCTTTAGTAGTGTATAAACGATCGCGTAACTAATAAGATTAGCGTAGACTATCTAACTTATAACATGATTAGTTAAGTTCATACAAGTATATAGTATCCAATATTTTTCTCGTAGAAAATCTCTGATAGATGTATCTATTTTAGTGACTCTTTGTTTACCAACAGTGATGGCTTCCTACTCCGACAGTGAAGATGTGGACGATCAAGATTGGGATGAGGTAAACACACATTTCTTATCACTTATCATTGTATCAGTTCGAGTTCAAATATTTTTCGCACTTTAAAATATCACGAAAGCGCGTCTATAGGCGCAAATATGTGGTTTTATTATTTTCCAAAAAAGAAAACGCGGTGAATGTGAAAGTAACTTTTTAAAATCTCAAGTTAAATCAGCGGTTCGCTGTTCGCAATTCCAGTATATATTTTACCGTCAATAAATATTAAAAACTATCATAATAATAAATAGTTATTTACTTGTCCATGCGACAAAATATAGTTAAATTAAAATCAGTTAACAAAGGTTGTTTATAACTAGTCGGCAACAAGTTTTCGAAACTTGATCGTTTTACGCACAAGTTTCGTAGCAAGTCAAATTGGAAATAATTTTCGTAATAATTAGTCCATTAATTAGACCTCGCGTTTAATTGTTATATTTAACAATTTTCTAATGTAAAAATTGCGAAACTCGGAAATTTCCATTCGAGTAGGTACACTTGAACCTGTTTACCTACATCAAATTTATAATTTTCGAGTCATTAATCAGCCAAAAAAATCATTAACTGAGTTTCAGAAGCCACAAAATATCCTTTCATGCGTCACCATTTATGTAAATTTATTTTAATTTGTTTTTTATGTTATTGAAACACAAAATTCGGGGTTTTACGCGGATTTCCTTTTACGTAGTCTATATTTCAAAAATTTCATCCCTGTAGCTCGATTAATACATTTCACTTTCGCTATTTGCAGTTCGAGGATGCGGTCAACGACATTGACTTTCCTACGTAAGTGTTTATATCATCAAGTAAATAAATATTAAAAGGATAATTTTAGACCCCAGGGTGACATGACTTTAGAACGTGCCGTTGATGAAAGTCAAAAGGCGATAAACTATTTTTTTAACAATCAATTCCTGGAGGCGAAAAACTTGATGGAACCTTAGTGGGTCACCCGAAGCGTTTTTTTTTCTTTTTTTAAGTAATTTGTTTTAGTGCTGCTACCAGCATTTATCATTCCCTTGGACATTCAGTATTTCTTTTTCTTGAGGCTATTTTGACTTTTGAACACAAATCGATAGTAAATGCTTCCACGGCTTTAAAACATGCGATTCGAGTGTGTAATAAGCAAAGAAGGAAGAACACTTTTGGGGAGTCTTTGGGGAAAATGGTGAAACGAAATAATTTTGATCAATATACGGAGGAGGAAGCTCATGCCGAGCTCTGCCACGCTGAGTGTCTTCTACTTAAGTCAATGTTGACTTTCATGGAAGACGAAACGTTGAGCAGTTTTATTAAAGCAGGAATTAAAATTCGGTCATGCTACAATTCTTACAAGTAACAACAAAACATAGAGGGGACAAAAAATTACTTTTGTTTTCAGGGATTGCCAACAGATTTTATTGAAAAGTCAATGGGAAAAGAGCTCTTCGAAAGTACATTTTGAAAGTGGGGTTAAAATGGGCATAGGCACTTTTAATCTTATGATATCTCTGTTACCATCGCGAGTAATCAAATTATTAGAATTTATAGGATTTTCCGGGAACAAAGTAATAAAAATTACGATTTAATAAAAAATAATTGTTGTTATTTCAGCAATTAGGTCTTAACGACCTCGTCGAAGGGTACAAAACCGATGGTCTTCGCCAGATTTTATGTTTAATGACACTCCTTGGGTACAATTTAATCGTCCTCTATGTTTTAAGTCATCAAGAAGGTGATATTAAATTAAGTGAAGAAATACTAAACAAACAACTGAAAAAGCACCCGCAAGGAGTTTGGTTTTTGTTTTTTAAAGGCCGATTAGAATTTATGAAAGGTGATCTTGAGTCCAGTATAGACTGGTACAAAAAATCATGGAAATCACAGAGTTTATGGCCTCAGTTCCATCATGTGTGTTTCTGGGAACTGTTGTGGGTTTATTGGTATGTTTTTCAAACATTAGATTATTAAAAATCAAAGCAAAATTTCCAGTTTGAAAGGAGACTGGAAAGAAGCACTAACTTATTGCACATCTCTTCTCGAAGGTAGCCGCTGGTCAAGAACCATTTACAGCTATCAAAAAGCCGCACTTTTGTGTATGATGAAAGAGGAGCTTTCATCTACAGATATTGTTGTGATAGACAATTTAATGAAGTAATTAATGGGTGTTGTAACATATCTCGTTTTTCCTAATAATTTTTTTCAGGGATGTTCCTAAATATAAACAAAGAATTGCCGGAAAATCATTGCCATTAGAAAAATTTGCCGTAAAAAAATCAGAACGTTACTTCGAACAGGGTCACAACCTAATCTTGCCAGTAATAGAATTAATGTATGTGTGGAATTTGTTCAAAGCGATGAAAAATTTCAACGTTGCTAATAACATATTCAAAATTATTGACAAAGCTCTAAAATCTTTGAATTCAAAGACACAGACGTCAAAATATGATACTGACAATAGAGCACTAATTTTGCTACTCCAAGGGGCGTGTTTGCGTCAAATGAAAAGTCCTTTGCAGGCTTTGACATGTTTGGAAACTGTGATTTCGTTACAGAAGGATATTGTCGAAGATCACTACTTAGTGCCGTATGCTATAGTCGAACTGGCACTCATTGAATGGGAAGAGGGTAACAAAGAGAAGGCAATTCTGGCTCTCGAGGATGCAAAGTAGGTTACTTTTAGTGTAGTTGTCTCGAAATGTAATATTTTGTTCCAGGAAAAACTATTCGGGCTATTCATTGGAGTCGAGGCTGCACTTCCGGATCCACACCGCTCTAACTGAATACAAAGCGGAAATGAAGAATACAAAAAACTAAAAATTTTAACCTAATAACATGATATTGTTGCATTTGAATGACAGTTGTGTTCCTGAATTAGCACCCATAACAACATACCATTTTGTATAGTCCTAGCACTGTGTATACCAATATTTATAAGAAAGGCTGTGTTGTTATACTACTGTTTTGTGTTGTTTATTTCTAAATAAATTTGCATTTAATTTGTTGATACTTATGGCCTTGTTAATTAAAAAATCGCATGTCGGAATGTATAATCAGGATTTCCATTAAGACGAAAATTGTGGGAAGCTGAACTGTCACCTCTATTGTTAATTATCCTTCAGTCCATTGATTTAGCCTTAAAATCACCACCATGACAAAGGAAAGTGTCGTTCATGCGAAATTGATTGTTCTTCTTTATTTGATTATTCCAGAAATCCTACGAGACCTGGTGGGATAAAGTACCTTGAAGAAACGTCGAAACTTTATTAGCGATGAGTCATTTTATACGGTTTTGGCACAGTTTAAAAACTACTAGTTTGTATGCAAACATTGATACACAAATGTTATTGTTTGACAAAACCGCCAAAAGCCAGCCAGTGTTTACCCAACAATTACCAAACGGTTTTACCTAATTCTTAATAAATTACAAGTACAGTGAAAGTGTCAATTAGAACACTACTCAGTAATTAAATTCATTACATTGCCGTTGATTGAGGAAAACAAATTATTGCAATTATTTGCTGCGTCAGGTATTCGCCAATATCCTATATGCAAACAAATCCATTTACCCAAACGACACGGGAAATTTTTAATCCTAATTTCTAACAATTTAATAAAAAGAATTACGTGTCAATGAAATATTTTTACTCGGGATTAAGATGATTACAAGGTGACTCAAACCAACCTTGACTAAATCATCTCGTACCTTCATCATAAAATGAATAATTACGAAATCCTTGCAGGATATTTAGCAACGCCCTTTAAAGAACGATAATTGCACGGTGTTTGAAACGTATAATTTGGAGCCGGGAAGTGCGACCCTGGTCAATAAGCAAAAAATTTATTTACCATTATTACCTATTAAAGAGCACCTTACTAAAAACATTTGTTATGAAATTATTTACATAAAAAAAACAAAGTTGTGATGACGGACCCGTGAAAGGCTAATAAAATAAAAAATACATAAGAATTATACAACTTTTTGTTAGTAAAACAATAGCAATCAAATATGACCATTGTTTTTAGATTTATAGATATGTATTATATAAATGCACAATGAAAATTAAAAAAGTGTTTCGTTCATTGGTGTGTAAATTTTTCTGCAAATATTTACTATATTTTTTTAAGTCTATCTACAATTTAAAATGTTTGAGTACATAATTGCCTACCTACAACATATTCTTTTAAATGAACTGTAATTTTCTTGTACTTGTAAAACTTTGGTATCATCGTCCTTTTTCGAATTTCTTTATTTAGGTAGGCAAAACTTAATTGTAAGTAAATAAAAGTCTGTTTGAATCTTATTTATTATAAAAAAAAATATCTAAAATCCTCTAGTTGTAGGTAAAATATTTTTCGGAAATCTCACATCTTGATATGCATAAATTTCTCTAATACCATGCTTTCAAATAAATTTCCGATCAATACAGGGTGCGCCAGAACTCGCGCCCCAGAGAAAAATGCCATGTAAAGTAAGGTACCAGGAACATGGAAAAAATGTTAAAAAAATTCTATCTATAAAAATTTTGAAGTTATGAGAGTTTAAATTTTGCATGTTGACTCTATTTATTTCCGTTGGAAAAATAATTTTCCAAGTTTTTTTGCTATAGGCTATTAGAAGAGGATACAAAAAAGCTCTATCCTGAATTCTAACTCTGTTTAATGTTATTTATGGTTTTTATTGGCAAAATTTTTATACTTTTACTAAATAATTATAAAAAAATATATACAATATCATCAGTGTTATTAAATAGACACGAAAAAATGTGAAATGTCAAAAAATAAATGTCAAAATTTTTTGACAGAATTTTTTAAACATTTTTTCCATGTTCGTGGTATTTTATCTTACTTGAAATTTTTCTCTGGGGCGCGAGTTCTGGCGCACTCTGTATATGTAACTTTAAATAAAAAGAGAGATAAGGCACATTGATTAGAAATGTATTTGAATGTAAGGTATGCTTATAATTTTGTATTAATTTAAATATTGAAAGACTTGTTTTAATTTTTTTCATTAATGATTTTAGTTTTTACTGTTAGCAGCAGTTTTAAAATTGTAAGTAGTAGATCCTCTCACTATGCCACTCCCTAGAGTAAAAATATAAACAAGAAAGAAAAACAGGAACCACTGTGTTTATTTTTGATATATTGATCCGTTGATAATGACAATAAACGATTTTATTGTTATCTTGAAGAAATTCCTGTGGTCACAGTAGAACTTTTAGCTTCTTGGTTTAGTTGAAAATAATAATAAGAAACTCGTATATTCAGGGATATTATCCATAATTAAGAGTAATTACAAAACAATTATAATTTTGTAATGCATGTTCCTTGCAGACATTGTAATAAATACCACAGTTATAGTTGTTTTAATTGTTGTTTTTGTACCTTGTAATTGTTAGACATAAGTTTCCTGTATATCTATGTATCATAAATAAACAAAATTGTATAAAAATAGCTGTAGTTCCATTGCCAAAGCACGGGTAATGTCTATTTAAAATTTAAAAAGCCTTTTATTGCTTGCGAACACACATCGTGGCTTTGGTGGTTTTTCCAAGGCGAAGGCTTGTGCAGGTAAATCGCAGCGTCGGGTGGGCGTCTGATGTTGTAGCTTAGAGGTTGTCGCCGCAGCATGAAGAGCTAGAGCTGTGGTATCGACAATAGTGGATGTCGTCAAAGCTGTTGAAGGCGGTTGTCGGTCGACGCGGTCGCGCGGGAGCGGGGCGTGCTCACTTACCTTACCACTTCCAGTATCACATTCTAGTTACCAACCATCGTACCATCGAGCTGATTGGCGACCGTGTGGTGCACCTGTAGAGTCGACAGTGCGCGATGTTCGGATGTAGTTGCATTGTTATCAGTGATTAAATTGGTGGCAAATCGATCGCGTGATGTCTTCCGAGGTGAAAAGCCATCACCCCAAGGCGCGCCTCTGCCACATCAAGAAGTGGGACCACTTCGACGGCTACGGCTTCAACCTGCACGCGGAAAAAGGCAAGCCTGGCCAGTACATCGGCAAGGTGGACGACAACTCGCCCGCAGAAGCGGCCGGCTTGAGGCAAGGCGACCGCATCTTGGAAGTCAACGGCGAGCCCATTGCCAACAAGACGCACAAGCAAGTCGTCGAGTTGATCAAGACGCTGGCCTCCGAGACCAAACTCCTCGTCGTCGACCCACACGACGACGGCATCATCCCCACGGAGCCGGACAAAGAAAAGCACAATGACGTCAACAAAAAAGAACACGAAAACGGAACGCTCAATTTGAGCATGACGGCGGCTGAGCTCCGGGCCAAACTCGCCTCCAAGAAGAAGTTCGACCCCAAGAAGGAGTCTATGGACTTCAAACAGAAGTTCGACATCGTGCAGAAACTTTAGTGGCCAGTGGACGGTTTACAACCAGTGTTACATTGAGTGACCTTGGGAAAATAACGCTCAAATTCTACTATTGAGTTTATACAGGTGTTACATAAATAATAATAGTGACATTAAATGATGCGGAACTGGACACGCAATCGTTCCTAATTCAAAGAAGCACCTCTCATTTTCCCCTTATCTACGCAAAAACAACAAACATCGATTTAGTTTTGGAAACACAATCATTATCGTGATTCTATTATTAATTCTATTGATTCGCATAAAGTGACACGAAATGCATAAACTCGTCATATAAGTCTTTGACTGGTAACCCGTCAATGCCAAATATGCTACGATAATACAAATTACGCTCCAACAATTGATTTCATGATATAATCAACTAAAACAATACCCGTGAGAACAATTAGTTTAGTTCAAATTTAGAAATATCTTACTTTTAGTTACTATGAGATTACGACTTATTAGTTATGTTTTTACCCAGAAATTTTGTAAAATATGTTATATAATCTGTATAAAATAAACTTATAGAAGAACCTTTATCTTTCATTATCCTTATGTCTGGGAGATGAACACAAACATACCTTCTTTCTATTTGGGTGAAGGTTGCCCACCATAGCGGAACTCAAATCTTGTGACGACGTTTCTTATGACTCGGCACGTTTCACTTCTCGACCACCACACTGGTAATGGCTTTGAAACCAAAAATATCACAAAAAAAATTTATGGAAGTCTTTATGAAATCATCTATGTGATTTTCTACAAAACAATCGCGTAACAATTATTTTAAATTTTAAACAACCAACAATGCATCTTCCTTTACAATCTATCATTGCAATCACTGCGTGTGAAGAAATCATCCAAGTAGACAATGTATTTCCTGAAACGTCCCAGCAATTAACCACTTCTTAGTGCAAATAGGAATCACCTACGCCGAACCGATTTTTCTTTGACTAATTGTCGAGGAATTTCGATAATAATTTGATTGATTTAACGTGTTGAAATTCCGAGAATGTGTACTAATGAGGTGGAATTACAAAAACTACGTATTGCTATTCCCCGGATTCTAAATTTTTTAGAAAGATTGAGTTGAGTCATATCAAGCTAATTATGTGAGAAAGATTCCAACAAATAAATAATAAGTAGATTGATGAATATTACACAAAGAAACAAAAGTGTAACTTAACTGTTACAACAATAGAGTCTTTCAAAATTTATTGAAAAATTCTATGTTAATTAACTGCACTCAGTCTTTGATTACATGATGCGGTAAACAGATGGAGGATAGTAATAAAGCCTGTCCCGTTAGGAACTTCGCATTTTACTATTAATTTAATACAGTTTGCCAATGGCACAGCAATAGGTATTATTTCATTATTGTGTTAACATTTTGCTAGAGTTCAATAACATACAAAGTCAGAAATTCAGAAAGCTTCTTTTGTATTCCACCAAACAAGTTATATTGTTTAAAGCAGTGATAATAAAATGTCACGAAAACCGTTAGGTTTTTTTGAGAAAAAATATTTTTATCAGACTATAATTATCCGTGCACTCGACTTTAAACTCTTCTATTTTTATAACTGAGAAAAATAGAAAGAAATCCCACACTTGTGGACCCGGTATTTGTAAATAATGATGAGTGACTCAATATGACTTTTTGTAAAATTTAACACATTAATTTGTACAAAAGTCGAAATATTGAATAAAATATCGTTTGACCCTCGAACAGCTATAATTTTGCTATCGGACATGTTTATAGACTTTGATATTTTTAAAATTTATGTCCACGTTTATCCAAGGTAAGTCGATCAAAAATACATTCAATAGGCGTTTGCAGTAATGCAGATGAAGCCTTTAGACAAGATAATTTGCAACAATTTAGCTTTTACTTAGTTTTAAGTTAATCGTCATTTGTATTAATCTAGAAAACGCAAAATTGCGTTTTTGTTTTGAAAAGTTATTTATTTCAACAATTAACATATTGATGTTAAACCGCTTTAACAGATTTTTAACTTATTTGTGTCACTTATGTTGATTCAAATAACGGGTGTAAAGTGTTAGCCGGTGGCAATAAAATCACAAGATAACCCTCTACTGAATTACATTTATTTAGGCTAATATGTGATCGAAGGACGCGATACCCAGCAAAATCTGCTGGTTTTTTGTTTTGCAATATTTGAAATAATAATGTGAAATATTCAACGTCGCACAGGTGCAAACATAAATCTGCATGGTAATAGTTAGAGTCAAAGAATGCGAAGATGCGTTAAAAATCAATTCGATAATAAACACTCGACGAAGGCAAACAGGTCGTGAAATAAAATAAACCTTGAGCATATTAACATAAGGTGAAAATAATGATGAAAGTTGTGAGCAAAGGTCTCACTATTACAGTTCGACATGTTGAGTGACACAGACGTTGAAGACCACTATAGTCCGTCTGTGCGATTGATAAATATTGAAAGAAATGGCTCAAATTGCGGATTTCACCTAACTAGAAGCAAATGGGACCCTTATCCATGGGTGAATTCCGTCGTGAATGGCACAGCTGCTGATTCTGCTGGTATCAAACCCGGAGACTGCTTGTTAGAAGTCAATGGAGAAGATGTCTTGGGTCAGAGGATCAGTGAAGTGGCCGAAATAGTGAAATCAAAGCCTAATCAAGTTTCACTTTTACTGTGGAATGCCGGTGTCGATCCTCAATGTACGCCCGAGGTAAAACAAACATCTCACTTTTTATCAATTCTTTTCAGACCTGTGTCCGACTTTCTTTTCGGTTTCTGTGGTTTTACCCGCAATTAGAAATTTTTGCATGCACTTTGCGTCCTAAATGTTATTGCCAGAATCCACCGTTTCATTAAAATTCTAGCGGGAGACTTCTACGTGAGGCTAATTGTGTCAGACGCTCAGATCATTTCTATTTACATAATTATTTCATTGTTTTATTATTACCAACTAGTAAAAATTCCATGTTAATGCTAAACATTCTCACATTTAAAATTACATCCGTTACTCCGTTATCTTATCAAATATCCTCTTCGTCAAACGATTGAATCACTACCACACATGATGATAAGTTGAAATCATGCGAAAAATTATCCCAACATGAAATTGTTAAGCTTTTTCCTTGACAAAAATTTTAGGCAGTTTGTTGCGGCCCAATGCCAACAAACCTCCAACGCTTATCTGCGTGCATGTCGACGATTCTTGCATTTTTGGAGTGCCCAGTTTGCCTAGACACAATCCCTCCACCCACCTATCAGTGCGAAAATGGGCACTTGATTTGCATACGTTGTAGGGCAAAGTCTGAAAGGTGTCCAATCTGCCGCTTAAGATTCAGTAGAGGGAGATCGTTATTGGCAGACCAGGTGAGTTATGACCTCAGCTCAGCTTTAATCTTTTTATTCGACTTAGGTATACAATGCGCTTGTTGATGCTTTCAATTTGCGAGAAGAACCTGCCGATAGTCGAACAGCGAAAATGCACCAGATTTTCAGAATGAAAACTAAGAAAAATGTGCCTGACATTAAAGTCACTCCGTCACACACGACGAAATTTTTGGCACGGCTTGTAGGAAAAGCAAGTTCGGTTGATAATCTGACTGGAAACGCTAATGATAGTGAGTTTAATCTAAGGACGAAGTCGCTCTCAAACCAGGAAATTTTTGATACGAGGAGTCCTTTAGTTTCACGGACAAACTCCGTGAACAGAATGAGCCGTAATGAGAAAAATCAGAATTATCTCAATCCAAATTTTCGCTCAGTTTCATGTCATGGCTCTTTTGAGTCGTTGCATAACGACAATGAAGACATCACTTTTTATTGCCCATTTACACCGGGATGTACTTCCCAAATTAAAGGTTTGGTTTTTGTAATAATTAGCTATTAAAAATAACTTTATGTCTACAGGAAAAGATGTAATTGAGCACTTCCAGTTAAGTCACGACGGACCTTTAGTCCAATACTTCAAACCACATATAAGTATCGAGTTTAGCAAAATTTTGGAAAATCAAGATTTGTGTTACGTTATCCAACTTCAGCAAAATATGTTTTTTTTGAAAATTGAAAACAACTCGGAAAATGTACTTCTCTGGACTTGGCTTCTAGATAACGGAAAAGTCGCAAAAGAATTTGACATGCAAGTCAAGGTATTAATTGGAGAAACACACGATGTTATTATAAGTGTTCGAAATAACGTGTTTTCACTTAATTGCTCTTCATACCAAGAGATAAAAGATCTTAAAAAAGGATTATTTGTTAATACTAGAACCATAGGAGGAAATGATGTTATTTTTGATATAGCGATTTTAAAAAGTGATGATATTTAAATGATTAGAATTTTATATGCCTATAGACTGTGATAATTTTTCTAATTTATAAATATTTATTTGGAGATATTGTGGTTTGAATTAATCGTAATAACAAAATAATTCTTTTTACTTTGTTTTGTTTTTTTTTTCTTCTTAAAATGCTCAATATTCCAATCTCTAATCGACTTATTACCGCCATATGAACACTAGATCAGTAGACCAAATAACGGAGTTATGGTCTATTACAGTTACACCTGCAATTTAGAAAAAAAAGACTTGCCCATGAAAAGAACTTGGATGGATTTCCATATAGAACAGTTTTTATAATATGAGATTAGATGGGTGGAACAATATTTGTTTCATGGGACATTCACGTAACAGCTATTTATTTCATAATCATTTGCATATCACGCGTTTATATTTATTAAATAATCTGCGTTAAAATATAAAAGTTATAATTAGAAAGGATCAGAATATTTAAACGTCGATTACGGCTCAAATGAGAGTGAGTGTAGTGTGAGAGTTCTTTTGTAAAACTTTACATTTTCAAGTTTATTCAAACGAATGAAGATAATAAACAAAGTAAAAGTTTATTTAATGTAAATTCTATTCCACTACATATTTATGTAAATTTAGGCCGAATTAATTAAATAACAAAATGTAAAATATGAAAATTGTGACTGAACCATTTCAGGTACAAACGTAACAAACTGTAATCGACACGAAAATATCCGAACAAGTCGCCTTTATTGCCTAATTAAGTTTGTTTTTCTAAACCGTCAATAAAATAATTACTTTTGTTATATTTATTTTTAAGCGTAATAAACTAGTTTTAACATTAATTAGTTTTTTTTTTATTAAATTCTCAAAATAGTTAAAATATTTTTCCTGGTGTTTTCGTTTTTCCCCCAAGTCATCCAAATAACCAGCAACGTGGTGAGTTGGCAATGAATTTCATCACCTACAAAAAAGTTGAGGTTGTGTTAAGTTGCACGAGTGCGAAAAATGTGATATAATTTATTTTAATTAGTGAAATAATAGAAAAATGCCTGTTCAAGAAATTCCTCGTGTGCCGGAAACTATCAATTTTCCCGAGGAGGAAGAAAAAATACTGAAATATTGGTCGGAAATCGATGTGTTTCAAACATGTTTGAAGCAATCGAAAGGAAAACCACGGTAAATTAACATGGTTTTGTGTGAATGAGTCTTAAGTAATGTTGTAGGTATTCGTTCTATGACGGTCCACCGTTTGCGACCGGGTTGCCCCATTATGGTCATATTCTGGCGGGTACCATCAAAGACGTGGTCACACGCTATGCCCACCAGCAGGGGTTTTACGTGGAAAGGAGATTTGGCTGGGACTGTCATGGTTTACCAGTGGAATATGAGATTGATAAAGCTCTTGATATTAAAGGACCAGATGATGTAATGAAAATGGGAATTGACAAATACAACAACCAGTGTCGGAAAATTGTAATGCGGTATGCTAATGAATGGGAAATGATAATTGGGCGCATTGGAAGATGGATTGGTAATTAATTCCAAGAAAATATTAATCAGCTGTAATTAATAATTCCAGATTTTAAGAATGACTACAAGACGCTTTATCCAACTTTTATGGAATCCGTTTGGTGGGTTTTCAAACAATTGTACTTAAAGGGATTAGTTTATCAAGGCAATAAAGTAATGCCATACTCAACGACGTGTAACACTCCATTATCTAATTTTGAGTCTGGACAAAACTATAAGGATGTTGTTGACCCTGCTGTCACCGTGAGTCTCCCTATCATTGGTGATAAGGACAACGCGGCCCTTTTAATTTGGACAACCACCCCTTGGACCCTCCCCAGTAATCTAACCGCATGTGTGAACTCGTCACTAGAATACGTACTTTTTGAGCAAATCAGTACCGGTAAACGCTACATCATGCTGGAGGTCCGTATTGGGACAATTTTCCAAGCTGGCGACTACAAAATCCTCCGAAAATTTCCCGGAAGTGAATTAAGGGGGCTACGCTACGAACCCGTATTCCCGTACTTTGGCTACTTGAAAGACAAAGCTTTCCGGGTTTTGACCGACGATTACGTCACATCGGAATCCGGTACTGGTGTTGTACACCAAGCACCGTATTTCGGAGAAGACGATTTCCGCGTTTGCCTGAATGCTGGGGTTATAACCAAGGACCAAGAACCGATTTGTCCCGTTGATGCAAGTGGCCGGTTTGTCAAACCGGTGACAGATTTCGAAGGACTTTATGTCAAAGATGCCGACAAGAAAATCATAGCGACTTTGAAAGCCAACGGCCGGCTTGTTCACCAATCACAAGTAATTACTGATTTAGTGAAAGCACTACTTTATTGTTTATTTTTAGATCAAGCACAGTTACCCGTTTTGTTGGCGTTCTGACACTCCTTTGATTTACAAAGCAGTTCCCTCATGGTTTGTCCGTGTTGAACACATGACTGAAAATCTTCAAAAAGCGTGTGCTGACACCTACTGGGTGCCCGATTTTGTCAAAGAAAAACGGTTTGGTAATTGGTTACGCGACGCCCGCGATTGGGCTATCAGTCGCAACCGCTATTGGGGCACCCCTATTCCGATCTGGGCGTCTCCAAAAGGCGACGAATACGTTTGCGTTGGCAGCATTGCCGAGCTTGAGGAACTAACTGGTCAGAAAATCACAGATTTGCATCGGGAAAGTATTGACCATCTTGAAATTCCCTCAAAAATTCAGGGGAATCCTCCACTTCGTCGTGTTCCCGAAGTTTTCGACTGTTGGTTTGAATCGGGCTCGATGCCCTATGCACAGAAACACTACCCGTTTGAGTTTGTCAAAGAGTTTGATGAGTATTTTCCTGCTGATTTTATCGCAGAAGGGATAGACCAGACTAGAGGGTGGTTTTACACACTTCTTGTTATTTCAACGGCTTTGTTTGGGAAAGCACCGTACAAGAATTTAATCGCGAACGGACTTGTGTTGGCCAGCGATGGACAAAAGATGTCAAAACGAAAGAAGAATTATCCAGACCCTTTGGAAATCGTTACGAAATATGGTGCGGATGCTTTGAGACTTTATTTGATAAACTCGCCAGTAGTCCGTGCTGAAAATTTACGGTTTAAGGAAGAAGGGGTTAGAGATATTTTGAAAGATGTGTTTTTGCCCTGGTATAATGCTTTCCGTTTTCTGTTACAAAATATTGAAAGTTTTGTACAAGATAACAATCAAGAATTCTTTTACACTGAAAACAACATTGCGGCTGAGAATATTATGGATAAGTGGATTCTTTCATTCACTCAGTCTCTTTTGGAATACGTCCGTAAAGAAATGCAACTTTACCATTTGTATAACGTTATTCCCAGACTTACCAAATTTGTTGACTACTTAACGAATTGGTATGTAAGGATGAACAGGAAACGTCTCAAGGGTGAGGGCGGGTCTGATGATTGCAAAACAGCTTTATTGACGCTTTTTGAGGTTCTTCTAAACATTATCAAAATGATGGCACCGTTTTCACCTTTCTTGACAGAGACCATGTACCAATATTTGAAAAAGTTGATGAAATCATCAGCCGACAGTGTTCATTATTTAATGTTACCACAACCCAATCATGCTTTGATCAACAAAGATATTGAACGAGCCGTTGCTAGAATGCAAAGTGTGATAGAATTGGGCCGTGTTTTGCGCGACAGAAAAACAATCCCAATTAAGTACCCGTTGCCGGAAGTTATAATTGTACATCAAGATCCTCAATACATTTCTGATATTCTCTCTTTGAAGGAATACATACATCTTGAGTTAAACGTTCGTACAATCAATTCAACGACAGATAAAAGCAAATACGGGATAACTCTGAGAGCGGAACCTGATTATAAAGTCTTAGGACAACGACTTAAACAAGAACTCAAAGCTGTAACTGCAGCAATACAAGCTTTAACCGATGTTGAGATAAATGAAATGGTTAAATCCGGATTTCGGGTTGTGGCGGGCCAGCGTATCGAAATTTCTGAAGTTCGACTTATTTTCAAGGCTGAAAGTATTAATACAAACCAGTATGAAGTTAACAGCGACAACGATGTTTTGATTCTTTTGGATGTAACACCTGACAGTACGATGCAAGATGAAGGCACTGCTAGGGAAATAATAAATCGTATTCAAAAGTTGCGCAAGAAAGCACATCTGGTGCCAACAGATCAAATTTCAGTATTTTATAAGACAACCGGTGATTTAGATCGTGTCGCTAAATCATATTGTGGTTTCATAGAAAATACAATCAAAGCAACGTTCAAGCCGATCGAGCAGAAGCAAAATTCAGACTTGGTGATAATCGAGGAAGTGCAACAATTGAAAAACTGTAACCTACAACTGGTTCTGACTCAATTTTCTGACATTGTAATTCCGACAAGTAAATGGGTTAACATCCAGCTAGTAGGTCTCCAATCCAGATACTGTAACCGCTCTTCCAAAGCTATAGCTTTGCTTGAAGTAGCTAATAAACCAGTCAGTTTAAACCATTTGCAATCATCAGTTTTCCGACTATTTGGTGTAGAACATTACAGTCTAGTGAAAGTCAACGCCAAAGAAGTAACTGAACAGGACTTACCTAACTTGTCAGGACAAACAATTTTTGTAATTCCACCAAACAAAGACGTTAAATTGCCTGAAATTAGTGGTGGAGTGCCTTTTTGCAAAGTTTTTAATTTTGTTGCACAAAATGTCAGTGGCACGTTGATCCTGGAAAACCCGATAGGGAACGAAATTTTGAATGAAAAAGATTTCAAGGAAATCATAAATCAGTGGATTAAATTGGCTTAAAAGAAAATTTAGGTTTTTTTGAAAATTTGTTTAGTTTTTGTTTTTATAATGTATTTGCCTTCAATAAAAACTTGTTTGGTTTATAATGTTATTGTGTTTTAATATTATTAATTAATAATCATAAAATCAAACTACAGATGTGTTGCTTTGCAGTATAAGTTTCTGTAATGTGGAGAGAATTGTTTACGCTTTTCGCGTCTATTAATGACAGGTTTTAAAATAAATAAACAGTGAGGTAAAAATAGCTACGCTAAAACCTCACAAGAGGTAAAACATGGTTATAATCTTTTTAGATATTTTTGAATAAATAGAAATATTTATATTTAATAATAATAATTTTTAGCTGAAGAAGTTGAGGTTTATGAGTTTTTATTGTACGTATTGTGATTACTAAATATTTTTTTCATTAATTTTTGGAATTCAATTTAATTTTATTGTTTTTTTTTTGATTTTAGAATTTTAGTTCAATATTATCGGAATTATAACGATTGTGATTTTGAAAATGGAGCTTCTTGTTAGTGACATTTGACGTTTAAAATTTAGTGAAAAATGTCAAAGTTGGTAGCAACGCGTGTGGACAGTTTGGCATTTTGTGATGTGAGATTTTTGTTAAAAGTTTTTATTATGGTCTAAATGTTGAAATTCTAACAATCATACATGTCATTAGAAATATTCGGAAGCAGAAGATTAAAATCTTCCAATTTTAGTGTTTGTGCAATGGTAAGAAAGACGAGAACACCTTGTATGCGTCTCTTCAAATTTGGTTAAGAGATGAAAATAAAAAATGATGGAATGCAAATAAAAACATTAGAACATATGTGATATGAAAGATAATTTAGTGGTATTCCAATAAACGGAATGGTTGAAAATACATGTTAGTGGTCGAATAAAGGACTTTGCGCGGTTTTGGACATGATACAAGTGCAGTGTTAGTGTGTGTACAGCATGAAAGGAAGGGGTATGTGATAAAAATACGAAATGATCAAAGAAAAGCACGAAAAAGGGTCGGATAGCGTGAAGGAGGAACCCGGGAGTTCCGATAAAGAAGCCTCGACGACGGATGTCCGTATAAAAAAGGAAGATGAAGCAGCAGGCAGCAATTGTGCTGTTAAGAAGGAACCCGGCCGTCCTGTCACCAAAAACGGCGGTATCATCGGCTCTACAAACACAGGCTCTCTACAGAACGCCACTGAACGAAAAACCGAAGGTGAGGAGGCAACTTCAGTAGCAGACTCTGCAAATCTAACATTGAAAACTGAAGAGTGTATTGACAATGATCTGCCTGGAGATGCATTCTCGTTGGGGCTGTCTGGCCCACCTCCACATGCAACGCCACCCGATGGAATCCAACCTCTCGCGAGCAACGTCATTAATAAACAACCAGGAAATATGGAAGTTCAGTACATGCAACAGCAGAGTCAGATTTTTGTGTTTTCGACAGTTTTAGCGAACACCGGTGCCGACGAGGTGATGCAGGGCCGGTACGCATCGATAATTGCCTACCATTGTGCCCAACCGGGCACCAAAAAGTACCTGGAGAAGAACCCTCTCAAAGTGAACCAGTTCAACCGGCAGAACCCCGCGCAATGGCTCAATGCGGCCATGATGAAGAACAAAGGTTGCACCCGCAGCCCTGGTCTAGGCCCTAAAACCCAGCCTTCCATCGATAATTTCCTCGGTCCAGACGGTCTAGATGAAATCGGCCTCGGCGACGGTGATCTTCCTTGGGATCAGAAGAACAACCATCATCTTGAAGGACTCGAGGGCGTCAGCAATGGCCTCCCCGACGTCGGCCCCGACATGGACGCTTGCAGTCCTTCCCTCTCAAACGTTCAGCCCTCTCTGCAGGGCGTTAAAGTGCCTGATGAGAACCTCACCCCCCAGCAACGGCAGCACCGCGAAGAACAATTAGCAACAATCCGGAAAATGCAGCAGATGCTCTTTCCCGAGAACCAAGCGATGGACGGGCAGCCGCCCCCGGGAAACGCCAGTGCCATAGACATGCCTCACAATATGATGCCGACGGGCCCCACCCAACACCCGCCTAACGCTCAGCTAATGTCGAATCAATTAGAGTGGCTGAAGATGCAGCAGCATAAACCCGTGCCCATCGGCCCTGTAAGTTCCGGCGCCCCACGGGGTGTGCCCACCTCTGGACCCCGCCTCCAGGGCCCGCCCCCACCTTACCACCAAACCCCGCGTTCGGCCAGTGTGCCGATTGCGCTGCAAAGCCCAAGCCCCGCCTCGCCCAATAACCCCACCTCTAATTTATCCCTTCCCTCGCCGAGGGCGTCTTCCGCCCTCAACTCCCCCGCCGACCCTAATCGCCAATTCGGCCTCGGCAGACATGTCAGCACCGGTCAAAGCCCCACGTCGCAGGACTCTCCCTCCGCCCCTAGACACAACCACAGCAATCCTGGCACGCCCGTTTCGTCACATCTGTCTCCCAGTGTAAATAGCAGTAACACCGAACCCACATCAACCCATCAGTCTTCAGGTTTGTTTGGTTATTATTCATAAACAAACGATATATTTACACATCTACTTTTCTTTAGTTGATGGAATGTTTGGGCGCACCCTCCAATCAATGGCACAACAAAAACAAATGAACACTTCGACGACTTCATGTTCTACAACCCCAACCACTGGGGCCAAGGAGCCTAATCTCATGCCTGTTCCATCCCCACAACAAATACAATACCTCAACACGTTCGAAGGACAGGAATTAATCATACAAAAACAACCAAATACAAGTCTCAAAGAGAGAAATATTATATCTCCACCGTAAGAAATGCATTCATTATTTATTATTTCATAGAGATAAAAAAGTAAACAAGCAAAAAAGAAGTACATAATTGATAACAAAATAAATAAAGTTATATAATTGCTTTAGGCTGAATAAATTAATTAGTTTTCATTTATATACACGAAATATAATATTGTTCATTAATTGATTTATTTATTTATTTGTTTTACAGCATTTTGCCTACAACGCTTGATAGTGGATTCCCAGGCAATGCAAATGATCTTCCTCACACTAGATTATCAGGACCTAATACTCCAACATCAATAGATGTAGGGCCTAGGTTTCCCCCTACACCTGGTGTATCGGCTGAAGGTTGCCGGTTTCAAATACCCAGCCCACATACTCCTTCAACTTCGTCTACAGGTATGCCAAGTAACAAAGTAAAAAGTTGGAACTGGTCTATAAATATATAAATGTGAAATTGCTGTGTTCTAGTGTGTAGATAAGTATTTTTGTTTATATATAGTGTTAATGTTGAAAAATTCAATAAACGTCACATCGGTGACGAATTAATTCATTTTTTTGCGTTTTTTTCCAGGTGATAAATCTCAGCGACTTACTGGTCCGGGTCCAACTTCTGCGCCCGGTCTAAGCCCGCAGACAGCCCCCGGTCCGACATCTGACCCATTAAAAAGCGACTTATTTCCTACTCCGAGTCCTCATATGATGGATGTTCCTCGTTTTCCGGGTCCGAACGCTTCTCCAGGTGCTAAAATGGGAGGAGGTTTCGTGAACGTCTCACCATCGGGCAAACCAAGTCCGTTGGAACTTCCGAATTATTGTGCCCGTGGTGACAATGTACCGCTAAATCCGAACTGTACGAGCACAATGTCTGGCAATCCGAAAGTTTCGCATTTCGATCCGATCTCATCCCTGGCGCAGATGAGTCAACAGTTGACGAACAGCGTGGCGAGTTCGCTAAACGGCCAAGGAAATCAAGGGCCGGGAATGATGAATTTCGGTTCACCCTCGATGCAGATGATGGACATGGGCGGGTGCCACAACATGCCCGACATGGATCAAGGCCCGGGCATGATGGGTATGGCCATGCAAGGGCCTCCGCACGGGTTCCACCCGAACTCGCCCATGGCCCCCATCCGCTCTCTCTCGCCAAAACTGCCAGGTGCCTTCCCTAACCATATGCCTATGCCGAGGATGATGGGTCGTCCACCGGGGCCGAATCCATACAACGGAGCCAACGTACAAGTCAAACCCAACGCCCCCAACACTATACAATACCTCCCGGCGAAGCCTCAAGTGGGTAATGCGTCGGGACCGCGGGGCCCTCCTAGTCTCGATTTCCTGCAACGATTCGCGAATCCACTTTGCAACATGGATTCCAAAATGCCAACGCAAAACCTGCAGTACTTCCCCAATAACGGCCCCATGCAAGGCCCCGGTGGGCCGATGCCGACTCACATGGGTCATATGGACGGACCTATGCAGCCCGACCCTATGATGGGCGGCCCGATGGGCAACGGTGCCGGCCCTATGATGGGCGGTAACATGGGCATGCCCGGCGGAATGCTTCCTATGATGAGAGGCCCCATGAGGCCCCCTGGAATGATGCGGATGCCGCAGATGGGATTCAACGGGCCGGCCCCTGGAGCTCCCGAGATGTTCAACCCGGGCCCCAACATGGGCAATCCGAACGCCCAGATGTTTGTCAGCGGACCGAAAGGCAGCCCCATGGGCATGGGGGCACCGGACGCCACCCAACCGCTACCGCCGTCGATGGGGCAAAACAATACTTTCAAAAATTCACCGTTTGTGGGTCCGACTACATCAGATCCGAACTACGCTCAGCAGTACCATAACTTCCAGCAGCAGTTGTACGCGACCGGGACAAGGAGCCAAATGGGGGGCCAAGCGATGGGACCCGGACCTGGACCTCCACACACTCAACAGCCGCCATACTTTAATCCTAAATAGCAATTGTGGTGCTGAGTGTGTGTGTAACAGAGTATTTTGGTTTATTTTTGATATTACTAATGAGTAATCTGGCAATAATAACAATGTGAGGTTAATTTTGTACATTTTCGTGTGTACTCATCGAATTCAAGTGCAGTTAAGGGTTGGCATCCACTGTTCATGTACAAAGCTGCCTGCCCCCAAGGGCTCTATTCACCTGAATACTTACGCTATTCTGGATTTGTATATTTGCCATAAACTAGAAAGACTTTAGAGTAATCATTAAGTGTTGGACTTGCTTAGTCCTTTTTATGACAGAGATTTCACTATTGCTCATATAATTTGTTTCTATCCATCTGTTATTCATTTTATTGTACATTTTATGAGTAATCATGAATGAAATGATAACAATAAAATTCTATATTATATATTCTGTTTTTTTTATTTCAACTATTATACAATATTCAGGTCAACACCTGAAATAATTCTAATAACTAGATTAAATAAAACATGGGTTACCACTGTGTTACCAGATATAGGAACTAAAAGGCTTAAAACCGGAATGATCCCCGCTTCCCCGTCAAACTGGATTCTGATACAACCAAGGACTGCAACTGCAGCTTACAACTATTTAAATGCATTTTTGTATGTAAATAACAAATGAGCATCCAATTATGGTCACGGACAAAGATTAAGTGAATAATCAAGTTCAAAAGTACCGTAAATATTAATTTTTATTGTCTGGCTCACCGCCGGTAAAGAATCATTTTATCAGTTGTTTTTTTTGAAGCAGTAGACACGCGAAAACCAATTCTCACAATACCCCACATCTGGAAAAATATTGATTATTTTGTAACGTTACCCTAATAACTGTCATGAAAATGCAAATTTATACCTGTGTTTTTACCTAAACACAATACAGGTAATAATCAAATTAAATAATTAAAAAAAGCAAATTTGGTATTTTCGCAACTTAGATAATTCATTTAACTTGAGACGCTGTAAATGGATTATAGTTCGACTCAAGTCCTACAAGTTTCAAGCTTTCGTCCCACAGCCGTTCAGCGTCGACTGAATTTTGTGCAGCTGGTGCAGCCGCCGCCACAGCACAATCGGCATAATAAAGACCAGTCTCGTTGGCACAGTTTTCATCAACGGCGCAGTAAATTGTCGTTTGGGCCCCCTGGTCGGGGGTCTTGATCATGAAGGAAAATAGACGCCAAAGCCAACGAAGACGGTAATCCAAATGACGCCCTAACTCAGTTGTAATCACCCCAGGGTGCAAGGAATACACATTGACTCCACTTACATTTGCCGCTACAATAGTAACTTGAAAATAAATTCATTTTGTAATGTTATTAACCTGCAAGTCTTCGTACTAGCTCTTTGCTGAATAAAATATTTGCTAATTTGCTTTGTTGATACGCCCCCAGGGAACTGTATTTGCGTTTCTCCCAATTCAAGTCGTCGAAGTCGATACAACCGTCTGAAAATTAAATTACAAGTAGGAAATTTAATCGGTGTTGCAAGGTCGAGGTTTACATTTATGAGCTACTGAAGAAACATTTACGATTCTAGCAGGTGTGCTTTGGCAGATTTTTGGTAGTAGTAACAAAGTTAGAAGAAAATGTCCCAAATGATTTGTACCGAATTGCATTTCAAAACCATCGTCAGTCCGGCCTTCTGGACACATCATAACACCTGCATTATTTATCAATAAATCTATTCGTTTTTCTGTTTCTAATATGACTTTTGCACAATTTCGCACCGATTTTAGACTTGTTAAATCCAACTGTGTCACCATTAATTCGCCCAAGTTTTCTCCATTTGAAAATTCTTTTTTTATGTCTTCAACGGCCTGATTCGCCTTGTCCACATTTCGGCAAGCCACAATAACACGGGCACCTTAAAAATAAACTACGTAATTACAAAATAATCTTCTTAATTATCCACCTCGTTGAAAAAAATCCTTCACTGTTTCTTTCCCAATTCCCGTATTTGCGCCAGTTACGACTGCAGTCTTGCCGTCCAGACGCGCCTTTGAGACACATTTTCCACTGAATAGCCCCATTTCCAGCGTTATGGTACGCGCAAGTATGCGCTTAATGCCAGCTCAACACTGAACTATTCTATAACGAAAAACGAATAGATATTCCTACTCGATTATTTTCTCTGTAGATGAAAACGAGGTCATGATAGCGTGAAGGTGAATGAAGTTATAGACTTTTAAAAAGTGTTTGCGGGGCGCATGCAGTGGTGGAAGACTCGAAAATTTTTGTCTAAATACATACAGGGTGTTTGTGGATTGCGAGCAAGTATTTTAACCTCTAAGAGAATTTGTTATGAAAAGTCGAATTGAAGACCAAACAAATTCTGTATCCAAATTTTATTTTTGCAATTTCCCTCCTATGATTTTCACGAGCCGTTCAGTGTGTCTGTCCTTGTTAGTTGGAAGTAAAAATGTCAATGATAATAAATTGCATTGAATGTTGACCGTGAAAGTTTTTATACAGAAAAAGGAAACTTTTTGTTTATCACTCGTTTACACGTGTCAGTTTAATTAGTCGTTAATGCGCTTTCGGGTGAATTGTGCACCTCGATTTGAAATCAAATTGCCAATCAAGTCATTATGGCCAACTACTCAAACGCCAAATTAACTAGTGTACGGACATCACTTCCAAGACCGATTTTCACTAAATGTTTGGGCAGATCATTGAAGATCACCAAATTGGACCCCACATATTACCTCAACGTTTAACTAGTGCCGTTTATCTGGATTTTTTGGAAAATGTGTTGTCCGATCTGGTGGAGGACGTGCCCTTGGCGACACATGCGGTATTTACAAGTGGAGCTCCATCAGATTATGCCAAAGTCGTCACTAATGGATTGAACAATCATTTTCCCTAGAAATGGATTGGTCGCCAATGACCAGCGCGGTCATCAGATTTAAATACGTGTGTTTTTTGGGGGGTTCACATGAAACAATTAGTGTACGCAGCTCAAATTTATACCTTCGAATGGCTGTGTGTGCGAACGCAAGCTTTCCTAGCCCAAAGAGTACAAGAAGTGTGTATTGCCAACGAATGACTATATTTCGAGCAATTTTTTATAATAGCAACATTGACACTGGTCTACCCTAATGTAGCGATAATTTTTTTGTCTTTAAGCTGTTTACGTTAAAAAGTTTTTTTTTATGAATGATTGTAAACATCGTATTAAGACGTAGGCGGGGACGGGTTTTCAGCCTCAATTTATTTTTAATTTTAACTCAAAAATGACGTGCTTTCGACAAAAGTTGGAATAACGAAAGTTGTTTCTTTTGACGAGTCCTATTAGTGGTTAAAATATTTGCTCGCAATCCTCAAACACTCTTTATATGTATGATAAAATTCATATACAGGCTGTATTATGAAAAACGCCCCAAGCCATAACTCCATTATTTTAAAAGTTATGACAATACTTTTACTTTAAAAAAAATTAAGTTGATTGATTTCCGGTGAAACAGAAAACAACATTAATTTAGCATCTATCCTAAACGATAGATGACAAAAAATGTTCAACTTTGTTTTAAGAAGTATTGTCATAACTTTAAAAATAATGGAGTTATGGCTTGGGGCGTTTTTCATAATACAGCCTGTATAAATAAATAATTGTTATAATTAAGCGTTAAAATCGATGGGTAACTACATAAAAAAATTAAAATCAGTACCTAAAAAGAGATTACACAATTTACGTAGTAATGACTATGTATTTAAGCAAATATACAGGGTGTTTGTTTTTCGAGCTCCACCATGGGGATCTCAGTTATTATAGGAGCTAAAGGTCGGTTAAATTAGGGTAAAGTTGCGCATTTTTATGCTGAACAATAATCTGAAAGAAAATTTAATGTATCATTATTAGTTTTTGGATTATTAGAAAAAAAAACGGAAATTTGTAATTTACGTTTTTATTTTTTCAAGCGAAAACTAAAAGACCTAGACGTTTTTAACTAGAACGTTCTCAAAGCACTTTTTTACAAGGAATCTAAATCTGTCATCGTATTTTCCAAGGCACTCTCACTCAATTTTGGATTTTCTTATAGACCTCATATTCGACTTCTAAATTTTTGAAAAGTCTTTTTGTTCCTAATTACAACGATGTATCACACGATATGATTAAATTTTACATGCTGATCAAAATTAAAGAAAGCGTTTTTTCAAAGAGTGCTTTGGAAAAAACGCCACCAATTTTAATTGACAAACTAAATTTTGACAGTTCAATTGAATAAATTGAATTCCAAAATAGATTTGGAATTCACATTTCCGTCAAACTTACCTACAAAACAAAGATTTTTAAATAGGAACAACGTGATAAACTAGAATGATTCTTCCCAAAACAAAACAACACAAAGTTATAAAAGATGCTCGAATGCACCAGCTCCAAAATTTAGTTTGTTAATTAAAATTGGTGGCATTTTTTCCAAAGCACTCTTCGCAAAAACGCTTTTTCTTAATTTTGATCAGCATGTAAAATTTGATCATATCGTGTGATACATCGTTGTAATCAGGAACAAAAAGACTTTTCAAAAATACAGAAACAAAATATGGCGTCCATAAGAAAATCCAAAGTTGAGTGTTGTAATTCTGATATCAAGAGCGCCTTGGAAAATACGATGACAGATTTAGATTCCTTGTCCTAGTGTCCTAGGTCTTTTAGTTTTCGCTTGAATAAATAATAACGAAAATTACAAATTTCCGCTTCTTTCCAATAATTCAAAAACATATTAGTTTGTGTCAATACACATTAAATTATCTTTCAGATTATTGTTCAGCATAAAAATGCACAACTTTGCCCTAATTTAACCGACCTCGTATCTCTCATAATTACTGAGATCCCCATGGTGGAGCTCGAAAAACGAACACCCTGTAATTATTAAATTATTAAAAAACTGACTCATTGCAAAGTTTGTTTTTTTTATTGAGTACTTGGAATTGGAGTGCATTAAATTTCATTACAAAATTTGAAAGATTCAGCGTATCAGGATTACAGGAGGGTAAAGCGGTATTCGACGTTTCACGATTCAATGAGAAATTTTGGTTATTAGGAAGATGGGGAATAGTTTGGGGGTGTGATTAAAAGATTACGATTCTTTCTATAATATATATTGAATTTATATATGTGTACATTTGTTACTTAAATGCCATTTGAACAAAGGTAAATGATAGTTGTTGAAAGAGCATTTATGTAATAAATCGAAATAAAAATAAAAAGAAATACAGAGTATATCACAGAACATTTAGTCCTAATGTTACATTTAATTGTCATCGGCCATGATAATAGTAATGGCGCTGGTGGCGGAGGGTGATTGATCGGTAAAAACATATCTACTGTGGTTGTTTTTGCCAGCCCCGCCAGTACTTAGAGACCTTTGCAAAGGTCTCTGAATAGGCCGTACTCCACTCTTATAAGTCAACGAATCTAATTCGTGTGTATCTGAGAGAGAGGAGTGATTAACAGGACGATTTCGGTCACTAGAGGACGTTTTTGATTTACTGGAAGGACAACAACTAAGCTTGGAATAGTGGAATTGGCCGAACTGATTCTGGGGTCCAATAATGGCCAACATAGCACCCAGATGGAATGTGGCATATATCCAACTAACACTCATTACAGTTACAAGGAATATTCCGATCTGTATGTACGGCAAGATTAATGAGGGCATCATAAATGCTCCAGTTGCTCCGGTTGTTAATGCTGCCATTAATACAGGACCTGCCATGTAAGATAACGCGTATTTGGTAGCAGCGATTCGCTCCTCCGATAGAGCAAGTGGACATAATCTATAATTCACAGTGTAATGTAAACTAAAATCTACAGTAAGACCTATAGCTGTTGACACAGTTATAGATTCCAAAATATTTAACTTCCACCCTAACAGAACTAGTACTGCAACAGTTACAAAAATACTGCATGTTATAGTTAAAATTGCGTATAAACTTGTCAAAATATTCAATGTTGATAAAAGCAAGACTATTAAAGCTAATCCCATTGACACTATAATTGCTAATATAGTATTTTCCGATAATTCTCTCTGCAAGTCGTAAAATTCCAACTCACTAATAAACCACCCATTTTTCATCGTTTTAGGAGCTGTCTTCAGCTCCTCAATCATCCAATTCTCTACTTTCGTGTAAAATTCATGCATGTATTCATAAGACATTGAATAACTATAATTACTATCATACTCTACAATAACAGCTTTTATTGTCGGAAATTGGTCTTTAGAAAATTTCGGACCGGCCATTCCGGGTATCAAATATTGACTAGGTGTTTCATAAATATCCGTCATTTCTTCAACAATACATTCATAAAACACACTACTGTTATACGGAAATGTTGACATTTTACAACAAGGTGACCAATCTCTTAAAGAAAATGAATCAACACAATCTCTTTGCATCGATCGCATAAACGTTTCAATGAAGCAGTTTGGCAAAAGGGGACCAAAAGTAGGTTGAAAAAAAGGCTGACGTTGCAAGCGTTTACAAAACTTCAAAAGCCACACTTGAGATTCCGGTTGGGATATATCAAAGTCCGGATCCAATTCCAGTTTGCCGTAACTTTCCGGATTGAGATGATCGCCATTGTCTACAGGTAAAACACCCCAGACAAAACGTAACGGAAGTTTATAATTAACATCAATCAAATTTTCCTAGAAATAATAATTAACATAAAACACTTCACATTTAACAACTTACCCTTTCCTCACGTCTGAACCAAAAATGGTATTTGTATTTAAAATCGTATTGTTCGAACGGGTGCGAACTGTCGAACAATTGAAATTCGGATGAATCAGGAAGTTTAAATTTCGGATAATAAATAACTACGATCGTACTTATTAAACCTATTATGGACAATATAACCAACCATATATATCTGAAATTGACAACACTGTCTAACAAGAATCGTTCTTTGGAGTTCCATATTCTTCCCAAAAATGAACATTTCGGCCATGTTGTCGATAAATTCCATGTCGGTTTTATCAATTTTGAACAACACCAACGTTGCAAACATGCCATCAAACAACTTTTTGCTAAATCAACATTTGAACAACATGAACGCTCCCATATTACAATACATGCGGGGAACCAAGTAATCATCATAAAAAAATTCGTTATTACGGCCGTTCCCGAAAATATGCTAAAAAAATCTCAAACAATGAAATAAATAGTAGTGATTATTTTCCTACCTGAAACAACATATTGCCGTCACTGAACTTGCATAGGACGCAAGGAAAGCCACCGAAGTCGTTAAGGACGTAACAAACATTGAAAAAAATGCATGATGGAAGGTATCACCCATTACTTTGACAATCGAGCTATTTTTTTCTTCTTTAACCTTATGCCAAATTTTACAAAATATAAAAGCATCATCAGCTCCTATACCTGGAAAACAAAAGTGAAGAATCTGTTTGCGTTTGGTGTTTCAATTACCGATTGCAACAATAATAGCTAGCAAATTCATAAACGGAAAAAATTTCAGCTCAAAAACTAGCATATACATAAAATACGAAATCCCCAGTGAGAATATGATTGCAATTATTGTCATGATAGTCAGGAACAATGATTCCGTATATAGCCACATGCATAGTAACACAAAGAGTGCCCCGGAAGTCATCAACCAAACATCCCGTAGCAGACACTCGTCAAATAGAGCATCTTTAATACCAAATTCCATTGCTACAACTGATATGCCTTCATATTCTAAGTCCATTTTAATGATTTCGTGATAATATGGTAAAATGTCTGTACTACATGCTAGTGGTAGAAAGATCATTGTTTCTTCTAACGTTGTACTCTCTCGAGTCTTCTAAAAATAAAAAAAAAACTTCAGACAAAAAACCGCAAGTGGTGATGATTATACATTAGGTGGTAGAAACGTCGTGCTCGTTAAAAAATTAAGCACATTAAAAACGGCATCGTGTCGAACGCATTCAAGCGGTGCATCACAGTATCCCTTATCAAAGCAATCTTGCATTAATTGCAGTTTATGAAAATATTGCGAACAACTTATCAATAACGTTTTTGTTGCGTTTACGTCTTCTTCCTACAAGTAACACGTACGTTTCATTACGGAAAAAACTCCAACTGCAACTTTACCGTAATTGCTAAACACGAAGTTCTATTGTGTAAAATTGCTATATAATTGGCTAAAGACCATGGCTTACAACACTTCTTTACATGGTAATCCTGATTCGAAGTGCATAAGTCTTTATAATAGTGAGCTTCAATAAATTCGTGCTCTATGCGACACAGAGCGAGTAACGATTTTAAAGTGAAAAGGTCCTCATTATTTTTCGATTTTAAAACTATGTGAGCGTATCGTTCATCTGCAAAAAAGCGGCAAGTGTTAACTGTGTAATGTAATGTGAATCTTTGCCCACTCAATTTTAGTAAGTATTTGCTATCAATTCAATTTCTGATCAAATTTTGCTGTGACAAAATTAATAATGTGGGGTTTTTGTAAAAAAATTCAGATTGATGCATATGACGGCTATCAAATTAGACTTCAAATCTGGGGCCAACTTGACGACAAAAATCACAATGATTATTAAATGTTGCCAACCTAACTTCAGTCACAAGCTGCTTTGATCAGAAAACAATCGAAAGCTTGGTATCTGTATCCAAAAAAAAGGAGCTGTCGGTTTATAACTTTATTTAAATATTTGACTTTTCGATAGCTAATAGTTTCATAATGTGATTGGCTTGTAAAGGTCATCGTAGAAGGATATCGATGGAAGGGATGCGCAGAGACTAAAACTGGTCGTAAATATGTATAGGGAAATTCTGAAATCAGCTGAGAGCAGTGGCGTGTATTCGCACTTATTTATTTGAACAAAATAAATAATCCATGTACAGTAATGAAAATATATTGATTTTGTTACTTTATTAATAAATAACATTTTTAAAGAATTTGTTCTTTTATAAATTGCAATACTTAGTAACCATTTGATAGAGTCATTAGAAATTGTTCAACAAGGTTCAAATTATTTAAAATATAAATATTTTCAAATCACAAGTTTTTAATCAGTTTTTACTGTGTACAAGTTGAGCTGCAGACGTAACTATATTTTTTGTTACATAAGTACATCTCTTATAATAACTGACATCCTCATAGTAGAGCGGACACCCTGTATTTTATTAGTGTTATAGTAAAAAATCGATTTTGACTATTATTGAGTATTAAGTGACATAATTTGAAATTACTAAGGTCCATCAGTATAAAAAATTAATCGCCAGTAATTCTGCTTTAAACCACCCAGTTGTTCCTGAGTAAAAATACGACATTTTACCTTTGAATTTGTTTGGGTGTATAAAGGTTATCAGTTGTACCAAATTTTGTAATTTTATTTACAATGGTTTCTGAAATATTGGAAAAAAATCCATTAAAAGATGCAACCCTTTTAGGGGATGTAGCTCCTTTATATAACATTTTTCGATACATAGGAAACTTCATCTTAAAATTAAAATATTCTATCACCTGTTTAAATTTGTAACAGTAAAAACGGAACACCTGTAGAATGCAGTCTAAAGATTATGAGATTATGACATAATTTGACAAATGAAAAATTTGAGATTTTTGAAGTAAGTAAGAATACAAAAGTATTTTTTAATATACAGTACCTCCCCGGATTGAGTTTACAAGAGGAAACATTTTTTTATCTTTGATTTTACGCCAAAACTGTAAAGGAAAAACATTTTTTGTTTCACCTGAATCGAGTATATCAGTAATTAAATTTTCATTATTCTGATTCAGTGAAAAGAAAAGTTAAGTTTTCTCTTGATTTTGGATTTAGTTGATAATTTTCACTGCTTTTTAAGTCCTATCACATTGGCGGTTTTACTTATTTAACAACCATATGTCACTTTGACAATTAATTTAACTGAATAATGGTAGTTCTTGTTAAAAATGATTTTGTTTCTTATATTAAAGCTGTTGTTTTTGTTATTTAACTTGCGTAAACTCATTTGTTAAAGTGATATCATTGTCAAAAAAATAAAACCGCCAATGTGAGGGATTTAATAAGCAGAGAAAAATAAAATTTTCTTTCTACTGAGTTAGAATAATGAAGTTTTAATTACAGGCATAAAATCTTTTTTTTTCTCTTGTAAACTCAATTCGAGGACATACTCTAAATTTTATTACAAGAGTCAGTGATTGGTCGCTAAGAATTTGAGGATTCGTCTTCTTACATCTTATCGACTAGGTATGGAAACAAAACATTGCTGAAAAATATTTACTCGTAATATAGTTATCAACAAAGGTATCTTGTGAATGTTAAATTTGAAAAATTAATTATAATTAAGTATCATACAAAAATTGTATTTTTAATGTTTATATTTTTAATAAACTATTCGTTACTTTTTGTTCGTCTTTTATTTATACAGAAATCAATATCACCAATATCGTGGAGCATCGTATGAATTTTTTATATTTAATATCTCAGTCAATGAATATACGGAAAAATGCAACTCTACAATTCCCTTTTTACCACAGAATGGTTCTATGTTACGCCACAGCTCAAGTTACCCCACTACACCGAGTACGCATTGGCTGCGCCTATCGATATCCTTCTAGGATTCCCTGACCTCTAAGTAAGTGGTAATAAATGTTTTCGGGTGTGTGAAAGCTTAGAATAATTAGATAAAAAAATATTTGGCTTACCAGGATGACCACAAAAAAATCCGTCAATTTCAATCGGTTTTACAGGGACATTGTCACCAGTTTTTCGATGCAACATGTTTTGTAAAGCCCTCCAATTATTATTTTCGTAGCTATTGTCAGAGCGATTATTACTTGCTTCATTTATAAATACCTAAAATAATGCTTTAGAATAAAGCGACTTGAAAGTGGCAAAATATTTACATTAGAAAAATCGTTTTTTTGTTTGTTTTTCTTCTTTTTTCCATTTTTCCTAACTTTAGGTTTAAAAAATGTTACATTTCGTTTTATCAAAATATCTTTGGGGTTAATAGCAAATTGTCCTGATGGTCTAGTTGATTCATCTAAGTTTTTCCAAGCAGTTAGTCTGTTTGATATAACTGTTCCTCTGGTAGTGAAGCCCTAAAAGCGACAAAAGGGCACTCGTGAGCGTAAAAATGGGCATGACTTACCATTTTGGGGTCAGAAAAGTCTTTGAAGGGCTTGGTTTTCAGTGTAAAAGGTATCACCAGGCATGTACCAGAGAACACAGCAACTGCTGATATAATGATGTAGGGATGATGGACGATAATATGTGCGAACCAATTCAAATTCATTTTTAATGTTCACTCCATTTACCATTTGAGATTGTTTCTAGTCCCTCGTCGAAAAATTGCTTGGAACATCGAAACTGCGCATTGAATTGTGCGAAAACCGGGCATTTTAGGGCTGCAACCAGATTTTGAAAATAGCGTGCAAATGATTGAGTTGGCGTATAAAACAATTACCCTATTTGATGTAGCCAAAGCCACCCTGGATCGGTCGTCCGGGCAGCCGGGTGCGGTAACGGGTAAACTAACCACTAAAAAGCGACCTCTTCGTGAAATCCCTCCAGACAATTCCCACAACCACCATCGAAAAACCCAACCTCCAGTCACATTCCATAGACCAAAAAATCGACTGCTAAGCAAATAAAACGCGAAATATTTACTTTTATCTCATGGGTATCTAGAAAATCGCCGATGAAACATCGAGCCGAACTTACCGATCTCGCACGAACGGAGTGGCTCGTGGCGTGGTATCAAGGCCAGCAGAGATTGAAGTCAGCTGTTTATAAACAAATACAATGTTTGAAGGACACAGCCACACTCTTCTATCAACAAGTCAAGGTTACTATCAATACATTCCCAGGTCCACGAACGGGATATTACTGGGATTGCAGCAGAACTTTCCTATATTGATTTTAAATTTCAAGAACGGCTCTTGATAAATTGTACGCGGAAACCGCAGGCAAAAAATTATCGATTGGCTTCATTATTCTATATTTGCATTTTATAAGCCGAAGGGCTCTTATTACATTAGGGCGAACGTGACCTATTAACTTTCCGGGCTCAAGGACTTTGTTTACCTCGCTTTTATTAACTCATAACAAAATAATCCCATTTCTTAAAGTTGAATATATTATGGAGTCGGTCTAATTTCAGACGAACGACAAGCTTTAATTCAAAAAAAGAAATATTTCCCATTAATAAAATATTTATTTACTGAAAGCTAGATACAATCAAATTTATTTATTCTCCTTCTGTTCTTCCCTCTTTTTGAGTTCGTTGTACAACACTAGAGAGGCCTGCAAATGCTCATCTAATATTCTATTTTTAGAGTGCAACAGTTGTTCTTACATAAGCGTCTGTAGCTGCATAATCCAGCTGTTCCTTACTTAAAGGACTGACATGCCACTTACTCATCCTTACTTTATTGTCTTTACAAATCGTCATTTTTAGCTAAAACAAAATTTACAATAAATACAACCGAATGAAATTTTTTACAAAAATACCAAAAATGTGACTAACTTCTCCATGCTCCATCTTTGCTGAAAAGGCAATACTTGGTTTGCTAAAACACCACTGTCAACACAGTTTTCTATTATTTTCTCAACGTCAAATCCTGAAAAATCCCTTGAAAGTTTCCTAATGTCACTGAAATATGATTATTAGTTTGAAAAATTCCTGTAGGAAAAAATACTTTTTAATATTGACTCCTGTGATTCTAATTTTAGGATGAGCCAATAATACTGTTAACCCCTTAGGGATTTTCTTAAGGTCACTTATTTGAATCAAATAGCATGTGTTGAGGTCGGGACTTATTTGAATTAAGGCCGCTTTTCCAGGACCGGTCTGAAAGGAAAATGGCCATTCTATATCAAATCCAAGGACAAGAACATCAGCAGCTTCATCAGCTAATTTACTAAAATAAGACCACTAAATTGTGCAACAAAGTTTACAAAAGTTTACATTAAATTGTCACAGGCAAGGGCACAGTCGACAAACTCTCTTATGTAGATTTTTTTCCCTTTAAACTGAATTGGAGGCCTATTCCGAAATTCTTCTTTCTCCTTTTGTTTTTGTAATTTTTCCTACAAAGAGTGTAAAAGCTATTTTTTATGTAGTAACCACATACTTTTTCTCTTTCTTCCAGAGAAACTGATGATCTGAGTCTCATACGATTATTATCAGTCATTATTTTATAAGTTTTAAGTGGAAACAAAAACACGATTTAAACCAAAATGTAAATAGAAAAGCCGGTACACCACTTAGGGATTTTTCGTCTGCGGTGTTGGTAGCACTCTTTAGCGCCATATTTGAATATTTCAAATTAAGAAAATAAAAAAACTGGTTGCATTTGTTATTAATGTTTATTAGTAAACTTAATACCTACTCAAACAATCTTTTATTGAAAAAATACTTTTAGATGTAAAACCAATAGCATGTATAATTATTATTAAAATTAGTGATGCAGTAAATCATACATCTTATTTAATACTCCGATTTTAATAATATTGTGTGCGGATGAAAATCTTTAGTCACTTAAAGCTAGATACAATCAAATTTATTTATTCTCCTTCTGTTCTTCCCTCTTTTTGGGTTCGTTGTACAACACTAGAGACGCCTGCAAATGCTCATCAAATATTTTTAAAGTGCAACAGTAGTTCCTACATAAGCGTCTGTGGCTGGATAATCCAGATCCAGCTGTTCACTTAAAAGACTAACATGCCACTTACTCATCCTTACTTCAATGTCCTTACAAATCGTCATTTTTAGCTAAACCAAATTTACAATAAAGACAACCGAATGAAATTTTTACAAAAATCATGATTATTAGATTGAAAAATTCCTGTAGTAAAAAATACTTTTTAATATTAACTCCTGTGAGTCTAATTTTGGGATGAGCCAACAATACTGTTAACCCCTTAGGGATAGTCTTGAGGTCACTTATTTGAATCAAATAGCAAAATAGCATGTGCTGAGGTCGGGACTTATTTGAATGAAGGCCGATTTTCCAGAACCGGTATGAAAGGAAAATTGCCATTCTACATCAAATCCAAGGACAAGAACATCAGCAGCTTCATCAGCTAATTTACTAAAATAAGACCACTAAATTGTGCAACAAAGTTTACAAAAATTTACATTAAACCGTCACAGGCAAAGGCACAGTTAATAAACTCTTATGTAGATTTTTTCCCTTTAAACTGAATTGGAGGCCTATTCCGAAATGCTTTTTTCTCCTTTTGTTTTTGTAATTTTTCCTACAAAAAGTGTAACAAATGACAAGCTAATGTTTATGTAGTAATCACATTCTTTTTCTCTTTCATCCTGCGAAACTGATGACCTGAGCCTCATATGATTGTTATCACTCATTATTTCGTAAGTTTTAAGTGAAAACAAAAACACGATTCAAGTGAAAATCATTCAAAATGTAAATATAAAAAGCCGGTACACGACTTCTGCGATGTTGGTAGCACACTTTAGCGTCATATTTGATTATTTCAGATTAAGAAAGAAAAAAAAACTGATTGCATTTGTTATTAATGTTTATTAGTAAACTTCATACCTACTCAAACAATCTTATATTGAATAAAATACTTTTAGGTGTAAGACCAATAGAATGTATAATTATTATTAAAATTAGTGATGCAGTAAATCATACATACTCCGATTTTAATAATGGTTGCGGGTAGGAATCTTTAGTCAAAATTTGTTTAATTACAACTAATTTCAATAATAATTATGAATTCTATTGAGTCGACACATAAAAATCACTTTGTTCCGTATTAAGATGATCTGAGTTTAGCTCAATAAAATTAAACAAAATTAGTATTAACTAAAATTTGAAAGGCTGCAAGCCAACAGTTGTCAGAGACAGTGCAACTTAAAACAGATACATCTGTGCTACTTTCATGCAATTAACTTTCATGTTTTTATACATAAAAAATTAACAATTATCTGATAAAATTTTAAGGTACAGCAATAGCCAATATTTTTTTCATTTACTGCACAATACAACATTGATTTCTGATATTCATAAATATGAATAAACTCTCCCAATACATTCTAATGTAAAAAAAACAGTAACAAAATCTATGATATAACATAAAACAGTTTTTGAAAAGAGACAGATAAAAATGTGTAAAATGATATAATAAATAAAAATTGTAACGAACTATTCTAATGAAATGATTGGAAGATTATTTTGCTTTGGTACTTTTTTGTAATCTGCATAACTATTGAGGCGCCGTCTTCTAGTGATTACCAAAACCCGGAAGATTTGCCACCTGGTGGGTTCCTCACACGAATACAAGACTTTCTGTCCACATCAAGATCCTCTGCAAGAAAGAAGTTAATAAAAACAAGCAACGATTCGAAAACTTACCGCTGATAGAAAATGTCGAATCTTGTATATTTCTTTGACCTTCCGGTCGTGGCCCTCTGACCGAGGGAGTGCTCACAGCTGAATCTGGCAGTGTTGGTGTAGGACAAGCTTTGTCCTCAATTGTGATCTAAAACCACACCCTCAAATTACAAAACAACAAAAAATAAAACAACCTTGTGAACCTGTTCAGGCAAATAGTCATCATGAGTACCATTGCGGACCGGTTTTAAATCACCGATTTTGTCGGGATCGTAAACAAACGGAGCATAGACAGGTGTCTCCACAAAACGGCCGTGGCCTTGAACAACACGCAGTTGCCCATCGTCGACACACACCCGGCCGTTGACGATGACGTATTCGGGGACACCATGACATACCATCCCCTAAACAACAATTATGTAGAAATTGAATTATTTTCTACGCAACTTACTTCAAAGATGTTAAAATCCACGGCTTGGTGATGCGTGGATGCCGAAATCGTTCGAGTTTTGGTCGGATCCCAGATGACAATGTCTGCGTCTGATCCAACAGCAATGCAACCCTTTCTCGGGTAGATGTTGAAAATTTTAGCTGCATTTGTGCTGGTTATTGCGACAAATCGACAAGGGTCGATCACCCCCGATTGTACTCCTTTTTCCCAAATGACTGACATTCGGTCCTCCACCCCGTTTACACCATTCGGGATTTTGGAGAAGTCATTTTTGCCCATTTCTTTCTGAGATTTGTTAAATGTGCAATTGTCACTTCCTGTGACTTGAAGGACATCCCTAGAGGTTACAATTACGTTAGTTTGTGATTGCTTTAAGTTTGATTATTAACTGATAGTTTACCCCAAATTTAGATATCTACGGTAGTCACCCGAATGACGAAACACAAGTCATGCTTGCGATATGATAAATGATCATTTTTAATAAATAAAAGATCTATTAAAAAACAAAAGATAAAAGTTAGTGGTTAATTCACACTTACGATGCCAACAACCCCAAAAGCTTGAAGGGTGTTTCAGGTCTAGAGCGTATAGCTGGTGCTGTTACCACGTTGGCATTACGTGGATCTCCTATAAGACCAATACAACCGGCACGAACTTCTCCAAAAACGTTTTGTCCATTAGAACGCACAGTTTGTATAATATTTCCTGATTCTTCCGTGGTAACATTAAGGATATAAATGGGTGCGTTCACCTGCACTCAAAACTGTTTTCACACTGCTTCACTATCAGTACAAAAAGTGCTACACACAAAGCCAATGCAACATTCAAGAGTTAATCGTGAAACGAATGAATCTCAATTAGTGGAAATGAAGTAACTTAGAGAGCAAACGAAATAACACAAACTTACTGTGCTAACAGATTCAATAAAAACTGAGGTGTTGTAGGATCCGGTCTTAAGGGAGGGCTTAAAACGTGGCCAGCCGAGTGTTGGAAGCATTCATGCCTATAATGGGAACCATCTGAAGCTAGTGCTGCTACTAAAGTTTCACCATACACTCGAGTACCTCGTTCACATGCTTGTTTTAAAGCTAATCCTGCAGATTTGCTCATCACATGCACTATATACAATGGACAATCTACCTATAAATACCACCACAACTAAACATTTTTCAAGAAAACTAAGATCAGAAATAAAGATTTTGCAGCTGCTACAGTGCCAACAAACTCGAAAAAGATAAAGTAACGCTAACTTGGTGTCTTTTTACTAAAAGATTATAAAAATTTCCACCAAATAAACAGCACCGTTTTAAATTTATGTAAAAATTGTGCCAGAAAAACATTTTTTGCATCAAATTTTGTGGATTTTAAATACACAATATACAAAGTGAAAAAGATCAACAAAATTGTTATGTATCATTTTTTCGAAATCGTTTTTTTTTTGAGGCATTTTGCCTTTTGTTAAATAACGAGCCGCTCAGTTAACCTGAAAGTAGTAGTGACCGTGAATTTGCTTGGAAGTTTTTTGTGGAGTTCTCAGCTGACAATTATTGCAGTTTTATTAATGCCCGAGTTTGATCGGTATTTTTACGTTTGGTTAATTTGTCTTAAAAATACCTAATATTGTGATAAAATGCTGAATAATACGTGGACATTGTGCTATAGTTTATGAAACCTGTTCCAAATGTATTTTTCGAGATGTTTTTGAGATTACGGATTAGATCAAAATAAACAATTATTATTGAAAACGTACAGTACACAAATTAAAATTTTGATAAAACAATTCTTCAAACATTCTGCTAATGCACATAAACTTAATTATAAACTTATTATTATTACGGTAATTGCCCAACAAGAAAAAACCTAATTATAGGACCAGAAAGAAAACTTTAATACTAGAAAATCTCTTACACGTAGGATTAAAAGTAAAAGTAAACCGATTTATAATATTAACTTAATAACTATGGCGTTTTCGAGAAAATGATACATAAACAAAATGTTACATTTGACGAGTTATGCACGTGGTTAAAATTATTGCACCTATTTCAGAATCACGTTGTACAAAATACTATACCAGGTAAATAAAAAGTGTGGAACCAAACGTTTTTTGCTTAAACTATTTATTTTTTAAAAAAACTAATTGATAAAGTGATAAAGTACTATAAAAATGTAATGATTTAACAAAAATAAAATTTTTCGAAATTTCCTTTTGTTTTTGAGTTTTACGAAAAACTTAATTTTTTAAATGGCAACCCACTATAAAATCATTTTTCTCATAAAAGTTATACTCTAAGGATTACAACTACCTGCTTTTATTTAATTTTTGCAAAAAAAAAATTTCACATAAATTGCAATTTTGACAAAAAAAGAAAATTTCGTTCTGAAAATACGATCACATTTTTTATATTACTTTAATTTATATTAATTATTATTTTCTGGAGGCAAATGATTAAAAATAAAACCGCTTGGTTCCATACTTTATATTCACCCTGTATGTCAGTGGTTCTGATTGAAGTGTTTTTTCAAAAATGAGCATGTACATTGATAACGAAATAATCAGGCAGCTGAAAAATCGCAAGTCTGTACAATATTGCTTTTTTATGTTTCATGTAAAAAAAAATCTTTTTTCAAATGACACTAAACTTTTTGCGTCATGCAAATTCTGCAAAGTTTGTGTTTATTTTCAGTTAGGTTAATGTGTTTGTTCAGATTAGGTTGCTCGATAAAATAATCATTAGCGTTCTTACTCGAGACAAATGATTTAATTGTTTACGAATCTTACATAAGTGAATTTTATTTGGTGGAAATTTCCGGAAGTGGTTATATAATTACCTGTTTGGCTATGACACAAGCCCTGTTAACGGCCTCTGCCTCGACTTCTTCAGGCCTGGACATTTCGTGTCCCTCAGGCCCTGTGATTCCCTTCGCCAAAAGCCGTTCAACATTTTTCGCAATGATCGAGCCATTCTCAGCATGAACTTGAGCAAGAGCTCCTAATTTCTGGCACGTTTCAAAAACGCTATACAATTCCGAATCATTAAGCATAAAATTATAAGCCATAAAAACTTTAAATGAATTAACTCCGTGTTCCTTGCATAGGACTTCCATCTCCCTTCTAACTTGCTCATTCCAGTGAGTTAACGCGACATGAAGTCCATAATCGCAGCATACTTTATCGTCACCCTTTTGTCGGTATTCGTAAAACGCATCGAGGATTGATTCCCCTTTCTTTGGCATTACAAAGTCAACTGAAGCGGGAAGTGGATATTAAGGGGATTTGCGGTGATTATCGCTTACTTATCATGGTGGTGCCTCCAGCCACCGCGGCTTTGGTGCCTTGGTAGAAATCATCGACTGATTTCGCCCCCATAAACTCCATCTCGAAGTGTGTATGGGGGTCGATGCCGCCAGGTAGCACATACTTGCCTCGAGCATCAATCACACGAGTACCCCCAGGGATTATTAAATTGCGACCCAGCTGTTTTATAACACCGTCTTCGATATAGATATCATCTTCAGTGATATCGTCCTCGTTTACTACTTTCCCATGTTTGATAAGTAAACGATTTTGGGCACTCTGAATAAAAAAAATGTGAAAATGCGCGCTGTAATCAAACTACGACGTGATTTGTTGTTATTACTATGTATTATCATTTTGATTTTTATTTACAAAAATTATTGACATTTGAAAGTCATATTTAGAAAAACAAACTGTAGGGATATAAATAGTTTCTAGTCGTGTTTACATACGGAATTACTATGCCAATGTTGGATCTATGCACAGGAAAAGGAAACAGCTTAATGTTTTAAAAAATCAATACATATAAAGTAAGTTAAAACGTCCTAACTTCCTGTGATATCCCCTGGCTACCGTGCATAATTAATTAAGTGCGTGCTTCAAAACCGCAAGTGTTCATCCAAGAGGAATAACACTCAAAAATATCTTATGCAATACACCTGTTATTACTCACCTGTAAATGAATTGGGACTTTTTTCACTGGAGTAGACATTGCGGTTTACCTCAGTGGTTTTAATGTATTCAATAATGACGATTTCCTCGTTTTTTATCAATCAAATTAAACTGAAACGGACAACGAATTTAACACCAACAACCTATAGCTAGACTAGAACGACCTTGCCCGGCACTGTTAATATTTATAATGTTGGCACTGGCCGAGGTTGGCAACGGGGCGAGGTATGAATTTAACCAATCAGAAGCTTAAGATTCTTGCCATTTGCCATTTTTTAAATAATGATACCAACATAATAAATGCCACAAAAAAATTAATTCAAGTAGGCAGTCCACAATACGGCCATGTAATGCAATTTACAGGTATTATTTTGAACTTGTTTATATTTAACTAACTGTTAAGAAAATCAAATAAAAAATACTTGAAAAAGTTGAGCATTGAGTTTAAATTAAATACCTAAATATATTTCGTTATATCACTTTGAGTATAACCTAAGCAGTCAAAAAATACAATTTTGTTGTTTTTAAATTAGTAGGTACACTTATCCATATTTCATCAGAATTTGATAGCATTGTTAAAAAATAATTTTTATATACTTTAATGTAATGTAATGTACGTCAAGAGAGTGGGAGTCAATAGTTCACGGTCATGACAGTTTTATATGTACATGAGTGGTTCCAATTTTTCACTTTATTCATTTATTGGTATTGATTATTGTTTATAATCATGGAATAAAACAGTAAAAAATTTCTACAATTTTATTACATTTACAATAGTCAAAACTTACAGTTATAACGCCATATCACGTAAAATGAGATGTACACATTCCACCCTGATGTATGTAATGCGCAATGAAGAGAACTCTAATAAATAAATGTTTATGATTTCTATGTTCTATGAGCTATAGGAATATAACAATCCTTGCCTGAAGGAATTATTAGAGTATTACAAAATTTCCGATTGACAATGCGTTTAAATGTATAATGACGTATTCAATCGATTGTGATACGACATCACCCTGTATAAGCAACTGACAAGAGGAAATATTAGCGAGAAAAATATTAAAAGTTCTACAATATAGGTAAATATATTGCACCATTTTAATAAAAATAACGATAAACCGTATACAATAAACTATAAGTACATAATGGAAACGTCATAAAAATAGACATATCATGCACAGTTCCTTTAACAAAGTTACACAATCTGAAAAACTGATAACCATTTTTAACAAGTAACAATTGATCGGTTTAAATAAAGCTAAATCTCTAGTTAACCATTTATAAGTTTTCGAAGAAGATGAGAATGTAGATAGAGTTTTAGAGCAGGTAGTAATGAGGTTGCTTTGTGCACAAATGCTGTCACTCGCATTTTAGTGCAACAATTTTGCGCATCATTCCGGGTTATCAATTTCATTTTTGTGCAACTTATCTACAAATTTATTGCACATTCAACAAAAACATACTCCTGAACGTAGGTAATAATAATATTTACATTTACGAAAAATCGCAATACTATTACGGTTGTCGCAAGAACATTTACGACTCTTCGGCCTCTTCGCGAAATAAATATGTTGACCAGTATATTACATTGAATAGTGCGAAAACTAAAGGAAACGTGATTCGGGAGATAACATCAATGCGTTTGGATCTTGTGGGGAATTTCGACAGCCAAGATCGGCAACAGTTTGGACGAGCTGGTTGCATGTGGATTTCACACTGACGAACTTTTTCTAAACTCATTGGATCACCGGGATGACGCACCAAAGGCTTCTGAAAGAATTACCATAGCTCAACTTGATTAGGATATCTACAACTGGCAACAACATTCAACACCCACGAGATCTACTACACCTCCAAACCCAATCAAGTGTAATAAATCTCTCGACACTTAAACTGAAAACAAGAAATCGACTATTTCTTAATATAGCATTACCATTGCGAAAGTTGCGTTGCTGTCTGTGTCTATTAAATCTGACGTGGCATCCATAGATGCAGCATGTTCTAATTCGCACTGTCTTCTTTGCTTCTTCATGTTCTCCCTATGCATATCGGAACGCGACGCATAGTTTACAAGAGCAAATTCTAGTAACGCTCCAAATACAAATGTCAAACAAACCCCCGTCCACACATCAATCGCTTTTGTGTACGAAACAGGGGGTAAAGATGCGTTAATACCCGATGTTTGCGTAGCCATTGTGAGCAAAGTTGTAACACCTGAAAATTTAAGTACATTTTAATCTGTTCCAACACCCAAAATCCACATTTTCAACGAAAAAAGCTTTTCTCGCTAATGGTGTATTAAAATCTTCAGGGTCACAGAGCTTAATTTGTTTGTATCCGTTTCAATTGGACGCAATTTTCTTTTATATCCAGAGAATCCCTCTTACAATTAGTAATCTGGAATCGTTTGGACGACAATAGCTACTTCATATCAGATAGAAATGTTTGCGTGATTGCTTTTTCTTAATGTACATACATACATACATATATTTTTAGTTTCGCTCATATACAATCACTGTTCCGATGTGGACCGCCGAAAACAACCCCTTCACCGAAGCTTTTAGCATTAACGCATTTTCCACCGTTGTTGCCACTTAAATTAATTACTAAACGAACTTTGACATTTACTAAATCATATTAACCATAAAACAGATACACTACATTAAATTTATATTTCGATGTGGTCTCGTCAAAATAATAATCACTTTATGCCATTTTTTACAACAACACAGAAAATAAGCAAGGAAGAAAAAACGAAAATGAAGACTTACCCAAAGAAACTCGTGCAGGAACAGCTCCTTGATCGAGCCAAAAAGACACCCATGAAACTATGACCAACATACAACAGGGTATGTATATTTGTATTAGGTAGTAACTGAATTCCCGTTTAAATAATAAATCAACTTTTAAACAACTATATTCACCTAGAAAATTTTTACCATAAAAGGTCGTAGAATTTGGTCATGTTTAATGACGTACCGGTATTAGTTTTACTGTTACAATAATCAGTTAGGAATTTTTCTAATGTAAATCTAGGCAGGTGTAAATTTTTAACTACTTGTACAGGATCACCTTCTTTCCATAAAAATACTAAGTCATCGGTTGTCCAGCCATCTATAATTGGAAAAATTCAAAGTAAACGATGTACCAAAAAAAAAAACAATAAAGATCACAGAATTAAGTCCTTTATACTGGTACCTGTCGGATCGTAATACGACTATAAAACAGAGAGTATGTAATTTTATAGAAACAGACCGTTTAATTTGAATCAAATCAATATTTATGTGTAGTATATGACATGCTTTCTAATCTAATCTAATCGAAAAATCGTAAAAATAGTCATGCAAAATTCAACCTGCAAGAAATGTATATTTTTGTGAGAAAAAATCGTGAACGTATTGTGATAAAATGAAAATGAGCGTTTTGCGCGTTTTCAGGATATTTTTAGTCCATTTGGCACCACCGTATGACAGTTGATATAATTATGTGTTTTTAAACGATTTAGAGTTTGTAGACTAGATGATAATATTTGGAGATCGAGATCTTAGACATAGATACAGGTATCCGAAAAAAATGTTTAAAAAAATTGGGGAGGTGATTCCTTAAAAAGAAAATCCATTGAACCTTAGAAAATCATGTTCTTCTAGAAAACAAAAGTAACACAAGAAACATCCATAGAAAAGACTTTTTTCAAAGTTAATTTTATTCAGTGTCAACAAATTACCTCAGATGCAAATTTTTTGTAAATTTATCTCAACTGATTATAGAGAAATCCCTACATCTAGGTTCCTTAAAAAGCCTTTTCGGACATATTTTTTTCCAATGCTGACCCACAATCTTTTAACGTTTATTTCTTCGGACATTCTGTATATGTTTCGACTTGATGTATTTGATTTAGTTGAAATTGATACAGTATATGAAATGTATTTTAGCAATTCATGAGACGTCGGCTTTCTTATAACATGTTCCGTCATATTGGTATTCGAGTTCGGTAATAGTTAGATCCAAATCCGGAGTTTTCGGAAGTTATGTGCAAACTTAAAGTACAACCTACCTAGCGATTAATTTAATGAACAAGTCTGGGGTATGTGTCGTATTTATTGTTGAATTTAGGTGGATAGCTGCTGTGTTGGAATATTTAATTTGCGATGGTGCTAAATGGATAGACAAGGGTAGAGACGGAAGGTGGTGGTAAAAGGAAGAAGGAATTTTGAGTAGATAATACTCACAGCTAGCCATCCGTAAGGAACATATTTGACGGTCAAGGGGGTAGAGCTTGAGGTTCATCGGACATGATAATGTCAAAGATATTCTGAAAATTGTAAACGTATTGGGGTGATGGTTGTTAGAAGGTAGTGATTTTACCTTATACTATAGAGGACTGAACCGTATGGAAAAATGCGAATGTAGACGTTGGGCATAATAATGTTGTGGAAATGCCCTTCTTTCTCATTAGAAAAAAAGAGATCGGGCATCCAGACTCGACTGGCTTCAGTTAAAGTAAGATATTTGAGACGACCTCCAAAGTCGTTAAACTTGAGTCTTTCATCTAGCCATTGCTCTCTGAAGGTGAGTTGTACACTGTATTCCTGTAATATCCAGATTGTGAAGAGCTTTGCGGGGAGTTATAAGTAAACATGCAACATGCATTGGAAGAAGTAGAACCTGCAAGGTTGATTTTTGTACGATTTGGAGATTGGGGTTAATATCGCTAAATGAAGAAGAAGCATGCACTAGATATAGTTAAGGTTGTATATACGGCGTGTACTCGCCGGGGCTGCAGCGCCACACGGCATGCTCGCGCTGGTGCTGGTGCCCTCATTGCAACATCACCTCTCGGCCTTGTGCAAGTGAACGCAACCGAGTATTACACCCATCCAATACTTGACATGACTGGCAGACCGCGCACTCACTCACCATTTTATAATCGTCTATTTTGCTGATAGACCGAAGAAAGAAGTTGATGTTAACTACAGTCGGGCCGTCACGTCCTACTGCGGTGGAACAGAACAAAATAAATTACTATGTTAAGAAGTTTAAAGTCTTGGCTGCGGGGCACGGCGCCAATCACATCTCGCATTGGCCATGTCCGCATGCAAGCACGCGGTCGCCGGCCCACCGCCCCACAAAACACGAAAAGCACACGCAGGCCGTCCCGCCCCACAGAAGATCAGAAGATGAACTATGCTACCATCCAACACTACACAAATAGAGACCATTCCCTGCTGCCAATAGCCACTTACCATTGTCACATCATCTATCTTTGAGATACTTCTGACAAATATGTTGACACGGACAATTGCGGGACCATCTAGTGGTTAGAAAAGAAAAACGGCTTTATTAGTGGACATCATCACCGGGCGCTCGATGCGATCGATGCATGAAGGCAATGAGGCACCTGCACCGGCACGACGGCACTGACAGAGCAGCACCCAATGCTACCTTACTGCCCACTTTAGCCCACTCGAAAGGCATTTAGTTCAATTCATTTCAATTTAGCAATCAAACCTATTGAAGCTAGACGGGGTCGACGAGAAGAGTTCGCTATTCGCTCGTTTGTTCGTTCGTTCGCTCGCTCGTTGCTTGCTTGCTTTTTCCTGGTGCTGGTGCGTGTACGTGGTGCGTGTAGTGCGTGCTTTTTCACGACAAACGGACCCTTCTCGTCTTTGCCCCATGCTGGCTTATTGCTTATTTTTTTATGTGATGTAGCATCTCTATACTATAGCCTACAGAACGATGTGGTGGGCGCCCACTTACCATCTTGATGTCACTAATGGTCGCAATGCTGCGGACAAACAGGTTTACTCGGACAATGGCTGGCCCATCTAGAGCGATGGACAACGTGTTACATTACATATATGTACAACAAGCAAAGGCAACAAAAGACAGAGGCCCCGTTCTCTGGACGTCTGACCTAAACATTATAGATATGCCAACCAAGTATTGGGCTCACCTGTGCCATTCACACCAGATGGTCGGATCCTCGCATCATACATCCCCTGTCCTAAGATCTGGTCCAACACCTCTTTCTCTTTTTCACGAAAATTAATCTTGACATTTGTGCACCTATTACGTACACACACGGTTAAACAACGGACCTGGAAAACCACCCCAAACAACTTACACTGTCACGTGGATGATGTGCACTATCAATGCGATGAGGGTGTGTGTATACATCGCAACTGGAACTGGCCCCAAGACTCAACCTCACCGATTCGAGATCTACCAAAGGCCAGTCCTGCAGTGACTACTACTTCACCCGTTCATCGAAGCTCTGCATCAATCTTTAGGAGTTCCTCTGACTCCTCCTCGCCAAAACACACACGCACGCAGAACTGAACGCCCGTGCACCGTCGATTATTATGAGCTGTACCTCTAACTCATAGGAAGCGCTATATTGATCGTCGGTCGGACCTCGCGCACTAATGACGTCTATTTTTGCAAGCGCGCGAGCTTGTCAAATCCGACAACCAACAACCAACCTTTACTTACGCTTCACGATTCACACGTCGCGACGACTACCATCAGCCATCAGCCATCACCTCCAAAACAAACAACACTCCCTTCATTACACAATTCATTAATCCATATCTAATGATCAAATTTCACCACCATATTTATCATTTTTTCCTCTTTCCCTTACCACTCAGACGCGTACATTGCTACCGTCATCTCTGATGTTATCAAATCGTAAAACAACGTTTATTTGTTTTGGCTTGAGTCAAAGCCTTTTCATATTTCACCGATACCCAACGATCCTTCATTAAAATCTACTTAAATTCAAAAACCTTTTTTTATTAAAAGATAAAGACTCTTTAAAGCTCCTTACCAATTTTATTTCATTCATATACAATTTCAATACAATTATGCACAAATTGCTTTTTTACACACACATATACACACACAAAAAGCAAATACTGGCACTGGAGCCACATTTTTTTCTCATATTCGTTTAAATTCTCTACCTGGCAATATAGTAATAACTAGCAAACGATATATTTCAAAAATAATTAATGATTATTCTCCAGTTTGTTCATTTTGAGTTCCATTGCTAATTTATAACCCAGTTCTGGACGCCTGTCTCGCCCTTCAACCATCGCTTTGACTTGATTCGAATTGATAATAACCCCGTTGTTCTTAATGACTGTATTTTTAGTCTTTTCTATCTCCAACAAATCAACCCCTCGGCTGCAATCGTCGAGAAGAATCGTTCTGTAACCAATTGCAAGTGCATCAACAGCCGTTGCACCTAAATTAAATCGACTTTATTAAAATAAAATTACCCCCAATCTCCCGCAAATTGCATAGATTTACCTACACATACGTCATATGCTAAACCACAAATGTATATATCCGTCGCATTTCGCATTCGCAACTGAGCGCAAAGAGTCGTATCTGTCATTTTCTTATTATCCCAAAATACCGAATAGGAATCGACGTCTGGATTGGTGCCTTTGTACACTTTTATCGAATTCTCAACAACCTAGGAAAAATACACACGTGTCTCAGCTTGTTAGTCGAAACCCGAAATTAGGTTTGTGAGCATCTCACGTTCAATTTTGTCTACCTTGAGGTCCTTGTGGAGTTCCGAGCCCCATGTGTCTTGGACGCAGTGACGGGGCCACAAGCGCTGCTTCATAGGAGGAGGCCCGGCAAAAATGACAGTATCGTAAGTTTGTGCATTTTCAGCTGTGACGGAACTTGATGGATGGATCTCCCTTTGACTAATATTATCGATAAATGATACGTGGTTACTAGGATGCCAGTCTAGAGAGTAGAATACTACATCGAATTGGACGGTGTCCAACAAATGATTGATAGGTTCTACTACTTCTAATCCATTTTGTTGTGCAGAACAATTACTTATGTTTAGTGTACCACTTATAAAGTCATTCTGAACGTCGACTATTAAGAAGGCTGAGATCGGCCGGACTATCTACAATACAGCTTGCAATGCACTTTCCCTATTAAACTCCTTACTTACGATTTTGATCCAATGGTTCCAACAAAAAACGAACTCTTCTCTATCAATGAATCCGTCATTGTTGCAATCAAATACGTTAAAGGTTTCTCGAAGCTTTTCTTCTTCTAAATTATAGATCTTCCCTTTATCATTCCGGAAAAGGGCACGAGTCAACAACCGAAACTCTTCCAAATCTAAATAGCCATCACTAAACGACAAACTTGAAAAGTCTCATCAAATCTCATCCTTCAGTTACCTGTTCTTATCAAATGCTGAGAAGCAGGCCTCCATGGTAGGTAAACTAACAAACAAAATCTACTAAATCGATCATTTTCAAAGTTTGTTGGTCCTTACTAAAGCGGGGGTGTTACAGACTGGCACCGGGTAGTGCGATAAAAACTACCTAATACAGTTTGTATGCACTTTTCAGCCATGAAAATACCTACATTAAAAGCACAATAGAGAACGCGGTATCACACACCTTTTAAATGATGATATATTTATCCCTGACAAAAAATATATCTATCAAAAGAAAATTATTTCGTTTGCTTTGTTAATTCGAACTAATAAAAGTAAAATCAAAGAGATGCTTTATATACACAGGTTTATTGATTCTCAAGCAAACCGCTTCAGATAGCAATTATTTTTTAAATTACATTTGCTTCCGGCGAAAGCTCAGTTACATTTTTATCATGTTCAAGGTTAGAAAATATTTACAAGGTATACCGTTCGGTCATTTTCATTTGATTTAATATTTAATTATAAAACGCACCGACAAATCTGACTGAACTAAAATTAATTAAACGTAATTCCCGAATCGGTTTAGTCGATTTTAATAATTAAAAGCCTTTTGAACTTTCCGACAAAATCGCTTCAACAACTTTATTTCAATCAAATACTAGATGCACCAACAACAATTAAATCTGATTAAAACACATGTTTTTTTTTTAAAACAAATTCGCGTTGATGTACGTTTTTTTAGCATGTAAAACAAAAATTTATTGTGGAAATTCATAAATGAAGTAAACACAACAGATAATTTATTAGAGTATTATTGTGATGGAATTTAATTATTTATTACCCTAACAGTGTTGCACTGTTGTACTCGGTACGTTGCTGAATTTACTGAAAACTATATTTTTCAGTTGGTGGCTTGATATAACAAAGAAGGAAAAAATATGAAAAATAAGTTTCGTGCATTGTTGTCGTTAGAAAAGCGCAGTTAAAGGCATTAAAATAGTCACAAAGTTGTCTTATGCGCAAAAAAAAAAAAAAATTACTAACCAGCTCTTAAAATAGAAACTCTTCAAACATATTCGGATTTATTTATTTTTGTACTGAAATAAGCTTCCTGAAATTTAGATAATTAGATTTTACAATGCACAAGTCGCGTGTTAATAGGCGGCTAGGCTATTTTTTTTTTGTCTTCTTTCTGTCCCAAATAACACTTTAGTATAACTAGAAAAAGACTTTCAAACCAACAAATATGTATCACAAATGAGTGTTATAGATTTTGACGTGTTGCTTTCCAAAGCTGATGAAGATTTTTCGACATATTTGCTGAAATGTAAACCTTGAACTCTGATAATAGTATAATTGGTTTTATTGGCTATTAAGTGTAAATTAATTAAGTGCTTCGCAAATCGATAGATACATACCCCACGCTGCAGCAAATAATGTTATCGACAGGAAACAAATTAAAATGTTTATCTAGTCGTGAGATTTATTTCTCGAAAGTTGAAACAATAAATCTGAAGTAGCATCATTCAGTATAAAGAAAAATCTTTTTGGCAAACGATACAATAAACATGAGTCTCCTGTAAATAATTTATCACTTCCATATTTTTCTGATGAGTGCGCGGTTTGTCCATCCAATATCTGGCGAGTACTGTTTAATAATAGAGGAGTCATTTCTCTTTGTACTCGTTTTCAGGTCGACAAATGAATATTTTATGCCCATTTTAATATTGAAAAGATACGTAAAATGCGCCAGATATTATAAAAAAATCTTTTTCAAAAATAGATAACAATTGGTGGAAACTTTAACAACGTATTGTATTCTTGTTGCAGTTTAAAATAGATCGATAATTTCAACTATTTTGATCGATAAAATCACGAGTGAACCTTTTAAACAAAACGCATATTATTGGAAAACTGAGAGTTATTCATCTTTAAACTACTTATTACTGCAATACCAGAATTGATTTTTTAAGCGGCTTTCGCTTTTCTCAGCTAAAAATAGTTAGCTGCTTTACTCTTTCCTCCGGAATGTCACTATTAATAAAAGTTGAAGTAATGCAGGCGGATATTAGCGACTCGTTAGGATTTGTAATAGAGATACCTCGTTCAAGTTTGTAGTTAACTATTGATTAAAAAAAGTAGTTGTAATTTCAAGTTCAATTTGCGATTTTAATGAGTAACTGACACAGTTGAGTTACGGATCACCCAAGTATGTATATTACTGTTCGATATTTCGAAAACAAAGTAGTTAGAATTCAATAAACGCAATTTGTTTCTGCTTCAAAGAGACCTTTCATCTGTGTACAAAGCGAGAATTTTACATTACGCAGTGACTTTTTTAATGGCAACATGTGTTTTTATTCAATTTTATCGAAGCAAATCAAATTTGTTGCCACCGAACTAGATGTAGGCTGTTTTTTGCAATGTAAAAAAATCAAACCGTGGCCAACAAATACCGGGTGGGGCATCCGTTACGCCCAAAAAGAAAATCCCCACTTCTAATTAAATAAAATTGTTGAATTTTTTCACACTTACCTGGGCATTAGTAAGGTACATTCTCTAATTTTTTGGTAATTTTTCATTCACAAAGCCAAAAAAAATAAAAAGTAATTTTCTCCCAAAAAAATTAATTCTAATTTTTATACTGACCTACGCAGATGCACTTCCTACAATTGTTTACAAAATCAGAAAAAAAATACCAATTAGATTTTGAATTAAACGCAACTTTCAAAATTATTTTTATTTATGATCTGCTACTTGTGCCATCGTAAATTTAGGTGACAATGGAGAACTGCAATTGGGGTAAGATTCCAAGGTTTACAACAAAAAGACCCTTTAAAGCGGTCGGCTACCAGTAAATGATTCTTTTGTTGGCAAATTATACCATTTTGTAAATCACGGGTCTGGTTTATATTTAAATAAAAAAAGCGATTATTTGGCTAACCAAGTTAAAATTTGACATTGTGATATCAAAGTTTGATGCGCTGACAGGTCCAAATTCATTTAGTGTAAAAAAAATTTAGGTAAATTAACAGAAAGTATTCATAAAACACATAAAACTGTTACGGACTCGTTTATTATCAAAAAAAATTAGAAAAATTCTCAAATTATACCCTATCAATACTTAGTTAGGTATATGAAATATCGCCAGTTTTAATTAATTTGAAGTCGCGATTTATCAAGTGCACGTAACCGATGCCCCACCCGGTATGTTATGGCGACTTCTCTGTTCAGGGATCACGTAAGCGTGTAATTGTTTTTGGAATTAGAGCCTGAAGTTTATTTTAGTCATATCAAAATTGATGTTTTTGTCCTTAGTATGGACAACTGTTGACTTGGATTTTTAATAAATCGATATTCTTGTATGTTTCAGTGAAGTCTAGATTTGTGTCATGGATGATCATTTGTTTGATATTTGGAAGGATATTGGAATAAGTTATGGATTGGCTTTAGAGAAACAAGCAGACTACTATGACTCTGTTCAGAACAAAATGATTTTTAGGTGTAAATCTATCGATTATACAATTATTAAAATTTTAAGAACTTTTTAAAGTATAAAAAAGGTACAATTTCAAAACACTTGAAAATAAGAACTTACGAAAAATGACGGATCTCAATTACAAAGTCTGGCAAGATCAGTACAGAGACCAAGTCGAAGATACTGGAGGAAGATATAAAAAATATATCAAATCATGAACAAATGAGAAATTTATGACCTAAAATTATGGTGTTGAAAGTAGTACATTTGTTAAAAGCGTCACGTTAAGATGGCAAGTGTTAACCAAAAGCAAGAACACGCTTTCAATAATAATTTTCAAATCATCGTTCACGTGTTCGACACAGACCGCAAAACAAACAGAAGATCTTAAAGAATTAGAAGTAGAGATCTAGTAAGTCCATCAAGACGAAGGCGAAGCAGCAGCTTGCTTGAAGTTAAGTCCTCCTGGGTAAATTACTGTTAGTGCTTTGTTTACTAATCCGTTTTCCGGCTGTTTCTTTCTTACACTGTTATTATTGCAGAGTTAAAATCTAGTCTAGTCTAAATCAGAGTCGAAAAAGAACTAAAAAGTGACCAACAAAACGTCTTGTACGTCTCGAAAGCGTGGTAAAAACTGAAATAAAACAACTGGGACATTATTGCTTCAACTAATTCAAAATGCAACACGAAATGTATTGTGAAAGGAAATCAACAATAACGTCTTCATTCTGACAGAATAAAAGTATAAAAGTATAAAATTATACAATTTCTTTCTTTTTACGATCAAAGTGACAGTTCCATACACTTAAACAGTGTAATTCGTCTAATTATGACTACTTTTATTAATTATAAAAACTTAAAATACATCCGGATTTTTTTTTAATAATTATAGCATCGATAGATTTTAGACGTAAAACTCGCTTTGTCCCAAACACATCCATATAGTAGTTAGAAGTCATAAATAAATTTTACATTTATTAAGCACTTTTCAACAAGCGTTTTACAGAATTGTATTAACCACATAGTATTATTGAGGGTTACCTTTGAACCAGATATTTAAACCTATAATTGCCTCCAATAGTGAAATTTGTTTATATATAAATATGAAAATTAATTACGAGTTATAAGAAAAAAATTACAGTTACAATTACTGTTCCAGTCAAACGGAAAATGTTTAATCTAATCTATACAAAACCTATTTAACATACTAACAGTTTAGGAGATAGGTAATGTAAATAGGTAGTATTTGAAAATATATTATTAAACACTAATAACGAAATAACCCTTTTCCATATTAACATTTTCACAAAAAACATGACTTTAATGTGATAATTTCAAATGCACTATTTTATAAACTGCTGATAAAACATTGCTGGACAAACATAAAAAGAAACCAACGGGTCCAACAAAGACAGATTATAAGAAATAACATTATACAACAATTCAATATACAATCAAGATGACTAGTAATGACTGAGTTTTAATAATATGGAAGATTGTGTAATCTCGACCAAAGTCAAATTAGTTAAAACGGAAACAATTTAACAAATACAAAGTTCAAAACGGAACCATTGAGTTAATACTGAAACATCACACAATGTAGAAATTGCTTTTGGTCGAGATTTGAAACATCCTCAGTCGAAAAAAATTGATAACATTATTTAAACAAATTATGAATAGAGTTGCCATACTTTCCATGCACCCAGAAGTAAATATATACACGTATTTAGCATAGACTTTACTTAAACACGCAAAAATATCAAAATAAATTACTTTAAAATTAGGATAAGGGCAATTCTATACATATAAATATGCAACTACAATTCGGATGTTCACATCAATGGATCTGAAAAATATGAATAATTTGCTTCTTTAACTATTACTATTTATTAGACAATTACCATACTGTTGCGTAGTTTGCCATGTATTATTTGAATTAATTGAATCAGTACTATTTATTGTATCTATCGACACAGTGTTTGCATTCTTGACCGTGTCATCGGGAATACTAAAACCTCAAATGTAATAAAACATCACAACTGCATCTTTTTATATACCTACATATTATCAACTATATCCACATCTTTCCCGTTTTTCGTTCCCGTCCCGTTCTCTTGTTCAACCGGCTGAGTACCGTTCATTTTATTTTCAGACTTATTCTCATTTTTATCTTCGGAATTCTAAAAAACACCGGTCATTTTGATCACCGCACTCGCCGCATAAAACACCTACCTGCTGCCCCGGCGAGTTTGCATTATTCACCCCTCTGGTTCTTCGCATAATCGCTTCGACCCTCTTCCTACGCGCTTCTCTCTCTTTTTCTTCATTTTTCAACCTCTCCTGCTGTTCGGCAAACTTCTTCTCGGCTTCCTCTCTCGCTTTCTTTTCTGCTTCTTCCTTCAATAATTTCGAACGCTGCTCTTCCTCTCGCCGCAACCTTTCTTCCTCCTCCCGCTTCTTTGTCTCTCTGATCGCCTGAAAAACTCGTGCACATTACTTCCACTTTAACATCATCAAAACCTACTTCCTCTAATCTTTCCTGTTCGGCTAACCGTTGCGCTTCTATTAGCCTCTGAATTTGTTCTTCTTCTCTTCTTTGTCGCTCGAGTTCGGCTTGCGCTTCCATCTCAATTCGTAGTCGTTCTTGTTCGGCTTGTCTTTCGGCTTCTTCTCGAGCAAGACGTCGACGTTCTGCTAAAGCTGCCTTTGCTTCTTCTTCGGTGTTTATACGAACTTTAGTTACCGACGTCGTCATTTCATTTTCTTTGTTTTCTAAGGCAGGGGCTTCGGATGGCTTCGTTTCGCTAACTACAGGGACAGGTTGGGACTCAGGTTGCGGGTGGTGACCCACCGACTCAGATTTTATTAATTCATTTGTTATTTGTTTTATCTGATCACTGTTGCTTACGTCCAAGGGTTTTTCAGTCGTCAAGGCGCTGTTTTCGACTCTGTATACCGAAACCGCATGTAGTGTTATCAAAACAAGCAATAGATTTTTACTCACTCTTTTACGTTTGGAGTGGCTGGTTTGCCATTTTCTACTGGAACTTTTTCGGCCGTTTCTTCTTGTTTCGTTTCTTGTATCTCGGTAGATTGCGTGGGTGGTTCTGGAGGTATTTTTAATACATCATTTGTTTTATTATCAGGAATATTACAATTAGGGGCGGCTACTGGTGATGCTAAACTCTTTGGTGTATCAACCGGCGATGATTTTCTTTTAGTTGGCTTATCTTTAGTATCTTTATTTATAGATTTCCTAGTTTTTGGTAATGGAGGTTTAGTATCCCCTTTTTTATTATCTGTATTTTTCATAACGTCATGAGTGATTCCTGTTATTGCAATGCTGGCCGGTCTTTGACGTCTTGGTGCCGTTGATGGACGATGTCTTACACTTACTGAACTAGTTACGCTGGTTGTGCTTTGTTGGCTTAATGAACTACTTGGTCTTGACGATGCTATTATATAAAAAAAATCTAAGTTAGTTTCCTTGTGTTAGTGTCATTGGAGGGTAAATATGGGGACCGTATGAGCCACCACCACCAGAATACAAAAATAATCTAAGCGTAAAATTATCCAAAACCCAGGGTTAATAAAAGAGTTGTGTGCTAGAAAGCCACCGTTTGTTAGATTTATCTGCCACCGACACTGTGTTGGGTTGATCCTGAAGACCAAAACAAGAAGGAAGATACGTAGAAGCCGTATTGGTGTGATAGAAGAAGAAACAACGTACCCTCGCTGCAATTAGAGGATGCAAGTAATTTCTGTTGTCTCAATTGTGTAGCGCGTGTTGTACGCGGTGCTATTGTGGGTCCATCGATTGACAACTGATGCATACTTCTGCTATCTGATTTGTTGAGTGGTTTCCTATTTTGTGCCGGACCTGTTTTACTTACTGCTAGGTGGCTCATGCTACGAGTTACTGAGGATTGTCTAGGAGAGGATAGAGGTCTAAAGGAGTATGTTGTTTCCACAACAGCTGGCAAATCTGGCCTCTTGCGTGGTTTCGCTAGTTGGTCTAAACGCGACATCGAATAAGCCCTACCTGGTGAGTGATTAAGTGATTTGCGTGATGCAGCAAAAGGTGAATCTCTAGAAGGAATCGTTGGCATTAAATCAGTGCGCCGACGACCAACGTATCCACTCGCACAACCAGCAGGTACCAATGGTGTACCTAATAACAAAATTGCATTTTTAAAAATAATTATATCTCTCTTTAAGCGAGAGAAAAGCATAGGAATTTTCAGATGGTAGAAACATCACCATTTTCTTTGAGTTTTTCCACTTATTTCCTCTTCAGGAACCCTAAAATCCAGATCACGACAAATTTCATTCTTTAATTAATACGAGAACTCTACAACAAGAATCTCAGTAATTCTCGTATTACATGTTTACTGACTTGAAAATCATCAAATTTAGATTAATCCCAGATAAGTCACAAATTAAATAAATTTTCAATTTAACCGTATTTCCGTTTATTGATAAATTTTCACAAGTAGTATGTCAACTCAATTAAAGCGCAAACTCGTAAAAAATTGACAATTACAAGAACTGCGACCATAATACAAAATAAAAACGATTGGATAAATTATTATTATTTAATCATCAACGACAGCGTTAACCGTACTACGTAACCAATGACCGTATTAAATGTTTTATTTGTAGAATCCTACACATTTTTTGCATCATATAAAATCTGATAACGAAGAATTTTCCTGTTTATTGTACTTTTACGTTAAATCTAATTAATTACTTCGGAATACGTTTTGTTTCCGTTTTACCACAAATGTTTATTATCAGTTATTCTATTGATAAATTACTTGAACATATTTTATCACAAAACAATAATATTAGTAAAAATAACTATTGTTCACAATTTAAAAATACGTTTCTGACAATTATTATCATTATGATTATGATTTGCGGTAAACAGTGACCAGTTCGATTGTCACTGTCGATAGTATATATTTTATTAAAAACCGGTTTTTACAACAAATTAATAATTTCGACATCTTCATTGCGTGAAAAACGTCACTAAAATAAATGTTAACCTTTCGTTGTAATTCGTCTTTGTTGACGTCGTACAGGGAAAACACTCAGGATTTTCCTTTTATGTACTTTATATTTTACAGTTAATACAAAGACGTTAAGTCTCTTAAAAATGTAAAATCCGCATAAAACAAGAGTTATTATCTCCTAGTCAATATCGAATGGAATTTTCCCACCACTATAAACTAGTGTTCTAGAACACTGATTATCGATCCATTTACTCAAATTATTTTAATATCTAATTGAAAAATAATTATTTTGTCTATTCCATTTGCAAAAGAATGATTCGAAGAAGACCCCATCTTCGGTTTCTTTGAGTGACTAGAGCATCTTGATAAAAATCCAAGTCCATTTCCTATTCATACTCGTTAAGTTGGACAATCGAATTACCATAATAATAAATCCTCAGTGTATATATTCTTCGACTTGTGAATATTACATAAAACATTTTCTTATCTGCATTTTGCCCGAGTCTGAAATGACTGGCGAATTAATATTCGTTAGTAAATGACCAACTTCAATGTTGTGTTGTGCATTCTTCACTTCTTCCCGAATTACGTAAGTGTAACTTAATTTTTAATTGTAACCATAGTGACGAAAAACTCAAAAAAAAAAAAAATAAACAGAAAAAAGAAAGCGTGTATGTTAAACATAGAGTAAGAAAAGAAAAAAAAATCGTTTCTGAACCATCACAACCACAAAACACATATTTAATTTTTCCATAACCAGTTGAAAAACCCCTTATACTAACTTTCACCCGATCTCTCTAGTCCACTCGCTGATGTTGCCCTTTTTTTGCTGCCACTATCGAGATCCCTTTCTGACTGCCGCCTCGTTAACTGCGTCGATGTCGCACATGTGATATTTTGTATCGAAGTTGCCCTTCTTGGACCCCAAAAAGCCGTAAGGTCTGTCGGATCGAGCATCCGTGGCGTCGACGATCCAAACGCAAAAACAATATTACTTCTTTCATTTCGTTTTTTCGCTTCGATCCTTGCTTCCCTTTCTTGATTCCTTTTTAGTATTGATTCTAAACGATCCTGATCGGCCTGTGCGATCGCCCTTTTTCTTTCTTCAACCTGTTGTCTTCTTACATCTTCTTTACATCTCAATTCTTCCAACCTTTTCCTTCTTTCTAATTCTTTCTGTTCTTTAAATCGTTGTGCTGCAAACGCTTGTGCTTTCATCTCTTCCAGTCTCTTTTGTCTTTCCTCATTTTGTTTTTCTTTCAAGTTCTTTATCCGCACTTCCTTGTCAACTGGAACAAAATTTCGGACGCGTCATTGACCTTCAATCTTAACTAAATTAGAACGAAGCTTGACGGATTGCCAAATTATGTCATTCAGGGCAACGACGATAACGACTCAACTTAACTCAAATTTTTATCTCGCGCAAACAAAACATTGTATGAAAGTTTAGTTCAGTTTACTAACGCAAACACCTTCGAAATTCTAAACTTATACTAATTTTAGTTTGTTAGTTATGTTACAGGAATAGATCGGGGTGAAAATTCACCGCGTTTGTTTGCTTACCTTCTCGTTAAAGTCGCGAAAGAAATATAGTTTAAGTGTAATATTTTATTAATGAAAAATCAATTGCATAATTTGCGTTAACAAAGTCAACTCTTGATCTAATCTACTATTATGACAACAGGTGTTAAAATAAATCTATATCTATTTTTGTTGATTTAATTACATATGCGTTTGTGCATTCTTTCAAATTAAAATTCTAGATTTCGGCACTTTTTACTTGAAAAGTGGGACTGAATTGTGTAAGCGAGTTTTACTTTTGGAGTGAATTTTGTTTATTTTCCAATTATTTTTGATTACAAAATCAATGAAAAACCATATGGTATTGAGTTGTAGTAAAATAAGTAACTACTTGTTACTAATATATTACAATTTTTTTGTCTTCTAGGACAAGAACAAAATTCGTCATCGCACGTAATGTATGTACTATAATCCGCCTACAGTAAACTATGCAAAATGATGCCACCTTTGACTGTTAGTCATAAAAGGAAACCATTAACAATACTGCAGTAGGTGTAGGTTATCGAGTTCAATGTTGCACTTTATGAATAATTAAACAAACCACCATTATAATGTGGAGAGAATGTACACCCGTTCACAGAAAAAAAATAACGATTGTAAATTACACTGTCTGCAAAAATTTTAAGTCGAGTGGGTTTTCGATTCGTTATTTTCGCTTGGTTTCTTCATAATGACTGAGTTTTTAATCGAAAAACCGTACTTGTAATTTCATAGTTGCGAACAATTTAAAAATGAGTACTATTTTTCTTGATGAAATTAATTGTGGTTGCGTACCGTTAAGGCCGCTCCCATAATGTATCAACTGTGCTATTTCATTCAAATAAATTCAAGGAAAACTGATCGATATTGCTACAATGGGAAATTTTATGAGTCAAATTGGAGATTTTGTTTCAAAAAATGATTTTACAAACGTAGGTTTTTCAAGACAAGATCAATTACCTCATTTCCTGTCAAGACTTCCGTCAAGAATTCTAATTTTAGATGACCAAAAAATAGTTTAATTTTTTTGTTGAAATTAAAATGATGAAGTAAATTTCCACGAATTGTTAAATTTATCGATGACTTAATGAAGAGATAATAAAAATTCCTCGCATAAATTACTCGCTTATTTGAATATTTACACAGAAGTGGGACAAAAACGCGAATAAGAATTGCAGGTTATAAACAAACTAATTGCTTTAAGGTCATTTGGAGGCTATCTCTAGGAAAACCTGACTTGTTTTTTTTTTTCTATTCCAGAACCTTTAACTTGATCTTACCTACATTCTTGGCATTGAAGTGTACTTTCTTGTTATTTTTGTATTGTTTCACTTTCAATACATCACTTTTACTAACATTTTCAGACGATAAGGACTTCACTAGAATACTCCTTAAGTAGTCGAGAGAGTCACTATTGATACCTTCCGGAACCATTTTTCAACTAACACACTCTCCTCCATGCACTAATAATCCAAACTCCATTCGCATAAACATTATCAATTTGATAAAACAAAAATATGAATAATCTTTTCGGTGAGCTAGAGAAAATACAAACCTGCGCACATGAATAAACTGTATATAACCTTGGCCATTTAAGTATTTGTGTTATAACAATTATGTGCATATTAATGGTAAATAATGAATACTCGAGCTTAAGGTGACGCGCTTCAAGCTCCAGCTTCCCACATTTAACACCGAAAATAATAATAATAATATTAATAATAATAATAATAATAATAATAAACCACACAGTATCGACTCACTTTGTTTGCAACAAGCAAATACATTGTGTGTTTCGCGCTTGAAATGCACGAATTTGTAATCTTTTAACACTTTATGGAAGAAAAACGAATTTGTTACACTTAAGGAACAGCTCAATTAGTTGTAAATTTATTGTTAACTACCGTACAAACAATTTTAACGTTTTTACAACTAGAAATCAACGGAAATGCATACATATTGGGGAAATTACCGTTCCAATTATTAGCCGGTGAAATACAAAATTGCGAAAAAGTGGCTACATGTGACCAATTATCGAAAAATTCGGATTTTTATCAAATTGCCTGTGTATGGAGGTAGGATGGTTTTTACTGAAAAACATTCATAAAAATTTAGCCGCGCCGTTGACTTTGATAAATATAGTTAAGTCACATTTAAAAAAAGTTGTATATACGCTGCAAGGGATCCCGTAGAATTTAAATATAGCATCCACCACATATAGAATAAAATGTAAACAACAAAAGTGAAGCATTTAGAATATTTGAAAAAGGTTAATTCGGCGACATCTATTCGAAATAACTGCACGTAAATTGAATCGATAAGAGCAGCCTAGAAAAGCTCTCATAATTAGGTGTGTTGATTACTGTAGAACAGCCAAATAAATTAGCACCTCACCCACCCATCTAACAAATTAAAAAAATACATGTTGTCCACCAACATAACGGGTTCTTTATGAACAATTCGCAAATCGAATTCAACCAGATTTAGCGAATTGATTGACATGTCAATAGAATTTTGTAACGACATTAAATGAGTTAAACCAAAGGGTTTAGGGCCCACGTGGCATAAGTTTAATTTTGCACCTGATCAGTCCCGGTTTATCGTCGACTAATATTTCGCTTATTAGATCTGATAACATCGAGATTATTTTGAGGAAATATGATTTTAATGAATATAAATAACCGGTGACTTTGATGAGGAAATTTATTTGCGTCGCAGACAGCCCTAAAGTTGCCTTGACAAAAACTAACCTATAATTACAAATCGGTTTGTTTGAAGCAAATTTCAGATGGAGTTTAAGTACAGCTTGTTAATCGGGTTAAATTATGGGATTCTTGAAGGGTCTATTGTCGAATTTGTGGCAAAAATTATGAATTGGAGTTTGACAGTTGAATTAACGAAACACCGGAGGTCTTAAAAATATCTGTCATTCACTTCAATTCAATATTCCTATAATAAGTATGAGCGCATGTAAGCAAGGTCTAATCCTCCGATTGCCAAATAAATTGATAAAATTCGGTCAGTTTCTGAGTGATTACAATTAAATTTATCATTTAATTATGTAGTACATGAAACCCACAGATGGTGGACTTTTTTCACTTATATAACTTTGCTTTCAAAGACACCGAATTCTAGCAATAATCGAAGGCCAGTCCATTCAAAACAGACTTATATAACTAGAGAACAACACCAGAAACAATTCTAACCTGTAGCTTTAGCTTGTTCGGAAATATCCCGTGCGTTTTCTGCCATTTTGGCTCACACCACTAACCACTTACATCAACGACATAACGTGAACCAGTGACGTTTGGTTTCAATAAACCACCACCAGGGGGATTCCACAAACCGCCCCCATAATCACTAGAAAAAATCCCACCACAGACAAACCACCCTCGCATACACGAAACCAACAATTTTTCAAAAAAACCCCTCAAATAAAAGCGCAAAAATACAAACTTTTGAATTTCTAGGTTACACAACTGTCAACGTGACATTCCAGAGGGCGGTGCTATGCGCGAAATTCAAAATTTCTTGCAATTTTACATGAAAACAATTAATCGATTGCTTTGTGATTTCAATTTGTATTTTTAATTGATTTTTATAATTTTTCTCCTGAATGATTTAAAAATTTGTATGTAATATTATGGGCACTAAAAAGAAAAGCATACCAGTTTCATGGTACAAAACAAACAAATAGTCTAAAAATGCCTCATCGTGTTTAAAATAAGTTTAAATTTTGAAAGTGTGTTACACCCTAACCTAACTTTTTGTTCCGGTTACTAGTGGAAAATGTTCAGTTGAAAATTCGGCCACACATTTAGTAGAACAGCTTTCTCTCCCATCACTCATCAACGATAGTATTAATTTTCATTTACAGCAGTATTCAACAATGTCGAATCACGTATTTATTTTATCCGGCTGCAGGACAGCAATAGGTAAAATAATTATTTTTTCTATAAAAAATTCATCGAAATTTTTAGGCAGTTTCCAGGGACAATTTGATAAAATTCCCGCAAGCGAATTAGGTTCCGTCGTAATAACAGAAGCTTTAAAACGAGCGACAATAAGCCCCCAAGATGTTGACCAAGTCATAATGGGCCAAGTAATTCAATTTTGTATTTTTTTGGTTTCCATTCATAGTTTTCTTTAGGTTCTAACCGCAGGTCAAGGTCAGAATCCAGCACGACAAGCATCAGTGGGGGCCCAAATACCTTACACTGTTCCTGCATACACTATTAATATGTTATGTGGCTCAGGCTTGAAGTAAGTCATTTATTGAATCATTTATGAAACTCAGAAAATTACTGCAGGTCTGTGTGCCTTGCTTATCAAGCAATTTGTAACCAAGACAATGAAGTTGTTGTGGCTGGGGGACAAGAAAGCATGTCTAGGGCCCACCATTCGGCTTATATCCGCGGAAATAAATTGGGAGCTGTCCAAATGAATGACACCTTACTGTGTGATGGTCTCACAGACGCGTTTAACAGTATTCATATGGGAAAAACTGGTAGGAACCGCGTTTATAGTGACTAGATTTTGGAAGTATTAATTATGTTGTAGCGGAGCATTTAGCGAAAGAGTATAAGATTACACGGGACGCGCAAGATAAGTACGCTTTGGCGTCACAAACAAAGACGCAGGAGGCAATCCAAGAGGGGCATTTCAAAAAAGAAATTATTGGAGTTGTGGAAAAGAAAACCGGGAAAGTTTTGGATAAAGACGAATTCCCGAAAGCTGGGACAACTCTAGACGGTTTGGCGAAACTAAGACCGGCTTTTGACCCTGTAATACCACTTTTTTTCTGAATTAATTTGAAATTTTCAATTGTAGAACGGCAGCGTAACTGCTGGGAACGCGTCCGGAATCAACGACGGCGCAGCTGCTCTTGTTTTATGTAGCGAAAATCAGGTGAAATTGAAGGGCTTGAAGCCTGTGGCCAGGATTGTCGCTTGTGCGGAAGTCGGAATTGACCCATTGTGCATGGGATTGGGACCTATCGGGGCTGTGAACAAAGTTGTGAGTGTCTATCTAATATCTGAAGACATTTTTTTTATTTCAAACGTTTGATTTAGTTGGCCAAAACGGGTTGGTCAAGACACGACGTCGATTTATACGAATTGAATGAAGCTTTTGCCGTTCAGAGCCTCATTGTGGTTGATACACTCCAAGTCGATGCGAAAAAAGTCAATATTACGGGTGGTGCTATCGCTCTGGGGCACCCAATTGGGGCTTCTGGCGCCCGCATTCTTGTCACGCTGATCCACAATTTGGAACGTTTGAATAAGAAGAAAGGAGTTGCAGCTTTGTGTATTGGGGGAGGGATGGGGATAGCCATCGCGATTGAAATGTGTTAAGTTTGTATTTGATTGTGTATTTTTTTATTGGATTTGAATTAAAGTATTGGTGAAGTTAACTCGAATCATGTTTTGTATCGCCCCCGAGTAGTACAAATAAAAAGGCCAAATTTGCAAAATTAATTTATTTTTCGCTACTAACAACAAATACAAGGGAACAACAAATTGCTTTAAAATTTTCAAACATTGGCTTGATATTCATGTTCAATGGGTAAGGAAGCGACATATTCAAGACTTGGGACACACAACTTTGAATGTTTCTTCATAAGATAAGACCAGTTCGTATCAACTTTATTGCAAGTAAAATACGACCCCCAAAACGTGGAGACTAAGTAATGTTGGTCTGGGTGCTGTTCATGGTATCCTTGCACCCCTTCGGCCTCTAACTCCTCACAAACCGTCACAGTATCACAATGGGAATGAATATGAGGAGTATAAATATCCTGAACCAAATTGTCTCCAATGTAGAGGAATTTCGGACCCTCCTTGTGTAAGTGTTTTGTTAGAAATTTGTGGAGGTCGGTCCAGTTTCCATGCGTGTACATACCGCCTATTTGTAATTGGTCTAGCTTAACAACGGGCCCTTCGTGGACCCCATCCAACTTCAAAAAATCGCGTCTCATGGTAAAAAACCCAGGTTTTTTCGCAAAACACACGACAATATCAAAGTAATCGCGCCAGTTTGGACCCACAGTGTTCGTCGCCGTGTGTGACGCAAAGTCCACATGAGATCCAGTCAGAAGAAACAGCGATTTTTTTTGTTTTTTCAAGAGTTTTAACCAATCGAGTAACTCGTTGCTACACTTGTGGTAGTACTTTTCCGGGTGTGCTTTCATTTCTTCAAAATAAAAGCCGGTCCCTGTTTGGAAGTTATCACGGTTGAACATATCTTGTAAGGCTGCTTGAATGTCCAACCACACTTCGTATTTGCCGGTTTTTTGGCCTTTTTGTTCGTCTACGTCGTCGATAGCCCTGGCGAAAATAAGACTTGACGCGATGTCAAAATAGTCAAGTAATGTGCGCATTTTTTCGGAATAAGGACCGTTCCAGGTTGTTAAAGGATCTTGGACAAAGAGATCGGAGATTTCCCAGTGACGTTTGGGGTAGTATTTTTCGATTTCGTCATCTTGGAGCATTTTTGTACCATGTGCGGCTTGTAGAATGTAACCATCGGCTGCTATACGTAAGATGTTGCCATTTTCGTCATCCACGATTAAGCCTCTGAGGATAAAATTGTGGTCAAAGGGCTTCAATAGGTGTTTTTTTGAGTAGCCTTTTTTCTCTACCAAGAATTTTGCCATGATATTGTATTCCATTTCAATCATTGCTCCGACTTTGTACCGGGATAGAGTGTTGTCTAAATCAAAGCCAATGCAGTCATAGTCGGTGAATTTAAATCCATTCAAAGATTTCGATTTTTCACTGAACATGGTTGAAATATAGCGCTCACTTTTACGTAAGTAAATGAAGGATTTTTTATTAGTATAAGGTAAGCCTAGAATATTGTGATTGTGAGATAATTTCCTATTACCACTACTCCAAATTCTAAAAATAGTATTGACAATATGTGATCGGCCTCCCAAAATTGTCATTACTCTTGTTTTCCGGAACGAAGGCTTTGTTCAAATGCTCAACTTTCTGTTTTCGTTTCTTCCAACAAATCGCAATTACATCGTAACAACAGCCGTCCTAAACAATGAAATTGGAACACTTGAAAACAGCTGATTTTTATGTTGTTGACACTTGTGTATTTAAATTTTAGGGGAATTCCCGCCAAAAGTTTTTCTAAAACAAAAATAATTAAACTATTTACAACATTAATATACGATATATTACGAACTAAATCGCCTAATTATTGGGCTTCTTAAATGTCATAAAATAAGTAAAATGCTAACGGTTTGATCTTGATAATTGAGGTTGGTACTGCGCATGGATTTGAAAGATGGCGGGAATGATACTTCTCGTTACTTGGAATTAAAAAACTTGTAGAGTTTAAAACTTTTTATTAACGATTTGTTTATAAAATTGAGAAAACATGGTTCGGGTAACACGTTTGCAGCATTCGAGTTAATTTGAGCTTAAGGCGCTAACGTGTTATAAAATTAAAACTATTTTCTTATTAAAGAGTAGGTTTTTGTTAGTGTTTACAGTACAAGTCTTATTGTCTTGTAAATAATATTTCAAAATCAGGTTAGGTTGTGTCAGGTGTACTGATTTAATTTATTACAGAAATAAAACAAAAAATAATCGTATAAATACTGTTTTCATATATTTATTTTAATTTTTCGGAAACTAAAAGTTGATGTTTAGGGCAATTTGACAACTCAGCTAAAATCTTGCACTTTCATCAACAGAGCAAATACAAAAACTTAAAAAATGCCACCTTACATACTCTATATTTATAAATGCAAAATGATATGTATCAAAGATTACTAATTCCACAAAAAATAACAAAAATAATTTAAATGATATAATACAAGTATTTTCATTTTATAAAAAATTGCCTATATTCTCATACACGAATTGTTTTATGCAATTTTCGGTAATATGTTGTGCTGGTGCTAATTTAAAGCTTTTTTAATGAACAAAAAACGATTGTTTCGCATTTTGTTTCAGCGAATGGATTGTTGCATAAAACAATTCAAATATGGTACTTAGAAAATTATTTACCATAGTTAATAAAAATGTATTAAAAAGTATTTTTAGTTTTATGTTACAATAAAATAATTAGGACAAAAGCGAACTAGTAGAGTACCCCACATAACAACTAGTCCACCTGTCTTAAATATATTTTGAATCACCTATTATTTTATTGAACACAACAAATAAGGGCAATAAATAAAGTAGTATAAGGGCCCCTATGCACACTGCCCACTTCTAAGGAAAACAGCCCGATTTTCAAGGGTAAAAGAAAAGCAGAAAAAATCGTGAAAACACCTCCGGTTTTCAAAGCCCTGTATTAGTCTGGAAAATCTATCTTTTTAAGAAAAACAACCTGATTTTCAAGGTAACTCAAAAAGTGCGAAATTTAGAAGGCCCCCCTCAGAACACTTTGTTTTTTTGCTGATTTTACCGTTTTTAATTTTGAACATTTATGCCTCAACCACAGACAATAGAATATACAGTTAGACAACTGATTTTACTTAATGTTTTTATTCATACAAAAAAGTTTTTAATTTAATTTTTAATTTCCTAATGTTGATGTTCTGGAATCAGACGAGTTTCCCCTCCTATAAAATGAATAAAACATAATGAATAAACCTATTATCCGTTATAAACAATGTCAGTGTCAAAATCGGGTATAAAAGTAGCTCATATCGCCTTAAAAGGGAAAATTGAGACATTATTTTGACACTTACATTGTTTATTAAAAAAAAAGGATAATATATTATGTATGAATAGTTGCATACGTTGCATGCAGAAAATCAAATCGAGCAACTTTTATGTTGATAAATAACATTCCAAAGAGATAGTTGTTAACAAAAGATGAAAAAACTATTACAAAATTTATTCCTTTATCTAAAATTTTCCGATTTGTACGAGACTGTAACAAAGTTTTGAATGGAAAAATTCGCATTGAATTACGTAAAAATAGGGTGAAAAATATATTACACGCTAAAGTTGATGGAAATCATGATTATGAAATATCTGATATTAGTTTGTGGATCCCAATAGTAAAACCCTCATTAGAAACTGAAAAAATATTATCTTCATTATTAGTGAGCAAATCTAACTTTCTTTGTGGATGGAATGCGCTTAACTGTTACCGAAGTAATTTGTGGTCTTCTGGAAGTGGAAACTGGCGCGTTGGAAATAATCAAAATAAAATATCTACAGTTTTTATAGTTTTTTCTAGAGCTGAACGAAACAATAATTTTACCAAGACAATGATGATTTTTGATAATATGAATGTAGAAAGAATAATAGTATATCATACAACGAACGTATAATGATGGGTATTATTCACTCGGTGATTTACGCCACTCGCCTGCGGCTCGTGGGCGTAAACTTCACCTCGTGAATAATAACCATTACACGCGAGTAGTATACTATACTTTATCCACGACTACTAAATATTTTTGTTGAAGCTTTTGTGTTGGAAAATTTTCTTACATTAAGTAACCTCTATTTAGTTGTTGCTTTTGATGTAACAATAGAAAACGATGAAAATTTATTTAGTAAAACAAAATCACCTGAACTAGAAGTTCATTAAAAGATTATCAAAATGTTAATTACTATATATATGCCGTAGTTGAATCTCAAAGAATTGCAAATATGAATATTATAGATGAAAAGATTTATTTGGAAATGAAGTAGACGAGGTTTTGCCGAGTTTTTAATTAAATAAATAACTGAGTCAATGAATGATTATAGAGTATATTTATCACCCAATCAAAAAAAGAAACTCCAAAGTTGTAAAGAAAAAAGAATAGATTGTAATATAAGATTCAATATAACGGAAAGACCTAATAATACTATTAAATTAAGAGAAAAACAAGTTGATAAAATTAAAAAGTGTAAAAAGGAGAAGCAAAAATATTGTGATATTAAATTTTCTCCAACACAGGTAAGCGGATTTTTACCTGCTTTAATTCCTACGGCATTAGCTGTAGCCAAAGCATTGGGATTAGGCGCAGCTGGTTATGCTGGTACTAAATTAGCACAAAAAGCCTTTGGAGATGGTATAAAAAAGAATAAAAAAAAACACAAAAACCCGAAGACAGGCAAGGCCTGCCCAGAGTCGAAGACGAAGACAAATGCACAAGGAATAAAATTGATAGGAAAAAGAGGTTAAGTAATATAGAAATATCTGATATTATGAAAAATGAGAAAAATTCGGGTTTGCCACAGGAAGCTACGCGAAATTTTCGAGGTGTTTTTGCAATTGACATGTTACCAAAAAAATTAGAAAAGATGAATCAGGTATAATTAATTTTCAACCCTCTAATTGTTATGGCTCACACTGGGTATGTTACATAAACAAACCACATTTAAGAAATATTTTATATTTTGACAGTTTTGGAATATCTCCACCAGAAAAAATTAAAAAATATTTATTAAGTAGCGGAAAAAATATTGCGTGGAATAGCACGCAGTTACAAATGAATTCTTCTGTTTTATGTGGTCATTACTGTATATATGTGATAATTAATGTCAACAGAGGCAAAGATTTTTATGATATATTATATTCTTTTAAACAGATACCGTGTCGTTTAAATGAGAAAAGATTCGCCTTTGCTCACTCGTGATAATATCTACTATTTCAATATTTGAACTTAATTAAAAAATTATATATTATCTATATGTTATAAATGGAAAAATATCTACAAAAACGCTTGTATGTATACAAAAAAAGTTACATATATTTTTATAAAATTGGAATCGGATTATCTATTAGTAAATTATTATTTACTGCATCGGGATTATCTTCGTTAGCCCTACCTCCACTAGTTTGTTATCTCTTGGTACGGGGCTAATAGAAATCTTAGATAAGAGGTTAAAAATATCAGAAAGAATTGAAGAATATAAGTTAATTTATAAATTTTATAGACAGTTATTGCATTTATATCAGGCTGATAAAATAAATGAAAAAGAAATAAATTTACGTGAAGAGGAATTTGTCAGTAATTTTAATTATTTTCCCAGAGAGAAATACCTAGAAAAAGTCCACTTAAACGGAAATTAAATTATTTGATTTAAAGGTTGATAAGTGCTATGAAATTACTGCTATAAGTAAATCAGATAATGGATTATTCTTTATTTTAGAAGGAAGGTTGAAGTTATATTTATCCGATGTTATTTATTTTCAGATCCATCAAAAATTAATAAGTTATATGACGCTGTTTCATATTTTCTTGATAAAAAATAAAGAGTGTTTCTACAAAGAGATAATATGATCTTCAAGTCTACAGATTATGCGAAGATTGTTTTTGTAATATAATTATTTTTGAAGATATTCCAATTGTTTAATTTGATATTTACTCTGATAAATGAAATATATTATTCTTTTCTTATTTCTCACTACTGTAAAAAGTTCAGATGATATTAATATTACAAGTTATTTAGAACAATTTGGGTATTTAGAGAATACTGGATCATTATTGACAGAAACGTCTTTGACTAGTGCTTCGCATAGCAATGAAGCATTAATAAGGTTTCAAGAATTCTATAATTTACCAACTGATGGAACATTAAATCAAGAAACACTTGCATTTATCAGTAAACCTAGATGTGGCGTTAAAGATAATCCAYCAGCTTATAGAGTTCATTATCAAAAATGGAATAAAACAAATCTTAAATGGTATTTTTCGRTAGRTACAAACGAGATGAYAGAATTAGCACAAAAAGCCTTTGATCAATGGGAATCTGTTTCAAATTTAAAGTTTAATTACAATAGTGTTAAACCGGACATACTTATTTCATTTTCTAATACGCTGTTTCAACATAATCATAATTCACGGTGTCAAAAAGGAATATGTTCTAGCAGTTTTGACGGAAAAGGTAATGTCTTAGCACATGGCTTCTTTCCAAATAATAATGAATGTTTAGGAATTCATTTTGATAAATCAGAAAATTGGTATTTTGGTGAATCAAGCAATACACCTGATGATCAAATTAATTTTTATACTGTTTTATTACACGAAATCGGACACACGTTAGGTATTGAACATTCTGCAAATAATAATTCAATTATGTACGCCTATTATAAAGGTGAAATTGATAAATTAACTCAAGACGATATCTGCACAACTCAATATTTATATGGACGACCTGAACGATTAAAATATGAATTAATACCAACAACAACAACAACAACAACAGTTAAGCCTACTGTAAGCAAAGTCTGGCAAAGCGTCCCTGAAGTCGGAGTAAAAGATACTGTTGGTAATTCGTCTTCGACTCATGAGCCTATGGTGAATTTATGTAATTTTAATAAAGAAATTGACACATTTTTAATTGCAAATCATCATATGTATATTTTTTTTATAAGAAATATGTTTAGTTAGTCAATTTAAAAGACATGACTTATGATAAAGAACCGAAATTAATTAAAGATTATTTATATTTTTTACCAGATGATTTTAAAGAAATTTCGCATATTTATCAAAGACCTTCAGGTGATGTTTTAATAGTTGTTAAAAATTTATATTATTTAATTGATTTTTCCAAGTTTTAATGTTAAAAGTGGATATAATAGTCAATTGAAAATTTGGGAATACCAAAAGGAAAAAGAATTGATGCAATATTTAGAACTTATTCTGGAAAAACATATATATTTTATGATAAAGTTTTGTATATTGAGTTTGATGAGTGTTTGTTTAGATCAAAGAAATTATTTCAGAATTATTTGCTGGAATACCTCCAAATATAAGCAGAGCATTCAGATATAGAAATTTATATTTCTTTAAAGATAAAATGTTTTATGAATTTGATGATATTTCGAATACATTAGTTAAATCTGATAAATTTGACTTGACAGTTTTCGGTTTTAAATGTGGTCTTCTCGATCAAATAATAAAACTAATTAATCGTTTGTGATTCTTAGAATAGCGTTTTTTATCCTTCAAGAAGGAGTTGGAAACTTTCTCAGCCGTCAGATCATCAATAAATCCCATAAATTCGAGCAAATGATTTGTAGAATTTTTAAAACTTTAAAACACCGAATTTTCAAACTCATATGATTCTTTTAAATAAATTTTATCTATTTTTGACATAAGTAGTTCTATAATTATCCTAATCCTCTATTATTACTATAACAGAGTAAAATCTTTGAAAAAATGTTAATTTATTTTAATATACCTTTAAAACGGGGGTGTTTTCACAATTTTTTCTGCTTTTCAGTTTACCCTTGAAAATCGGGGTGTTTTTCCATAAAAAGTGGCAGTGTACTGAAGGGGCCTTCTTACTACTAAATAATAATAATAATATACAGCATGCCCACAAAACAATTAAACAACTTTAATAAACAAAACAGCAGCGATATGAAACTTGAATTTCATTGATTTAACGATTTAACAACCATACAATTGGGTTTGCATTATTACAAATGTGAATTTTGTACAGTAAAATTTGATGTTTGGTGGACATTTGTATGTTATTGAAAATGTAAAATCGAGCATTCAGTTATATAAAAAAACAACAGTAATGAAAGGAATATAAACATTATAAATATAAACATTATAAACATTAGCCCGATGCACCAAATAAAACACTTTCTTTTCAATAAATTTATATCATCATAGAAAGAGTCCACACTGTATAGTTACACTGAGAGTTACGTTGATGGGTACTACATTTAATATTGCATCACTTGAAAGATTGTCCGATCATTTAATTAAAAGTCCACATCGTATATACACTAATGCTAGCAAGTAGTTTCGAGAACCATACAGTGGCATGCAGTAAGGCATACTGGTGGCACACTGTTGCAAGCTGGCAGAGAATGCGCTTTGGATGGTGGCGCCGCTGCCACTTGGCGGGAATGTGGCGAACTGCGAGCGCTGTTGCATTGACGTTCGGCACGAGCCAGAATGCCGGAAAGCGCGCGCAGGGCGAGGTGTGGTGAAGGGCAGTACAGAGGCGTTGCGGACTGGCGGCTGACCAAGTCCGCTGCCCCGGGCTAGAGTAATTTCTCCTCCACCGAACTTGAGGTTCCTGAACTAAACGTGCAGTCATCCGCGCCCAGCAGCTGTCAGTTGATTAACTCCACATTTACGAATTGTTTTAGTCTTTCCAGGTACACGTTATATAACTCCACGTCATTGTGGCCTGCGCCCTGCAACACAACCAGAAACAAACATTCACACTGACACCATTCGGGGACCACCTGTATACATACGCGAGTCAGTTCCCAGACACACTACTATACAGGGTGTGTCAGAAGAAAAGAAATTTTGCAAGTGAAATAAGATACCAGAAACATGGAAAAAATGTTAAAAAAAATTCTCAGTCAAAAACTGTTGAAATTTATTTTTTGACATTTGACGTATTCTTATGTCTATTTAATGATACTGATGATCTTGTATATGTTTATTTTATAATTATTTAGAAAAAGAACAAAAATTTTGTCAACAAAAGCCACAAATAACATTGGACAGAGTTACAATTTAGGATGCAGCGTCCTTGTTCGAAATTTTTATAGATAGAATTTTTTTAACATTTTTGTCATGTTCCTGGTATGTGATTTTACTCTGAGGTACGAGTTCTAGCGCACCTGTATACACCCTTTCTGAATAAGTAAATAAAGAAATACACAAAACATCAGCATATGCTAAACTTCAAATAAACTCATTTTAACATACTGAACAATTATTGCTTTTTAGCAGCCCTGAGATAATAAAAAATAACGGACAAACATGTTTTATAACTTGCCTATAGGTATACATGTTTACTTGCAACAACACATTTTTGTTCATTTGGCAATTATCTCTTAATAAAAACATTACTTAACATACATATGTAATACCATTCAATAGTTGTAAACACATAAATATTAATAAAGCAAAAATAAACTTGTCGAAGTGATAACAGTTTAATTTTTGACACATTTTAATTCAAATTTAATTGAATTTTCTTGAAAACAACAAAAAGTGTCAAGAAGAAGTTGTAGAACATTTTTTGTTTTTAAATTAAGATTTGTCTGGTTTTTGTTTTTTGTTTGGTGTGTAGGTTGATTATTACTCACCTCCACCCATAAAGGTTCGACAGCTCTTGGGCACTTCTCAAAAATGGTAAGCCCATGGGAAAAGTCTATAACTTCATCTTCAGTACCATGAATAACTAAAGTTGGCGACATAACTTTGGGAACTTTATCAATACTGTAAAAAATAAAAATTACAGGATTTTTTTCTTAATAACATTTATCAGGTCTGGGCACCCACACATAAACAAAAATTAAAATATGTGTGGGTGATTAGTGGATACAAATGCATAATGTAACTTTAAAATAAATATTCATACATTAATAGCATTGATGTTTGACATAGATTAAATGGCAACAAAGCGATTGTTAAAAATAGATGATACCAGGGATACTAAACTTCATTAAAAATATCTTCACTAAATTTATGTTTAGGAATTCCAATGCAAAAAATATTTCTAAAGATATATAGAATAAGTGCACGTAAATAGACTTGCAAATCCTGTCTCCACTGTTGTCAAATTTACTTGTCTTTTTTACGAAGAAATTTGAGAAAGCAATTTACATTTATCTAAAAATAATCAGACCAAAATGACGACAATTTAAAACAATCAAGTGTGAAATTAGTTTTTAATCTTCCACTCAGAGAAAATAGAACTAAATAGAACTTTCTACAATCGATAAACTTTAGAAACTTAACGAAATTAGTTTTTTTTCGATTGCATTTAAATATTTCATTCGAATTGATTGCCGATAAGTCGTAAAAAACACAACTTCCGCTTAACTAATTCTCTTGAATTTCAATGAACCTAATTTCGCAACAAAAGACTTGTTAATTAAAAAATCTGTTCCTTCATTGGCAATGAGCAAAATTTGAGTGACCAACTTGGCCTAGATTTATTTCGACAGGTGATAAATTAAAAGTGATTTATTACAGCCCACTGGGAATTCAAATTTTCTGCGTAGCTCTGCATTTTGAATTTCTTTGCATATTTCGATAGAAAAATAAGTTGATTATTGACGCATTTTGTCCGATCAGATAAGGTATTTTAAAACAAATGTTCTAAGCAAATTCAGTGACCCCAAAATAACGTAAAACTCTAAATTAGCAACTTAATTAGTGTGTTTAAAAAACCGACAAGGTGACGATGTGGACTTTAGTCACATTACTAGATTTAAGATTTTCGGTATTTAGTAAAGTGAAGGTTTTTAATAAATGGATATTAATCTATTTGTGGTATTTGTAGTCATTGTTTTAATCGACCTTTGCCGATATGGAAATTTAGCCACGTACTACTTTTAACACGTGGAATCTGACCGGCAACATTGCTGTAACATTACCATCACTTGAATGATAAAAGAAAAAATTGAACATCAAAGCGTAAATTTCTTCGATAAATAATGAAAGGAAAATACCTAATGATTAGTGGACGAAAATGGGAAAAATTGATGCGTAATCACAGTTTATTGACACCTTGTAAAGACAGGTTCAAGCGACGAAAGAAACAATTACATGAGAGGGTTTACCTGGGAAAGGCATCAAAAAACCAGGTCCTCTTGGTATTAGGGAAGGCGACTCTCATTCCAGACATCAGAGGAGAATGTAGGATGACAGCCCCAACCTCGTATCGCGCTGCTAGGTCCACAGTAGGGACTGTGCCAATGCTTTGACCATAGAGAATGATATTTTCGGGGCTAATTCCGTAGCGGGTGCGTAGCGCTTGCCATGCCGCGTCGATGTCGGCATAGAGATTCTTTTCCGAGGGCTTTCCGGCACTAACCCCATACCCGGAGTAATCGTAACTAAATATGTTGCAGTTGATTCTTGAGCCTAGTCCTAGATAAAAACTGCTCATTTGTCCGAGATCGACGGCGTTTCCATGAGAAAACAAAATTGTGAATCTGGCAGTATTACTACATCTAACAAATAAACAGGCGATTCGATTCCCGCGATTCGTCCTCGTGAAAAATCCCTCGACGTTTTCTTTTTCTCTTTCTGAGTATTGCCATTCTGCACGATCGGTTAATGTAAAACTACACTTTCCATTCTCGTCGGAGACAAATTCGTAAGTTGGTTCTGGGGGTAGAAATGCCAATTTTGCTGCTATTCTGCTCGGGCAAGGAGGACAACAAAACAGACAACACAACTCACTAAAACTCAAACCATTCATTTTTAATTAATACAACTCTAACAAAACTAAATTAACTTTTAAAACTAATATAATAACTGTTTATACAGCAATTAATCTAAGAAACCTAGGTACTCATTGTTGACAACGCCATTTTAAAGGCTTGTACACAACCACCAACATTTAGAACAAATCGTGACGTCAAATTTGACACCGATTTGACAGAACAAAATTCTTTCATTATAAAAACCAACTAGAAATTAAAAAAAAGTCAAAAATTATTATCGACATAAATATTGCCCTCATGCTCCACTTAATTACAATTTTGTAATTTTGTTTAAATTATAAAGTATACCCCAACAAAAATGTTACAGTGTAACTATGGCTTCCCAGTTTAGCCAACATAAACGTCAATGACCCCCGCTCTCGGCCAATCAAATTCAAGCAAAATAAACCCCATATTTAAAAATTTTTACATTTAATAAATAAAACATCAAAATTAACTCTAGAATACGTTTTATTAAAAATTAAATCAAATTACATTGTATATAAATGTAGTATAATATATTTTGCTCAATTGTCATCGTCGGGGAGCAAAAATGAAACTCTTGGATGTGGAAGTTGAGGTTCCTCGTCGATTAGATCAGCTAAAATTTATTTATTTAAAACCATCGTGTATTTATTCTTGATATTTACCATAAATGTTGTCAGAAAACGACTCGGGCCGTAATTCAGTTGTTTCGTCATTTGAACGTCCTGTAATTTTGTTATAAATTTATTGAAATTGATAATTTCTTAATTTTAAATCAAAATAACACAAACTATGTAAAATTGAATTACTTACGACGTAAACAATCCAAAATTTGATTGAAAAAGCTCACAACTAAGCCCATCTTGAACAGTTCTTCTACCTTTAGTGACTGGGTTTGTTGGAATGGTATTTGTTGAAGTTTTGTATCATATAACAATGACGAATCGTTGTATTTTTTTAACAGATAAGTCTAATAATCGACGAAGAATTTATATTCAATGAATAATCGTTTTTAAAATCTTCCTAAAATTTTTCAATATCTTAAAATTCTTAAAAGATTTTTGGACTTAAACAATTTCTGTAAATACTTTAGTTACAATGTAACAGAAATTTTTTTTGTAATGAAAATAGTGATTACACATTGTCGTAACGCTTCTGCCTTCATTTTTTAGAATTACATTTCCGATTTGCATGCGATACTTATCAGATTCCTTTATATTTTATTATCGTAGATTAGGGAATTGAAAAGAATATTCTTCTACAGGGGTGTAGTGCTGAATATTTAGTTCGTTTGTTTGCGTTTAACTTTAGTAGAACTCAAAAGAAAGGACAATTATGTTGAAACACAGCTTTATTAACTCAGATCAAGTAATACATACATTTGAAAAAATATGAAAAAATACGAATGAACAAATGAAACAAAACGAAAATGAATTAAAAACAAAAAAACTGAACAAACGTCGAAAAAATAGTAACTCTAACTCTGATCCATTAAAAAAAAATCGTTAATATTATTAACGGAATCTTTCTGAATAGAGTCGAAAATCTGGGCTAAGTCGGGAGAAGTCTTGATGTGGGTCACGAATTCGTTCAAGTGTTGGTTTTTATCTGAAACAAAATAATTAGAAAAAAATCACTTCAACTTGAAGCTTGTGTACCTGCATCAGGAATGCTTAAAAGAGAAACAACAGCTCGCAGAGCACTTCTCTTAAGTTCATCTTGTTTCTCATATTCCTGCTTAACCGAATTTGCTTTTACTTTCATAGTACAAGTTGCCTTCAACGGCTCGACCAGTCTATCTAAGCCTACACAAAAATAATCAGACAATGTTTAGAGTTCGGTAAGGACTTACTTTGTAAAACGGCGCCGGGGCATATTTGAGCTAGTCTGGACACCATTAAATAGGTTAGCATTTTAATGTCGTAATGATCTTTAAGACCTAGCTCAACGTGATTAATAAATTCAAAAATATCGATTCTGTCCAAGCAAGAATCAAGCAAAGTATACATGCATTCAAATGCTGCCTTGCGCAGGTCTAAGCCATCATCAACGGTGTGTTTAAATGGACCCATCTCAACTTCACGAATTAATTCTCGCTAGAATTAAAAATAGTTAAATACTGGTCTCAAAAAACAACACAAATACCTTAATGTTGGTCTCGTGGTACAGACGGGGCAAAATCGTATCAAGCAAATCTCTAATCAACGAAGGCTTGTTATGAGCAGCCGAGTTGAAAGCTACAAGGGCAACTCGTCTCACGTTTAAGTCGGGATCCTCCAAAGTATTCAAAAATTCCCCAATACATTGGCGTAACAATCCATCAATGGAAGCCGGCTTAAAAAAAACAACAAGTCACTAAAACTATACAAAAGAAGTGCAAACCTGGTCAGAAATCGTGAATTTAATTGCTGTCACAATCGTCGTGCGCATAAGTGAGGATTCAGAACCTAGTGATTCTTTCAATTTCGGTAATAAATGATTCGGATCAATCAAAGTCAGTTTGCCCAAACATTCCGAAACAACATTTCTTGTCCCTTCCTCCTCACTCTCGCAATGTCGGTATAAAGTGTCCCAAATTGCGGGAACAAAAGGTAGTAATTGTTGAATTCCTTCTGGTGTTGAAGATAGACACGCAATAACTTCCTTCAAAGAGTGAAGCAACAAGTATTGTCTTCGGGGCTCGTTCTCATCCTCCGTTAAAATAAACGGAAGATATTGCTGCAAATTCCCGATAGCAATGCTACCTAAAGCGTAGCTCGCAGCTGACTTGACTTCCTCAGACACCGCAAAAAATGCTTCGGAAATGATTTGTTCCAAGTTGGCAAATCCAGTCAAATCTCTGGAATATAGATTTTTTATAAAATGTAAATAAGTGTAGACTTACTTACATTTCTCGGCCGATTTCGCCGACCACAAGTAAAGTGAAGATTTTCTGGGCGTCGTGACGTGAAGTACGAATCTCATTTATAAATTGGGGCACGATTTGCAATGCTTGGTGCTGCATTGTCACAGTTATTGCAGCTACGCATTTGGCTAAAGAGTAGTAGGCCTGTTTATGAATGACAGCGTCGCCAGCTCCTGCACCCTGGCTAATGCTGATTGGGTGAACCAAAAATTGTAACAAATCGTTGTAGGACAATCCAGGAAGGTTGCATTGGACTAGAGTTTTGAAGAATTCCAACATCGAATTCAAAGCGGAACCTAAAAGAGATTTGAAGAATTCTGGAAATAAATTAAAATAACTTACCTTGTAGAAGTGGTGATTTCACCAAAACCAAAATTTGGGGGAATATGTTTGTTGGAAGGTCTTGCAAAGCTAGAGGGTGATGTTCCGCAATTGACTTTAAAATCACCAAAGTGTACTGCGCTATATGCAGATCTGATTCGTCTAGTAGTGGTGGCACTTCCACTATTATATGTTGGAGTAATTCCACATACATGTAGACGTGGTAATTTTTAATTAAACAATCAATTAGTTGCAAAGTACTTAATTTTAAAGCCCGCTGATTTTTTCGCAAGAAAAGACCCAAAACTGGCACAGCTTCGTCCTAAATATAAAAAATTGTTAACATGTTATTCAGAACAGCCGAGTGTGGTTACCAAAATCGGTAATTCGATGCCCAATGGAGATCCCGCAATTTTGGTCAATGCTTTGACTGTAGTCAACCTTGTAATTTCATTACGCAATCTATCAAGGAACAAAGGAAGACAGAAGGGCAATTCAATCCCTAGATGATCACCCAAATTACAAACGATTTGGCCCATCGTCGAAATAGCTTTCTCTTTAACTTCTTGATCCAAGTCGGAAGTTTTCAAACGCGATAAAGTGCAGAAGTAGATTTCTTTCACAAACGGTGTAAAATCAAAGTTCGATTCGCGGTCTAAAGGCCGAATAACCTTGACCAACTCTTTAAGAACGTTCAAAGCCTCAGCAGTGATTTTATAAAAGTTATCACCAACGTTAGCTATGATGTGTGGGAGAAGGATATTAATATGAGGATGAAAAACCTCAGGAGGATGTGATGCCAAAAGACACAAAAGAAATGATAACCCGTCAATTTTCATATTACTGCTTCCATTTTTTTCACTCAGTGAAAATAGTATACCAGGAATCAAATCACCAATGTGGTGCGTTAAAGCTCCCGGTAAGACATGGCATAATTCTTTTAGTAGCTGGAAGCAGTCTTGGCGTGTCTTTGTGCTTTTTTCCTTCATTTGGGATTGCACCCCTTTTACAATCATTGGAACTTGCTGTTGGAGCAGGTAAATGGGCATTTCTTCTTGCTCCATCGAATTCGGGTCGATATTTACGTTAACAGTCGATTTTGTTTGTCTTAATAGAGCGATGTAAGCACGGAAAATATCTGATTTCACGTTCTCTTCGCGCTCTATGAATAATTTCAATAACTCAGTTTTGTCACACAATGTTACCAACACTTACCTTTAAATCTGGAGATTAAAACTGGCGACAAAACCTTGTAAAATTCAGATAATAATTCATGGCGAGTGCAGATGATGGACTCCAAACACTTCGCAGCTGCTCGTCTGACTTTCCAACTCATGTCATCGTCATCGCTATACTCATCATTTTCTTCTTCCTCTTCGTCATCGTAAGCCCCCATGGCTCGATCATCTCCATCTTCGTCGTAGTTGTAATTCGGGTCATGAGTCATGTAATTTAGACACAGATCCGTAATCTACGACAAAAATTGATCAAAAACTTATCTAGACAAAAATTCATTGACTTACAGCGCTGATTTTCGGAGTGATTTCTTTAGGACAACGATTGATAAAACTCTCAAATGCTTGTAAACAAAACTCTCTGGTCTCGTCATCATCCACAGCGCTCCACATTTGAATTAATGGAACAAACTTCTCAATATGTTCGCCAAATTTGTGACCCGATTGTCGGCTAAAATTTAGTGATGTAAATGATAATTGTAACAAGCGAAATTTCGGCTTACCACACAGCTGCAATGCATTGCACGTAAGTGCGAATTTGAGAATTTTTGTTATCAGTTCTCATCCCGTTGTACAGATGTTCAATCAGTTTATTGTACAATGCATTGTTACATGACAGAACTAAGTTACTGCAAGCTGCAATCGTACGTTTGCGGACTGCTTGCCGTTGCGAACATAACTGAGGTAAGAGGGCATTTAATATAGAGGTGTGGTATGATTGCAAAACGTTGCCAAAGCGATATAACAAATCAGTGACAATATCGAGAGCTTCCAATTGGACAGACACATCATCTTGCTGCAAAATTATTTATGATGATTTTTTAACGCAAGATTAACAAAACGTACTCTTTCTATGGCAGTTGTTAAACGGCCAGTAATTCTTTTGCAGATGTTCCCTGATAGTCCCCCTGGTGCCTGTGGCAGTTCAGCAATCACCGTTTTAAGCCCAATACTAGAAATATCTCTCAACTGTTCCTTATCAGAGACCATGTTGGTGCACAAGGCTTCAACAATGGTCTCAACTTGAAATTCCTTAACTTTGTTAACTAAAGGCCCCAGACTAGAAATTTCCAATGAAACAAGCAAATGTGTGATGTGACTGACCTACCATTTAACAGCCAAGTTTTGTACTTCACCGTTTTTATCTTCAAGTAGTTTTAACAACATTCTTACAACCTTACGTTCCGAATCATCATCTAATTTGATACTGTCTTTCTGTAATTCAGCCATTAAATCGTTTGTAGCCATAAATCGAAAATCTTTGTCAGATGATTGCATCTAAAATAATTGTTCTCTCAAAATGTTGACTAAATGCGAAATAATAAGATTTTACTAACCTTCTCAAGAAGATTGGCAATCTGGTAAGAGACACTAGCCATCTCTACAGCTTCTTCAACTACCCGGTCAACGTATCTGCGAAGTCTTTCAACGAAATGATGTTAAATAAAACAGTTTTTAATTATACGACTGGATTTATATGAGCATTTCATCTAGTTCTTTTAGGTTAGAGTACGGAAATTGTAAATAATTTACTCTATGTGTTGTTCTGGATGTAAAAATTAAACATAAAATACAATTATCACTAATAAAATAAGTAAATCACAATAATAACACCTATAATATCACTAATAATGAAAAATTTGGAAATTTTTATTATTCACTTGCATATATCAATCCACCACAATAATAATGACAACCTCAGGCACCGGAGTACCAACTGCTATTTATTTTTATACCGGCTAAAGTGATTTGACAAAAATCTGAACCTATTTACGCATTATTTTTTATAATAATTCATATTCTTCAAATCAATTAGTAATTTCTCATATTTTAATAACAAATTAAATCCCCACTACACACCAAAACGGAAGCATAGGCGTGCGGTTGGGAACATTTAAGCATATCTAAGTTAGACAATTTTGAGATAAGTTAAACACAGAAGATTTTCAATAATGACGAAACATTTATTCTCGTCAATTTGTGACCGTAAAAGCATAAAAATTTACCTGAATATTATTTTACTGCGCATGCGCACTTACAAAATCCGGCGCTAAATTCAATCCTTTCATTGAAAAATCCGACAATACTTACTCGCACGACACTAAGGCACGTTCAAGGTCATCTAACTCAAAAGCGTGATCACCTTGTTCATAAGGGTGATCTTGATCACCTTGTTCAGCAGGGTGATCTTGGTCACCTTGTTCTTCGGACATTTTATGTGATTAATCAGAAACCGTTTAATATCCAAAACTTATCGTTTTGCTAGAAAGAAATAAAACAATATCAATCCTGTGTAAGATTGTCATTTATTGCCATTTCAGAGATCTACCGAAATTGGAAAAGTAAACACAGAAGCTTTACGATTTGTTGCAAGAGTTGGTGGTGACAAAAATTTTTATGACTTACCTTTTCAGCCAGACTTCTTCCCCACTGCAAGTGGTCCTAGGTCTGCACTCCGCTCGGTTCGGCTCACGTAATCCAAAAACCTGTCATTTCTAATATTGGATTACCAGGCCAAAAAATGTAATAATCACACACGAATCTAAATGTACATTTCAAAATTTCGAATTGTATTGTATATTTATGAATTTTAACAATGTCGGTGATGAAAAAACAAGATTCAAATTTTGACAAAAAATGGAAATTTTGGATAAAATATGGAACAAAACAACTGGCATGCCATTAATTTCTAATTTTTTTTTACTGTTACCGGTTTTGTAAGTGTTTACTATCGCCATTTTGTTGATACTAGGGACGCCAGTAAAGTCCCCAAATTTTTGCCATTAAAATCGGCTAAATTACAACAAATAATACCATAGAAAGGTTTTTTGAGACCTTACCTCAATAAAGCAGTTGTTTTCAACCAAATTTGGTCACAATTGCGCAGGATGCTCTTAGATTTAAAAAGGGGTTGCGTAATTCGACCCTTATTCTAATCGTCACTGTTCGATTGAGTTCGATCAGGACCGTGATCACGTGATCACGAAAGCTCGCATTTGATTGGACAATTTTTAAAATAACGAAATTTTGTAACGGACGTTGTTGCTAAGGGGTCGAATATCAAATTTGGAAAATGAAAAACAATTAATAAACACTTCAAATGTGGAAAATTTCAATTGCTTTCGCATTTACAACATTTCCACGGGTTTTTAACCAAATTTCACTCAATTATACTCAAACTTCAAAGTGAGGCTGTTTCAAATTTTTGTTGTGAAAATAATTATGCCGTTTGAAGGTTTTTGAAACCTTACCTTACCAAATCAGCAGTTTCCAATCACGTGATTTTTGAAATAATTGAAAAGTTCTTGGAAAAACTGGTAAACTGGACAAGACGTCGTTGTTGCTATGGGGTATATTATCAACTTTAAAAAAATAGAAAACTCTGAAAATGTGAAAAACTCGACTATGGACTAAAATTACTCTACTTTACGCGTATTTTGCCGTTTTTATCCAAATTTGAGACAAGAAAATCAGTAATAATAGTAGTAAGTAGTGACGCCAACATGAGGACCAAATTTTGCAAGTTTTCTCAACTTTAATCAACTTTGTGGAAATAAATTTTATCATGAGAAGGTTTTTTGAAATCTTACCTTGAAAAATCAGCAATTTTTATTCAATTTTACCCCCTAAGGCACTAGATGATTTGAGATATATAAGACAGGACTCACACAGGGTTGCGCAATTCTTCCCTTAGGATGGTCGGCAAAGTCCGGCTGTTCTCGGCGAGAGTCGTATTGTGATTGCCCAATTCATTTAACCAAATGAATTTTTTTAATTAAAAAAATATTTAATAGAATATAATTATGGCAAGTAAAAAAAAATTGCCAATACAATGTTTTAAGGTATAACACAGGTCTCACACTGATTTTTTTTTATAATGTTCAGTTGCTTTTGGCCGAAGATTGTATTGGCCAATTGTGTCAAAAAAAAAACATTTTTTGTAGAATACATTTAATTTACAATAATTTTCATTTGTTTGTTTTTTTTTTAGTCATAATTTATTTAAATATTTATAACGATTGTGGATATAAATCTGTGATATAAATTATTAGTGTCCAGGTTTAGCGTCATCGAACTGTTAATATTTGACAAGAACTATTTGGATGTACTGTTTTAATTTGTTTTATGAAAAAACTTGAGCAATAGTTATTATTATTACAAACATAATTACTTGCAATTTGTTAAAACTCACTTAATGTAAGCGAACTGTAGAAAAGTAGAATTTAGTTTTTTAAACAAAAAAATTATTTTTGGTAATATTAAACATAAAACATATTTGTTTGTGTTTTAGATAAATGCAGAAATGCCAAATTAACTCAATATTTGTGGCCTTTTTAGTAAAAAATTTCGTTTAGATAATTTTTCCGTAGTGTTTTATTGGTTGCATACTCCCCGTGGTGACGTAGCGTGAACTTGGTCATATAATCGATTGTTTACGCAACTAAGTTTTTTGACTTTTTGTAATATTATTCAAGTTGTGAATTTGAGGGAGAATAAAAGTTAAGAAAAACTTCATAATTTTTTTATTGGCTTTAATTCTCAAAAAATAACAGTTCTTTTATTTACAGTAGGAATAAAGTCACAATGAGTACCTAATAGTTTAAAATATCATTCGCTATCACTATAAACAGCCGTTTTAACATCTTTTCCATCACTATTATTTACTAAATTAAAACGCAAATACCCCCCACGGGGCCTTCTTCTTGATTTAAAAATTTGCCATAGTAAATGTATAACTAATAAAACACTAACTATAAGTAACATAACAAATACTCTTATATACCAATTATCTGCTACTATTGAAGAAGCAACAGATGCGGAGTAACAAAAAGTTTCGGTGCTGGAAATCGGTACTAATTGAGCATCTGGGAAGCACTCGGAACACTGGTAGTCTACCGGCCCTGTGCACTTCTTACAAGTGTAATGGCATGGTAAACACCGATTGGTGTTATTTTCCGGAGATAAATCTTCGGCCACTGAAGGCCTTTCGTGTCTTACCGTCAAATCGTAAAAGCCATCAGGACAAGTTTTGATACATTGACCCTTGTGTAAAAATAAATTTTCCGGACAGCCTAAAATTATGGCACTATTAATGGTGCTAAAGCAGGTAATATATGAAAAAGCATTACTGCATTAGCGTTATCTACAGAAAAGCAAAATAAAAAAAATCTGACAACAATTTTAACACAATACAAAAACATGCAAATTAGTTGACTTTGGGAACTTACCTAAGAAACTGATCGATTGAAGTGGCAGATGTTGGATGTAGTTTTGAAATAATTTACGAACGATTCGTTTTAGCCACAATTTATTATTCTTTTATAGTTTACAAACAGGTGATGTACATGTATTATAACAATATATTTTAGTTATTAGCAAGTCCGTTGAGAATGATGCATAAAAAAGTCAGCCAAAGAGGGAGTCTTTGGTAAAAATAAATAAAATCTCAACAGAATGGCTAAAGACTAGGCCTTGAGGACTAAAGAATTTTTCAAAATATCTAAGACTAAAGTTAAAAATACAGATAAGTACAGACATTTACTACACACAAACACCCATTCATTCATTGAGCTGATACTCGGTCGAGTATTCGTCAAATCAACGTGACAAAATTAAGGCATATTAAGTAATTTACTTACAATTTTAAGTATCAGACAAATTCTCAATGTACATAGGTACCTTAATATTAATGGTGAACTTGTTTCAGGAACTACTATTAAAAAATTAACAACATAATAAAATATAAATGAGTCTTTTAAGTATGTACAATAATTAAATAATCACAGCTAACATTACCATTGCGTGTAAAGTAGAAAAATAAACCAAACGTAAAACATATCGATCTATACCACCTTTATTGTATTTCCGTTTGTCTAAAAGTATTGGTACTTTTGTAGGTTGTTAGGTAATTGCACTTATATGTCGAATAATACGGAACAGTTCTGCGATTACCTTGTCCTTTTTGTAACATCTACGTCCTACTTACTTTTAAATTTGGCACATACATCTTAATATTACTCGCGAAATACTGGTATGTTTTCAGACAGGCGAACATTAAAAAATGTGGAAAGTACAAAAAGTGTCAACCTTACTGCGTGGACCAAAACAGGTGAAGTAACTTTGCTTAAGTACAAAGTGAATAGTGATCGAGCTAGTTTATTTCACTGGACAATATATAGAATTGTTAATAAAACAATAAAACTGTACAATAGACAAAAAATAAATATTTGATAAACATAACAAAATTGGCATAATATGATAAGAGTGATGTAAATATATTACGGTTGAAAGAAATTCAGTTGAAGACTTCCGAATATGACGGTAACATGTATAATATTGAACACTTTAGCTTAAAAAATATATAAAACGTTAAGATATCACAAAATAGTACTACTAATCTAAGCGTATTTAGTCTATGTAACCATTCACGAATATTATGATATATTATTCGCAAAAAAATCTTTAAATTTACTACTTTTCCTAAAAAAAATCTAAACGTACGATTCAAAAAAACATCTTTAAATATATGTCGTGTGACTTTACATTTGTTTTTCCGTGTGTCTCTGTGAAAATTGTTGTCAGAATTTTCTTTGTTTTGATTTGTGGTTGAATGTATACAGTAAAGATTGTATGATCTGTTTACATTATGAAATTCAATGATGCTACGTTTAATGTGGCAAGACTTGATACGAATGTTTAAATACAAATCGAAAATGAAAATTAGTGAATTGATAGTATATATTAATAGGACATAGAGAGTGTCTTGGCAGTTATATGAGGACGTGCAGCACATAATTATAACAATACACAAACCTAAACATAACTGGCCATTAGTTTTTAAGCAACCGGACGTATCTTTCTTAACCTGCAAGTGCAAAAAACCTCAAAATTCGCATTCAAAAAAATCAAAAATTATTTACCTCTGCACCGAACTTGAGAGAGTTAGCAGACGCATCTTGAATCGAATTGTCATCGATTTCTTGGGGGTAAACGTCAACAATAGAAGGCTGATGAACCGTCTCCTGCTTTAAGTCGGTAGCTGGAGGTGTTGCAGTCCCATACAGAGTCAAATCCCAAGCAGTCACATTCGCTGAAAATGACCCCAAAATTATAAACACGAAATTGCCACATCGCGACAAGATTAGTAAAACAAAATCAAATCAACAAAAATCGTATTTTATTTTAATTACCCAATCTTCCTCTGGGGGAACTCGTGGTAGTTTGATAGGTTGTTAATTCAGTCGTTTTCGAAGTGAAAACTTTAGCGTTACGATTCGAATTAATATCGCGACTTTTTTCTTTTTGTTTTTGAGATTTTTTAAAAGATTCGCGAGGTTTCGATATCTCGCGGGAAGGAATCATGACCGGGTAAGTTATCGTAATATTTTTAACAAATTTCAAGTACTGTTTAACACTTTCTTCCGAATTCTTGTATTTACTGGTGTTTATCGCATAAAAATATGGAGAAAACTCAGTCGTAGTCTTAGTTATTTTACGATTTTTAAAATTAATGTTTGTCACGTTAGGTACACTATTTTTCGGCGTTGTACTCTTTAATTTTAATTTATACTGCGATTTGGGTGGCTTAGTTGTCAAGATTTTCTGAAAGTTTTTGTTTTTTTGTTTTTTCGAATTTTTCTTTTTAAATATATTATTTGTTTTTGTTTTGTTGACTTTATTAGTTTCAATATTATTATTAGGTAAAGGAGGAAGAAACTGCTTGGTCCCATACAGGACCAAAGACCAGTTCTGAAGTGTCGCTCGACCTGAAAATCAAAGTTACGTTACAATTATTAGTAGCCCCAAACTCTACTCTAGTTATGTTAGTTAAAACAAGCACAGTTTTTGATATGACTCACCAAGAAGGCGTCCATCGTTATGTATTTCTAATTGCCAGGTTCCGAAAGGAGTTTCTCCCCATGAGTGTACTGACATAAAAGGCCAATGAGAGAATCCAACTCTGGAAGTATCGTGGGCCCTATGAGCTAATAGTGTTACCCGAGTTCCCATAGGAGAAGTCAACTGAATATTCAGGTCGCCACGTCTTTGCGAATAAATAGTTAATTTAGCTTGGACATGTTCTAAAACTTCTACTCCTTCACACTCTTTTACTTGTAACTGTAAAACGACTACGCTTTTGGCAGGAATAGGCCTAGAAATGTTTATGTTACTAATTGTTTCTTGACTTGGGTAGAGTACCTTTGGACGTGAGGTGCAGTAATTTCACATTTGTGTTGTTCAGGCACTGTGATCCAATTCCTCGAAAGCTGTACCATAGCATAAGCATCCATAAGCCCGTACCCAAAGCTATGTGAGACATTTCGGCCCACTCCATTGGTCTGCCAATCAGCAGCGATCAGATTTTCAGGTCTTGCCGTCCGCACAACAATATGTTGCATATCTCTCCAAGTTAAGTTCGGATTGGCTTCCAAAGCCAATGCACAAATGCCCGCTGCGAGAGGAGCCGAGGCACTAGTCCCCGTGTGGCTACTAGTGCAAGAATATCGCAAGTCTGTGGTGACCACCTGGCGCTCCCCCACAGCCCCGCTACTATAAGTCGAGGCTAGGGTGGAACTGCACGCCTCACTGTACCACGGAACGTGTCCATGTTCCGTTGCACTCGATATCGACAAACTATAGATCGAATTCGTGTACCCGTCACAGTTGCAATTATCGTGATCTCTCCCGCCGTTCCCCGACGCCCACACAAAAATCGAACCTTTCCCATTACGGCCCTACGGAAAATCACACTACTCGAACTTCCGCACAACAACAACCTACCTTGGTCACCCCTTCGATGAACGCCCGAGTGGCGAGTTCCCCGGGCCCGTCGACGGTTTTCCCATCGTCGTCGGGACCCCAAGAGGCGCTGTAGATGTCGATGTGCTGCGGGTTGAGACTCAGGGAGCGAGCCTCCACCGCGTCGGTTACATCTCCATCTAACATACGCACGCCACCCACTTGGGCACCGTGGGCTACACCCAAAGCGCAAACCGAGTTATTACTAGTCGCAGCCACTTCGCCAGCACACCGAGTACCGTGCCGGTTGGAGTCTATCATATCGTATCTTGGACTAGGATCAGAATCGTGACTGTTGACGTCGTATGAGGCCAAGGGGTCCTAAAGAGCAGTTACGAATTTCAACAGGATGACCCACTTCAAACTCCCCAGGCTTTTTACACAAACCCGTCCTTCAACACTAGTTAACTAACCAGACACAGATAAGCATTTTCTGGTGAATTTACTTTACAAAAAAATAATAATTACTGCATCTTTTTGCAATAGAATTCTTACCGGTAATAATAGATGAAGTTTGATCAATAAATACAGTGGCAAATTAAAATAAATTTATTAAAGAAATTTTCTACCATTTTTCCTTCATTACAGGCTCACAAATCAGGCAAATCTTTTTTATGCGACAAAAACTATCGAATGAGAATTGATATTTAACGTGGTGCATTATCATGATGCACAATAAACCATTTGCCCACGTTTCTAGCCCTTTTTAAAGAAAACGTAATCGATTGATATCAATTTACTCGAACCATTTCTCTGATTCTTCAGATGTTTTGTGCTGTAAAAGAAATGAATGATGGGCTTTTAAGGTTTTTCTTCATCGTCACGAGATTTAAACTTTCTCCAAATCATTAAAACCATTTGTACAATCTCACGAGAGTAAAGAAATAATAACATGTCATAGGTTTCGGTAGAACACTTTCCATGTTTAAAATTAAAATTGATTGATGCTGATTCAATTTTCCAAAACAAAAGTTTACAAAAACCAATGCAAAACGTGAACTGTTAATAAATCGAACAATTTGTAACTTTATAGATGCATTATTATATTTTAAAACATAATATAATGCAACAAAACAGGTCTGAGGGTCCGTTCACCAAATTTATTGATTATACCTCGTAACTTAACAAGAAAGTTACTAACAGGAAATGCATTTTTCTGTTATAAATAAATGTAAATTAAGGTATGTATTATCAAAGTGCTTATCGTCCATTTTTCATTTTCTGACGTGTATCGTGTACAAGGTTCTTGGATTATACCGTTGTGGACACAGAAATAAATCACTCCATTACATCGTATTGACTTCTGACCCAAACAATATTGTCAGATTTATAAAAATTTTGTCGATTATTAGGTACTAATACGCGTGGAAAAAAAGATATAATTTTGAAACTATAAACTATGCGTAACTAGTGTTATATTTAATTTACTGTGTAAAAAAACATTCATTAATCTTTCTTTGTGCTAAATATAATTTTGGTTGATTTGGCTATTTATTTTACTTGAAATATTACAGTTCTTGCAAATTTTACATGAAGCAGAAATTTAATGTAAACAAATATTCTCGAATCGACGGTTTATTTCACCTAAGCACTGACTTTATTTCGCAATAAATTACGATTGTATGTAATAATTAAATAATATGCCTTATGTTCGGTGCAAAAAAGGCATTCTCGCGAGCAAAAAATAAAATTAAATTAAGTATCTACTATTTTTGTAAAAATTGAATTCATTTCAAAGAAAAATGCATGTATGAGAAAAACAAAATATCAAAAAGTTCTTGTAAAAAGTCAATATTTCACAGTTTCTGGTAGATGCACGAAAGTAAAGATATTTTGATTAAAAACTAAGTTTTGAGAAAGCCTGAGAAGTCTTGATGTCCTTATAGTAGTTAGGCCCCAACTTACGTAATTTTGTACTAAATCAGGATGGTCCTTTTCGAGACCATCGTCTAGAATCGTTACGACAGCGCCTTTGCCTGTTATGCCCTCCAGCCAGGCGGGAATAACATTCATATCTAAACCATTTCCCCTATTCTACAATTGGAAGTGTTTTTGATGAGTTTAGAAAATGATTTAAATTTTGACTTACCAGATACCACATGCTGGGCCATTTGGGGTCTGAGTCTTGCAGTCTTAAGTCTCTCTTAACTCGTTTTTTTGCTGTTTGTTGTTTTGACCACCTGACTCTGGTGTCGACTGCTAGTCTTGCCCGATTTTCCGTATTCATGCTGAGAGATCGCTTGGACACTCCACTGTGAGTGAAGAGGTAGTAGTCCTCGAATATCTGTAAGATTGAAATTTTTGAAAAACGCTATCGTTAATAAAGTTGGGGGTTTATTTAGTTAGAAAGAGAGTTCGACTTTGATTACAGTTCAAAAGTAATTAAAATGCTAATATTGTCATTAAAGTGCTTTAAATCTGATTCAGCGTTTGGATAGTTAGTCTTGAAGTTAGAATTTAGGAAAGAACTGCATCTTCCGGTGGTGTCGCTTTACGCTCTGTGTTGTTCATCCCGGTCTATTGTTCAGAGCGTTTTGCTTTCATATTTCCTAGAGGATCCTTTGGAAGCACCTATTCACTTATTTGCAAAGCAGCTCTTTAGTTGAAATCCGACCCAATTAAACGAAATCTTGACTTATATCTCTTTATTGTGTCTTTACAGCGCGTTGCTGGAGGAAAGTGCATCTTTGCGTCCAGATGTTATAACAAAAAGAAAAATTCGATTTAATGCGAGCTTGGGTGTGCTATTGTGCGCCAAGAACCCATCCGCAAATCTGTTTAATTATTCAAAAACTTCCTGACGTGCCATCAAACTATTTTTCAACATTATGAATGCAAATTGCATTATGTAAAGAATTTAATACGATTTAGGCCCAACCGGTTACAGCCTGACAAGATATTGTGACAGACTAATTAGCCCTAAACCTCTGCGAATTGCGGAACGTCCCCTAAATCCCCAAAAATAACATAAATCGTGATGACGCATCATTTTCTAATCCGGTGCAGTAAATGAGGTGCACTTTAGAAACCCTCAATTTCATTAACTTAACGAATTTGCCGAATCAGAGTAAAACACTCAGATTATTCGAAGCACAAAGCACACGTTTTTTTTCAGAAATATCATGTTGTTTCACCTCGAACATCCGCCAAAACGGAATCCTCCTTTCAGACAGCAATTATCCCCTTAACATATTAATTAATGCAAATGAGAGCAAATACCAAACCACAAAAATTAACAATTGTCAAATACTAAATATACGTCATTATCTGATTCGGTGATGCGAAAATAACCACGTACCGTCACCCCTAAATCACGCTTGGCCCACTTCACGTATCTGTTTAAAAGAAATATCGAACAAAATAAATTTACACAGTCGTGTTAAATTTATACTAAATAACTTTTCAACTATTTCAATGGACCTAAATCCAAAGTTTTATGAAACGCCCATCGAAGTCTTTTGAATAGACGTTGCCGGAGATTTATTAAACTTGATACCACAACAATTTTTAGGGATTATGTTTTAACCCCACGAACCCTAATCCTAACCTAATCCTGCTTATATTAAAAACACAAATTTAAATACTGCCTTATCGGGATTACAAAGTATCAAATGTATAATGTATAAGGTTATACACAAAAAACAAAACTCTTTTAATCACTCATTCATCCACTTTTACCGATTTCAGTAAAATTAAAGTAAAACTTCTGACAAAACGTTTTAAAAACATAATAAATAAAAAAATAAATTTGCTAGAGGTTAAAAGTGATTTCCTTTTTTTAGACCTATTATAAGCCTTATTGAGAGTAACTAACTAAATAAATTCTTAATACATTAATAGAGCAGTAATCGATTTCTTGAATATACCTACTGAAAGTTTAAGGCTAGGTAATGTTCGTTCGCTTAATTAATTACTTTGTACAAAATTTCATAATAGAATATATCGAACTATTATAAATGTGATTAATTACGGTACGTGCTTTATTATAACAAAACATAATTAAATAAAACTTTATTTTTCACTGAATAAAAATTCACATGTAGGTCAAATCGGCTTTCAGCCCAAGAATTGGAAGAAGTATTTTATTAACAACCATCAAAAAGAACATTAATCTGATTACATCGTCAAGTAAGCTAAATTTTGTGTCCTTGTGTCATAAAATTTACTGTTTTCCAAAAAATGTAAGTGAACTTGTTTTGATAAGTATCAAAAAAAAAACTAGAAATCAGTGAAAAGGTGTGATTGGATAGGAGAAATGATTTTTGACGCTTTGATAAGGTATGTAATATAGTAATGCAAGTAAAGTTTGAGAAGTGTCATAAATATATTGGAACGTAAAAAAATATAACTCGGTTTACCGAATGTTCATCTCGAAAAGTTTCTTAATCTTATCGTTGCAGTGGCTACAAATAAATTATCTCGGAGATATTTATGGTGGAGTGTAGAGAAAGAATTTCGCGTTTGGCGATCGAGTTTACATAAAAGAATCCCCAGTTAAAAGTAAAACGAATCAAAGTGATTATTTTTGTGAAATCTTGAGCAATCGGAATGAATGTGTTTGTTTTTCCCACTTTTTGAATAAATGATGGTTCCTTGTTATCCCAACTATGAAAGCAATAATAATTATTGGGAACATCCCCTCTAACTTTACATCTGTGTTATTCGGAATTTGTTTGAAATTAAATTGCCTGAAAACGTAGTATTCAGAAAAGTCGATTAAACATACATCATTTACCGAAAACTTTCTGATTTAACGATACGAGCGTTCAACGGAGAAAGTATTGAAAGCATTTTCCCTTCTTGGGAACAATCAGTTTTCATGAAAATTCGATTGATTTCAGATAAATTCAGTTATTGCCTAAAAATGTATTTGGAATATCACACTCAAATACCACTTTTATTATTTCACGACTCTATCACAATCCAATTGTAATTGCATTATAAGCAATGTGAATTGACCTCTGCTCCATTTTGGACGACCATAATCTGCTCTTTGGGCAACAAACAATTCACCACGCCTCTGAGTTATAACAGTTGTCATACAGGCGTTATGCATTTAAACCGACTTCACAAATTCAGTATAAGACCGATTTTGGCTTTATTTGAAATCAAAAATTGTTTTTGATGCACTCTGTAACCAGTCAAAGACAATAAAATGTTACGTTTCACCAAATCAATTTTTATTAATTAAATCAGTAATTACACAACTGTTTAATGAAACGACACTGACCCGTGTCTACAAATCGGTTAAACATACTTTTACTCTACACATAACAATTTCAAGATAAGTATAGATACAGCTAATGGAATACTTATTTTTTCGAATTTTAGAAAATGTTTCGCTGGCTCATTGGTAAAATGTGCATTAGCGATTGGGAGTTATTTTTAAGTTGGTTATATCTTGAAATGAAACTGTTTTTGTCATTGTACGTTGACAGTTGAATGAAAATGGCCCGAGAGAAAAAATCCCTTAACAAAACAGTTTGAAAAATAACAAAGAACAAAACTGTCGGTGCAATTCCGAGTGTGTGGTTCAGGATTTAATTACTGCGCTATTCGGTTGGTAAATTAAAGAATGTGCACACATATTAACACATTATGAAGAGCATTATTCATTTAAATGAACACATAATGACAACATAATAACAAAACAAACGTTAGTTTCAGCTTTAAACAATTGTGTAAAGCCGTTTGTATTGTAATTACGATATACATTTGATTGTGCCTAATTGGCAATTACATAAAATAATCATGGAAACAATTAGGTAAATTTCAACAGTGGATGTCTACGTGGGCGAAAAAATTAATGCACCAGCTGTATATAATACCACTGCCATGCCAAGATTGAAAGGCAGTAATCAGATAAGTAAGATTTTATCTGAAAGCGGAGAAAAACGTCAATATTGATTGTGATTACGGATATTTTTGACACCCAATGCCGGGATATTTGTCACAAGACTTCCAAGGGTTAAATATTTCGCGACAGACCTAATGAAAAGTCATCTTTTATCATCGATTATTACTGCGATAACGATCAACGGCATAAGTCTATTTGTAACATCCGGGCAGTGTCAACGTGGCTCAAAAACGGCAATGAAGAAATTATTTCGTATTTTTTATTTATCACATTTTGATAGATAGGTAATTTATTTTTCTTGGCCCCAGTCCGTCCCTGTCTCTCGATGTCTTTTGATCGTTATTAGCGTTCAGTCTTGAGTTAAATATTTGGATTTGGAATTTTATGAAATAAGAAATGATAAATCATTAACGCGATAACAGGGAAGAAGTCTGTCCTCATTTTCCCCTTGTTTCGTTCAGTGAGAGAAAAACTTTAATGATGTCGTTAGAAAAAAGTCGTGCACAAATGAAAGCAATTCACATCAGACATGAACAATATTATTAAATAAGCTGTAGGTATTTTATTATCGTTGTAGAATAATTTTGTTCCTTTTATTTAAAATTGTATCTAGTGTGGAGTATGAAATAAATTCGTAATATCCCTTGGTATCTAGAGTCGGGAATATATACATATAACACAACAGGTCACCGTTACTGCTATTTTACATGTCTTATGAATATTCAGTCGAAATAAAGGCTTTTTGTTTTCATTGTAACAAAGAAAGCCTGATTAACACGACATCGTTTAGCGCAATGCAAATGTTCCCCCGTATATAGATTTTTCTTCTCTGGAATGTTCACCCTAATCGTCTCGTTAAATAACAAACTATAAGGTTTGCTGAATCTAAATTCGGATGTGAATGTCAACAAAACTATGGTTTGTATTCATGACTGGGAAAGCAGAGTGAGAAAGAGACCGTAAGATTTTCCAAGTTGAAAATTGAGATGCGTTTGCTATTTTTAATAATGTTGATCAAGTTGTTTTCCCCAATACCTTTTCCCTTCATCGCTTTGCTGAATTTTCTAGTATCGAGGTCCTTATAACATTTTGCTCACAATGCTGCGGTTGTTTTCATGTTTTCGGAGCCGCGAGCTCGTATGTGAACTAAAATTTGTTGGGTAAAGGGCGACACGACGCAACCACCAACACGATTACTCAGCGGACCGAGAAACTCACTTTACTCTAGAACAACTTTCGAACTTTAAGCCAAATGCAACTCTACCTACAAAAACTTAGCCATTTTCATACTCGCTGCCTCTTTCTTAAACCATTATAATCCGCCTCGGCCATTACGACATTCCCGCATAGGCTAAAACCATCGCATCGATACGCGAATTTATTAACAACCCATTTTAAATATCGCAGTTGCGACAATTACAAATACAAGCGCCTGCTTTAAAATGCAAGCGAATTATGAGATCATAAAACTGGAAACCCACAGCGAATCCAATCTGTTCCACAACACGCGACTAAAAAAAAACCTCAACACCAACATTCTCCAACCACCCCTAAACTCACCCACGAATCTTAACAGCATGACCCGGTCAAATGCAAAAATCTAGTCATAAATAATGCATTATTGTTATAAAACAGGAAATTATACATTCTCATTACAAGCGCGTAACTATAATCAAGCTCTCTTTTATTTGTCATTCCAATTATTCAATTTTAAATAGTTAAAACTTATTTCTTTTTAAATTTTTGTAAAATTAGGTAGGGGTAAAAGTCACAAATACCTGCAATCCAATCATAACATTTTATTTATTATGATTGGATTGCATTGGGGTATCTTACCCTAGGTGGTGGCTAAAGAGGCCAATAAAAGTGTAGACATGTACTACCTAGTACCCTCACTGGATAACCATTAACACCTGTCTATGAGATGACCCCGCCCTCCTTAAATCGGTCACAATTGCGATTTGTTTAAGGAACGCGAAACCTGTTTTTACTCCAATGGTATTGGGCGAGTCTTTTTTGTCCTAATTTTTTGTTTTGCATATCGCACAACTACCATTTTGTGCTTTTTACTTGATTTTTCGCTGAAATGAAAAGTATTACTCCAGAGTACAAATTTAAAAAAATTCAATTTTGTAAAATATGGTTTTTATTGAGTCCATATATGACCCATTTTCAACATTTCTGTTAAAAAATCGAGCCAGAATAGTACATGAAAGCATCAAAGTTGGCAGATCAGACTTTGTAAAATTAATTAATAATGTGGGCATTCACGTCTTTACACCGCAAAGAATCTAATAACGCTGATACTAAAATTTAAAACGTTTTTTGAGTGGGAAAATCATTAAATCAATTACGTTCTTATTGCTGACACTTTTCAGTCTTCAGTCCGGTGACCCTCAGAGACTGGTGATTTAATTTTGAGGTAGGTCAGTAACGTGATGTGACATTCGATGTGCGAAGACTTGGTCGGAATACAAGCTGACAACTTTATTGAAAAACAGAAACTTTTGCAGATTAAAAGTCCGACCGGATTAATTCAGCCCTGTTGAAATAAATTGTTCAAAACAAATTTGGGATTCTTGAAACGGAACTATTTTAAACGAAAAAGGTTTGACCCACATTTAAACCACATCCATTACGTCGTTCGACAGAACTCTCTTGGGAGTTATACCTTTACTTCATTGGAGTTTGTATTATACAACGCGGATTCATTAGTGTTCAATATAAATGGTCGCGTATTCCCAACAATTCTCTTAATTTAATACTGGATAAATTTAAGTAATTTGTTCCTGGCTTGGCTTCAATGATAACTGATGTTATGTCTGATGGCATATTAGATTACAGCGTGCTCCTGTGTATACTGGAATAATCAGATTGTGTTGAGCTGTTTGTTGGTTATTGTTAACAACTTAAATGGCTGAAAAGTTACAAACGAATTTAAATATTCCTCGAATAAGACTTCTTACTCGTTAAATTCAATTAGGAATAATAATTACCGCCTGCACAACCCGCAAACTTTCATGCTTATACCTTACATTAAATACAAAACGATTTTAATTAATTAATTTCGAAAATTCATTACGCAATTTCATCAAAACGACCAACTCGGCATTCAACAACTAATAAGCGTCGATATTAACTAACAGTTTAATCAATCCCAACTGAAAAAGCTACAATATCTGAAATTAGAAGAATCGACGAAAACTGGATAAACTTCTTAAGCCGTTCGAATGCCAAAAAACTTTCCTCCAGGACTGCACAAAAAATTACATTTTCGAGATAGTACAGATAAAATTATGAAAGAACTGTCAACACCAACTTCATCTTTAATGCTGATACGTATATTTTAACAATTTCATTACTTTTATTGCGATTCTACTTAATCAAATTACTTTAATAAAATAAATAAGCCAATTTTCAGCTTCAAACATTGTTTTACAACAAAATAGATCACGGACTGAATAAAAAATCCTGGCCAACTATATCCATTTTGAAGTACTAGAATAACGATTTTACCGCTTACACAGCACCTGAACAAAATATAGATTCCTCATTGTGACTTGAATCAACTTCCTCTCGCAAAATGGAATATGAATTTAGGTAAAATGTACAGAGTCCACACCACGTAAGCTCACCTAAAAATAAAATATATAATAATAAAACACCAAATTTGAGTTTCGCATTGCGAGGTGCAGAAATAATAAAATCACTTCACAAAAGTAAACATTTCAAGCAAAATCAATGGTATTTAATTATTTACGAGGACTTAATTATTTAAGGACTGCACAAAAAATTACATTTTCGAGATAGTACAGATAATATTATGAAAGAACATCTCAACTGACATAAGTCCATTTTTCCAAGATGGTTTTACTGTCAACACGAACTTCATCTTTAATGCTGATACGGATTTTTAAACAATTTCATTACTTTTATTGCAATTCTAGTTTATTAAAGTGCTTTAATAAAATAATAAGTCAATTTTCAGCTTCAAACATTGTTTTACAGCAAAATATATCACGGACTGAATAAAAAATCCTGGCCAACAATATCCATTTTGAAGTACTAGAATAACCGATTTTACCGCTTACACAGCACCTGAACAAAATATAGATTCCATATTGTTGCTTGAATCAACTTCCTCTCACAAAATGGAATATGAATTTAGGCATAATGTACAGAGTCCACACCACGTACGCTCATCTAAAAATAAAATATATAATAATAAAATACCAAATTTGAGTTTCGCATTGCGAGGTGCAGAAATAATAAAATGACTTTCACAAAAGTAAACACTTCAAGCAAAAAATTTAATTATTAAACTACAAAAAAAGGCCCGAATTAAATCTTTTACCGTTAATAAAACGTAATTGAATTTCGCGCCCTTAGAGCGAATGACAGGTTAACGAGCGCTTGCGTTGCCCACCATTTCTTAGAAGAGATTCCCTCCCTGTAAAGCGTTAGCTTTGTCCCCCGCTTGTATTTCAAAATAATTAACAATTATTGAAAAATGGGTATGATTATCAGCTTAATTCATAGGTTCATGCCTATGCACACCATCTTCGCTCCAGGTGGTAAGTAAAAAATTTAATTTTTGTATTTTTTTTCAAAGAGGTTAACACCTGTGTTAATTAATAACGGAATACAGTCGATGGGGTGCACAATGTCATCAAGTGCTTGCAAATTTTGTCGCAATTTCATTCGCAATTTATTATGCAGATTAAAAATGTCTCCTTTATGAGTGGGGTAATTAATGATCAATGAATTTGTTATGAACTTCAAATTGAGACGAAAATTAAATTTGCCAATTAGCGAGGTAATAATAGTTCTCCAAAATTAGTTAATTATTCCGATTTTGCAATCTACTATATTCAAAGTAGATAAATATTTATTTCTTACCTTTCCACATGATGAAAAAAACAACAAAAAAGCTTCAGTCAAGTATTATGGAGAGAAAAATTCACATCTTTCTCAAAATAGCGTAAAATCTTTTTTAATATCTTGTTATCAATTTTTTTATGGCTTAATCAAGATAAGGCGGTTGTAACGTTGTAATATGTGAGGTTAGGAGTTCAGTTTGGTTAAATGGCGCGCAATTCAAATCTGGTCACACCGATTTTTCGATCAAGATTTGAAGAAGTCTCTTGTAACAAAGTCATTTTATTCTGAGGTAAGTTGTTTGTTGTAGTTTTGCTCCTTATGCGGTTGTTTTCTAGCGAAATATGATCGATGTTATCTGAGATCTGACGGCTTTAATTTGGAGGTTGCGTGCTTTTTGGAAACCACAATGCTCACAATAATAATATGATGTATAAAGCCTGATTAGGAGTATGCAAAGGATAGGCTGGATTAGGTTTGCTTTCTATTAGCGTTGCTTCTGCTGTCATCCTAATTTAAGAAAGGCTCGTTGTACCTAATAAGAGAACAAGTTTATTTTTTGGTAATTTGCTCGTGAAAAAATCTTCAAAAGAATTAATTAATTTTTGGTGTAAGGAAGCCCAAACGTGGCAATAATCCGTTTGAATAAAGTCGTAAATCATCAACGTTGTTATAAATAATTATTCGGTCGTAACGGTGGTAAAGCAAAGGTGTAGCTAGGAAAATTTGGGTGGTATTTGTTGGCATTCGTGAAACAAAGAGCTCGTGTGAAAACGGCTGGTTTAGATAATGTGGTGGTGCTTGTAAAGAGAGGGCGTAATTGTAATATCTCGCATCGTGTAATCACAAGCAGGGATGTGACTAGGGAAAGCCTGAAATAAGAGCGTGGTTTTTGCTACAAGTTTTTTTTTTTAAACGAAAGAGGATGAAGGAAACGGAGTTAAGTCCTCTGTGCGAGGTTCATCTCCAAGCATTCATACAATCGTCGACTTTTCTTTTGAAAGTTTTTGTTTTCTGGCTACATGGCTCATCCCGACACAAACAATAATAGGAAAATAGACCCTAAGGACCATATCTAAAGTAATTATCTAACAAAAGAAATAAAAGAAATAAAGCAAATATGCCTCGGACAGTTTTATTTTCATATTTTAAGTCTATAAATCACCCAATTATCTGATGCACACGGAAATACTTTCAAATATTTTTATAAAAGTTTCCAACGCCAACTTTGATAACTCACAATCTCTCCATTTAAATTGTCACTAGCACACTCCAAAATAAATCATAGAAATCATGATATATTTTTAAATTCTTGACCGCAATAACCCTACAATCAGAACTTCCTCAATCCTGTCATATCCAGGCCTCATACAGACCTTTTAGAATAAGATTTAATCATAACTAAAACAGAATAAACAAAATTTAGAATCTTACACAAACCGTATCTACTTGATCCTATTATCATCGACATGCAATCAATTTCCGCCGTCTACAAAATATTAAAATTAAATTCAACCTCCAAGATAAATAAAAATTTATTAAATCCGCTACTTCCCTATATGCGGAAATTGTTACCCAAAAGAAAGTATCGATAACATAAAAACATTTGCAGTAAATTTATTATTTGTATCCACCACAAACGTTACCATAAACCGAGCTATAAAAAAAACAAAAGTACAAACTACACACCATTAGTCTGGCGAATGCGTCAAAAAAGTACGCTTGGGACAGATTGGTGCTGGCTTATTTTATACGAAGACGGCCTCTAAAGACGTTACAACCGCAATCAACAAGAAACGTAAAACCCCAAACGCGAGTTACAAATTATTGATTTATTTTGCTTAGAACACTGTGTATATCAAATCATTAACTGTGCTGCTCGGATGACTAAATTAACTTGCCGCTTCATTATACTCATCTTGTCAGCCCTAACACCAGGCTAGTGGCGAATCCTTTATAAGAATGAAACGACAGAATTATTTTCAAATAACAATGATTTTTTCATCATATTTTGAGACAAACTCGCTTCTATGCCAGATTATTATTCTCTTTACGTATCTAGCGACTATATGTTCCCCGTTTGGACAGATTAGATAAAACATATTTTACAAACAGTTGCATCAACAGCAACATTTCTATTAATTTCAAAACTTTAATTACAAAACCAGCAACTTTAAAATCAATACAACCACACTTCATGACATAAAACCCCAAATATGATTTTCTTTGATTCAGATTTATTTGATTTATTTGTGATTTCTTTGTCAGGTCCGTTTGCTGAGCAAAATCAACCCGAGGCTCAATTTGAAGACCGTAGAGGCCGCCGCCGTGCCTTGGAAGGTTTGTATTTAACAATTCGCTTTCTGAATAATTATTTACAACTTTTTTACAGATTATGAGGGGTTCTCTGATTATAGCTCTGATAACGGAACCCCACCACGAAAGATGATGAAGACAGAAAATCCCTGCTAAACTCCGGTTTTTCTTCCGAAACCTATTACAACTTTAGTTTTTATTTGAATAATATTACATACATAAATTTGATTACAAGTATATATTTTTAAAAACAAATCAAATTAAAATGTTCCTAAAATTAGAGAAAATTTGGTGTTTTATAATTTATTTAATAAAGGTTTTGTGTTCCTAATTTTTTCCTAAAGATTTTTACAAACGATAATCACTGCAAATACGATTATAAACTACTTAAAATGTAAATAATACTATCGATAATCATCTGTGAAACCAAGAAATTAGAAATCACAGTGGGGTGCATCATGACGGGGGGTTAGACTGCAGGTAGAAAGATACTCTGTTCGTATGAAAGATGGTTTAGGGAAGGTAGTCAATTGAAAAGAGATAGAATTGAATATTTAGGGGAAGCTAGAACTTGTTCCAGTGAACACAAACATTTTTAAATGTGCTTAAACCAAAGATTTGTCTAGGAATTCTTTCTTCCTTAGTAAAAACGTTTTCTATTACAATTTGATAAGTCATTTAAAATGTTTGTCAAATTATTGCATAAAATAATCCAAATACGTGATAATTTTAATCTACAAGTTGGAAAACTGTTTAAGAAGCGCTGGTTCTTGCCATAAAAACAACACTATCATTTTTTAATTTTATTTCAATAACATGTAAGCAGGGTAAAAAACTCAAAAAAAAAAATAATAAAAATTATAAATAAAACAAAAAATCTATAGTCGAAATAAAAATGAAACTACGTTACGTTACGGCAAATATTTGTGCAACTAAATATTTTTCTTGATTGAAAATCTTTTTCAAAAAGCTTCAGACTGTACTTGAGATATTTTCAAAATTATTGCACATGTATGCTGAAATTTTAAAATAAAACTCAAAAACCTTGAAAAGATCGAAAACCATCTGAGTTTGCGCTGAAATTTGAATGTAGCGCCAAAAATTTATTAAATGAAGCGTCGCCTAGGTGCCGCGTTGTTTAAAACAATTGCTTCCTTTCGAGAAAAAAATCTCTGCCAGACAGACGCGTCTTTTTGAAAACCCAGAAAACAAGCAAAAGAAACCATGGGAATCGTCCAGAGTTTCCTTCAACGCATTGTCAATTTTTTTTGGCCGCGTAAGTTATAGTTTAATATAGTTTACTTGACATTTTAAAAATTTTTTGGTGACAATTTTGACATAACCTAAATTGACCGGAAAAATTGTGATTTATCTATAAAAATCTGGTTGAATGCCCTGAAAATTAGTCAAAGAGTGATCAAAGATGCATCTTCTTTGATTTTGACCAAAAATTTTCACTCAAAAAAAACTTTTTTTCCAGAGCCGGCCCCCCAAGAGAGATACGAAATGAAGGAGCCACGGGCTCCATTCTCACCAAGATTCCCCCCCATCCGTGGTACGTAAGCAAAAATTTAGTTCTTCAATAATTAATTTGTGTTTATACAGAGGAGGATGAAGAAGTTGCCAGCGATGATGGGGGCAGGGCCCAAAGACCACCATCTGGAGGACGCCGCAGATATTCTCTAAGAAAGAGACGCTAAGCGACTCCTTCTGTGTCAGTCAAGTCCTGGTATTTTGTTTTTGGTGACGGGAGATGGATTTGGCTAGCGCTGACGTCAAATCCCTTGGAAATAATGTCTCCCAAGAACTTGACTGCACCTTAAAATTGTCAAGTTTTCTAAATTAAATTGTAAAATTACCTTGACAATAAAACTACAAAATGTACTTAAGTGCTTTTATTTAATCCCAACTTCATCCAAAATTTCTTTAAAGTGATCCTAAAACGTTTTTCAACGTTTTCTTAAAAAACCTAACCCCATCAAAAAGCCCTAAAAAAAATCTAGTGAGTTTGCGCCAAGATTTGAATCTCGCGCCAAACATACGACGTCTTGATTTGTTTTAGAAAAATTAACCGAAGCAGACGGTTATCCATTCGAAAATATCAAAAAAGCAAAAGTTAGTTCTCAAAATGTGTTTCTTCCACAATTTTTTCAATCGCATTATTAAATATTTTTATCGTGGTAAGTTAAAGATTATAATCATTTTTTCGTTGACGATTTAGACATAACCTAAACTATCCAAAATTTTGATAAATAATGTCTAAAAATTGGGTCCAAGTCTCTGGATATTTCTAAAAAGTTGCTCAACTAATTATATTCTTCGACTACATGTAAAAATTTCCACTGAATTTCAGAGCCTATGGAGGAAGACGAGATTATTTTTACTCCTTATGAGCCCAATCTACTGCCCATTCGAGGTTTGTATATCAACAATTAGGTTTTTAAAAAATTAATTTGCAATTATTACAGAGGAGAACGAGGACGAGGAGTCTTCTACTACCAGCGGTAGCAGCTTTGAGAGAAACTCTCCTATCCCATCACCGTTCCCTCCTAGGCCGACTCTGAGACGTCGTCGCCGACACTAAACGTGTCCTTCCTTGACAGCCAAGCCTTGTAATTTTGTTTTTAATGTTGGGAGTAGGGAATTGGTGAGTGTTGTAGCCAAATCCCCCTTAAATATGTTCTCCCCTATATTCTGGCTTGGCTTTACTGCCCAGTATTTAATTTTTGAATTATTCCTGTTTGATGTTCTTACGAGTCTTTGTTCTTTTGTAAAATCATTTGGTAAAATAAACAAAAAAAAATATTGAATGCATTTCATTCGGCCCCAAGCCATACTCAAACAAACAATAACAAAGATCGATAAAACGATTATTTTTTAAGCAAAAATAATGTACTTTCCCATTTTTGATTTATCAAAAATAGATCAAAACAATAAAAATCCTCCTACACTTAATTTATGCCATAATTTTGCTAAAATCTCTCAAATTTCCATTAAAAAAATCTCGCCAGGTTAGTTATTGATCTAATATTCAGGAAAGATTGAGTTGCAAATTAGTCAAGATTTTAGGTGGGAAATTTTTTGTAGACAATTTATTAAAACGCTCAAAGTTTTTTAAGTGCCCGAGTCTTAGACATGATTTAACTGCTCAGGGGTTGCAAACTACTAGGCAATAAAGTTTAATACATTGGGCGTGTAGTCTTTGTAGTTGAATCATTATTAAAATATTTTAAGGGGCGTTATTATACAATCTCGAGCCTCGTAAATGTGCTTTTCAACGTGATTTGAAATTTCTACAATAAATCAAATTCGGAGTTAAAGAAGTAGAACTGTACGCCAAACTTTTTATGCCAGATTAAATCAGGAATAAATTTTTATCGGCTTGCCAAAATACCGGTTAATATATGGAATTATGTAACTCCCAAAAGAACCGTAACGGAATTCCGGGACACCTGCACATCTATTGAAAATGATAATGTTTAGAATTTGTACATAAATGTTTAACAAAACAATGCTTTCCATGACAGTACACCGGAATATTATAGTTCTCGTGTCTACGACAATAATCCTATTACTTCTATATTGTTAGAGTAGCCTATTTAATTTCTACCGACTGCAGTATTAGCTGTTCCGAGTTTTTAAATTATTAATTTGGTTTAATAGAGCCGTTATTTGTATTAGTATTAAAAAAACATTTTTGACGATAAAGCGTAAAATATTTTATAAAATTCCTGCACACAGCCGTAAATTATTGACAATCAAAGGGTATTTTGCAATGCAAATGAATGCACATAAAACGCACTTTGATAAAGCTTTTTATATGATGAAAGTTTTGTGAATAAACATTTAGATAATTGTGAAGAGCGGAATAGAGTATTGATTAGTAGTAAAAAGAGTAGTCATTTTTCGCTAAATTAGGTTTGTACCGTTTCCATAAAAGTTAATCAGGTGGACGTGGAGGGCAATTTTAAGTAAAATAATGCAGATTTAAGCAGCCCTAGAGGTTTTTTTTCTCGAAATAGCTAACCGAGTCTGTGCATTCAATAACAGTTGAAATAAAAATTGATATTTATTTCCGGTGGAAAGTATGAAATATAGCGATGAGTTTGTGTAATTTAAACCCCATTATATCCCAATGGATTCGTATCCATTCACCGAAAGGGAGGTGATAGGGAATACTCCACCATCTCCAGCAGCACTACTCAAAATTCCACGCGTTCTGCCAAGATACGGAATGAATTTCGATAAAAATGATTTATACTCGTCAAAAACAGCCATCAAAATATAAATGGGAGCCACTATTGAGATAGTGCCTCTTTCTGATTATATGAAACAGCGATTTGTTGATGACGATATTGATGGCGCTTGAATAATTGATTTATTATTACAAGCATCACGTTGCACCTCTGTAAACGCGTTTTGAACGCCATTATACCCTCAGCTACACGTAACAATAACCGTAACAATATAACATAGCCTTAACTCCCAAAATGTTCACGAACTTACTTATGCATGCTTTCAAACATTAACACGATATCAAGAATTCTCTTCTTAGCCAAATTTTAATCAATCCGGGCGTTCTCCGACTTTTACTTAATCATCAAGTCGCTTGCACGTTCCACCACAGATGGAAAATAGAGGCCTCGCCCGTTTCCATCTCATAACACCTGAAAAACCCCAAATTCTTTATCGCAAGCAAATGCTTCACTCCTTTTTAATCCCCTTGTTTGAGACCAGATGCACGAAAATATTTTAATTCGCGAGATAAGACTAGCTTTAAAAAATCGCAACCATTTTCATGTAGACATATTTTTATTTAGTAATATTATTTAAGCTAAATTTTTCTCATTGTCTAGATAATTGTTTCTGTTAATTGCTACTCAAATTTCGATTTTTTGAAAGTCTGCGTGCTTAAATGGTTCAAGAACTCTGAAATGTACTGAACTTAGACACTTGACACTGTAATTAAGAGAGTTTCTAAAAGGCACTTCATTTTTACTGACTCATTTCTGGAATAACGTTACATTCAAATATTTGTTCGAAGTGTGCGAGCCAATTAGAATTTGTTTGAGTTGCCTATGGTGTGATTTGCAAACTGATGAATTCCAGCTTGAAAAATTTTAATGAATGCATTCTAGGTACAACTAATTACTTCATAGATATTCCTTTTTTCTTTTCTATCTGAATAGTTTTCTGATAAAAATGTAAATCTGTTTTATACGGTTATAAATTTTAACGAAAATTGTAATAAATATGCAAACAACTAGTTCGTGACGATACTTCGTTCACTGCAAATATCATGATGCTTGCTTTGATTGCATGATGAGAAAAATGTGATCCAACTTATTGGATCATTAAAGGTGAATGTAAATATAGAGTTTTCCTGTTGATCCACAAGAAAACAATATGCATCCATCGACGGCTTCTCATTTGAAATTTGAGCAAATGATGCCTGTAATAATTTCCATTCTCATATTTCAAGGTATGATTTTAACGTGATTCTGTATCAATATTCCTCTTTGCTGAAATTTCTCTTCTATTAATTTATGTTGATAATAGTTCATCGGGAAACATGAAATATAAATGTTGACTGTATGCCTGATCGTGGCTTGTATGTCTATCAATTTGTTATATGAAATATGCATGGCAAAGATGGAATCGGAATACCAAACGAGAAATACACACGTTTAACTGTAAATGTTAATGGTGAAGTAATCAAGAGTTAGTGATGGTATTAGTAAATGTTAGCGCTGGGAAGTAGCGTAAGAACTCGGCCTGTGAAGGATATAGGGGACAGTTGTCTCAGTTGGACCGGTTTAGTAGTTCCTACATTCCTTATTTTTACGCATTTCGAGTACAAAACTAAGAATAATATGGCACCGCTTCAACTTCTGGTTGCTTTTGAAAACCATACCCACCTAAGTATTCACGTCTCAAATCTTAATTTACAATGTATTAAGAAAAAAAAACAAGCAACAAGTTATTTATTAATCAACAAGTTATTTATTAATCAACAATTGCTGTAGAATGGCATTAGAATTTAGAAATAGCCTTTTAAAATTTCTGCAAACTATTAAATTCACCCTGTTATCCCCTAAATCCAATGTTTAATAGTGACATTTAAATAATTAAGTCACTTGTTTTTTTAATATTATGATCAACTTATTATGTTTATGATGGTTTTAGACGCCGGTGGTGCTTCTGCTAGACAGTAGGTTGTGCATGAGGAGTATAGGTCAAAGTGTGAGTGATATAGTTACAAAGAAACATTGTTATGTATTAGTGTAATCCAAGCTTAGTATTTAATGTTGTGTTGTGATTATTGTGTCCGGTTTAGGTGGTGGTTGTGTAGTGAAGGACACGATAATGTCAAATATTGGTATCGAGGAGTCGATGGTGTCGTATGTCATTGTCCTATTGTTCGTTATTGTAATTGTTTCACGTGTATAGTCTTAATTCAATGGTGGTTCCGTGTGGTAATCGATAGAGAGTCGGAGAGTAAGACTAAGAAGCGAATCAATAAAATGCAAAAGTGCAGCGCGATGCTGGACCGATGGCTGATTTGTTAGTAAAATGTGAATCCCTTTAAGATTTCTAAATCGTGTCCCAAGGTGCATTTGAGTGTAGTGTAGCGAGTGACATATGAAGTGCAATAGTGAAGAAAGATCAGTATTTCGAAGATTTGAAAAGCGCTTGCGAGTCGTTTGGCATCAGACAAATGACATCCACGTGACATATGTCGTTCTATAGGACCGAAAGAGTGATCTTTTTTCTCCTTTTTGAAATGGTCCACTTTAGCCAGAGTCAATTGACTTTTGAGTCGTTGCGCTCAAATAGCTGGAGAAACGGTGGAGAAAAGGGTCGATACCAAGACACAGCAACAC